AAACCAACCAGTCCAAAGTTACAAAAATTCGAAAATAAAAAAAAAAGTTTTACGTGTTATTTAAATGGAAAAACAACAAATGAATAGAGGCAAACCTTAATATTAATATTAAGGGCTCTAATAGGCACCAAAATTTTTGTTTTTAGATGTACTTTCAATTTTTCAACACCCTTAGAAAAAAAAAAAAGGTTTTTTTTTTTGAAACATATATATTATCTATATCTTTTTTTACATGCGTGTGGAAAGTTTCTACAAAAGTCAGTGTCAATTAATTTTTAAGAAAATAATGAACCACCGTGTAATCGTCATAGTAATGATAAATCCTAGTAGGATTATTATAATACTACCGCGGTATACCGTGGAGAAAGAGTTCAATTTTCTCCACAGTTTAAGACTGAGCCACTTTCTTAATTGAAAAAGTATAGGAAATGTACAAATTCTTTAATATGATTAGAAAAATATATTTACAGAGCATGTCTCAAAAAGTCTGTGGAACACAAAAATGCAAATAAAAGGGATATTTTTATTAAAAATAAGAAAGTTGGAATCGTCCCAGAGAAAACCAAATACCCTGTATAAGTAAAAATATTATTTAAAGAAAATTGTATTAGTTCATTAGTATTTAGTCATTTCTTTTGACAAAACAACAAATTATATCAACCTGCAAAGTTACAAGAGCCCACAGACCACTTCTAAGTTTGACAGATCAAACTTAGAAGACAGCTCACAGAATAACACAAAACCACGTTTTTTTTGAGTAAAACGTTAGGTTATTATGTTTATCATCTTACATTCTCATTAACAATCATGATTTCAACCAAAATACCAATCACGTAATTTACCTACTACATTTACTACACAATAATTTACTATGTTCTGTGATTTACTACATACTACATTTACTAAATAGTCAATGTATAAAATTTAATAAACGCAATTTTTGCGTCAGTTTCCCATCCCTGGGCTGGAGGCCTTACAAACGGGACAAATAATACTATTTTTACTCTTTTTTATTCTTAAAGTAATAGGGGCGTTTCTCTGTAAACTGGGCAACTCATTGTCTCAAGCTAATATTGTTTAGAAAAATAACAGATCATAAATATTTCGTAGATAACTTCAAAAGATAATAACCTAATCTACCTATGCTCGACGTTCAAAATCCAATAAAATAAACTTTAATGTATCAAAATCGTTCTTATAGTCCTTAAAAACCAGTCCCCTGACGTGTCACCAAAGCAAAATGGTCACTTCAGACTAAATTAATTAAAGACAGTAACTATTGGAATCAACCTAATTGTTTAATTATTCAACCAATATTGTTTGCTTGTTACTGTGACTTATTTATTTTTTATAATTATTATTTTGTAATTCTAAAAAAGTCATCTAAACTTTGTCTTCGGATTTTATAAACAGTCCCCTGTATAGATTTTTCAGAAAATGCTCAATGTTTTCCAAAGTAATAGGAATATTTTTGGTTCATCTGCCGTATACTAATAAATAGACCGATATTTATTCCTCGAATAACATTTATTAAATACAACAAAAATATAACAAAAAAACTTGTCTAGACAATTTCTTACTTCAAGTTGCCCAGTTTACAGAGAAACTATAGATATAATTATTAAAAGGAACTTGGCAATAATAATTTTATAAAACAAACTGGCTACCAAACAATTATTCCAAAATTCACATTAACACATGTGACGCAGCATTGCTGCGTTCGTTTAACGATCTTAAATTATTTATGTGTCGAATAATATTAAGTACATTGTATCGACGTTGCTGCGTCGTACATTGTTGTCAGCTTCACTTGATGCAGGTTTACCGTAAGTTTAAAAGAAATATTCACTTTTTCAATATACACCAAATTTAAAAGCGCACCCTTGCGGCAAACTGCCAAACTTCAATATACACGTATTTTACAAAAAACCATCAATGCTGCCTCACCCTTAAAATCGGTGTGTAGGATTGTCGTGACGTCACCAGTAAAATAAACCTTAAATGTAATGCTGCGTCAATATACGACGCAGCATTACACCTGACGCAGCATTGAATGCAAATTTCATAATGTATTGACGCAGCATTGTAGGCGGGATGTATATATATATATATATATATATATATATATATATATATATATATATATATATATATATATATATATATATATATATATATATATATATATATATATATATATATATATATATATATAAACATATATGTCAGATTTTATTTATTTATTTTTGGAAATTATATAATTACAATTACTAAAATTACATTTGTTATTTGTAATTTATAATTTTCCAGACAAAATACGTTAAATCTGACTTCTGTAAGGCGGTCCTAACCTCACTTCCTAAAATATCATTATTATTATTACTTAAAGCTTCAGCCCGAGTACGTTATGAAAACTCTATGATGAAAACAATACGATCAGACTTGTAATCAGAGCTGCAACAAGTCAGTTTTAAAAAGACTTAAATCTTAAGTCTTAAGTCAATTCTAAAATCAAAATGATTTAAATCTTAAGTCAATTCTAAGATAAAGTTCAAATGATTTAAGTATTAAGTCTTTGAATTAAATCATTTTCTTTTAAGTCAAGTCATTTTCGCAAATTCTTAAATCAATATAAAGTGATTTAAGTCATCTTATGACTTAATTCCTTTTGTAAGTCGTTTTTATGACTTAAGTCTATATTTTCTTATTTAAATCGTTATCTAAGAGTTAAGTCAATAAAATGACTTGAATCAAAAATTGTGATTTAAATAAAAATAATTACCCTTAGGTCAATTCAACGATTTTTTAAATGTTAATAATAATTTTATGGTATTAATGATCAGTATTATTAATCTATTGTAGATACAGATGATAATAAACCACTATGTTAAAAATTTAAAACGATTTATTTTCAGAACACTTACATATATGTATACGAATAAAATAAAAACTTAAACCACCTTTATTAGTAGAGTACTACAGGGAGGCTACTTTTTTATATACATAAATGGGTAACTTCTAAACGGTAATTTGATAATAAACCACTATGTTAAAAATTTAAAACGATTTATTTTCAGAACACTTACATATATGTATACGAATAAAATAAAAACTTAAACCACCTTTATTAGTAGAGTACTACAGGGTGGCTACTTTTTTATATACATAAATGGGTAACTTCTAAACGGTAATAGATTCAAACTCTGTTAAAATAGATAAAAGTTACAAATTAGACCTAACTATGCACGCATAACACGACGAATGTTGGCAAACAAAATAACAAAATTATAAATCCGCATTTTTTTCATTTATTTTAGACATTTTTTAATGTAGCCGTCAAAAGGTTCCGAAAAGCTAACTTTACCGCGGCAGTTTTTTTATTCACTAGCGGTAGCAATTGTAGGTAGGAAATTAAAGGAGTTTTTGATCTGCGTGAACCCCTGGCAGTTCAAAAGAAAATGCCGCTGTTAAAAATTTATAAAAAAATCTATGAAAAATCTGACTTAAATATTTTCTAAAAAGACTTAAATCTTTTTAAATTACTTAAATAATTTACCGACTTTTATAAAGACTTAAATCTTTTTTTGACTTAAATCGTTTCTATATGACTTAAATCGTATGTACTGATTTAAGCCTTTTATTAATGACTTAAGTTTTTTCTATTTTGAAAAAAATATTTAAGTCACAAATCATTTTAAAAATTACTTAAATTTTAAGTCTTAAGTCAGTTTTAGAGAAATGACTTATTACCAAATGACTTAAGTCATTAAAACGATTTAAATCAAAAAAACGATTTAAGTTTTCTGAGAGCTTGCAGCTCTGCTTGTAATCAGGGTTGCCAGTTCGGTTTTCATTCCTTCAGTAAATATGTAGCCAAAAATTCAGTAGATTTCAGTAGACTTATTTTTTGCTCTAAAAATTTTAGAAAAGGGTACTAAAATAAAACTATAACGTCGAAAAAATATGTATTTATTTATAAATGAAAAAAAGTCACCAAGGGTAACAAAATAGCAACAAAAAATGTGTTATAACCTCGATTATAACCAAACATTTTCATTAAAAAAAATAAAATAAACATTCCTTCGAATTCCGATGCTCCGATGTTAAACATATTTATTTTTTCTTTGACGGATCCGTCGACCGGAACCTTCATTTTCAGAGTTATAGTCCTCACTTGAACTAAAAGATAATACGGTATGAACCTATTTAAAATTACATAAGTGCACTTACCTCATATTTTTGCAACTGCACAATACAAAAAAATATGTAATTAAAAATAAAATATTAATTATTATAATTCAATAAACCGAATTTATTATAAACGGAAACGAAGTCCCCGTCCCCGTGGTCTTTCACATAACCTCTACTCATTGACATAATTCCCCCGTAATCCCCGACGGGGATTCCCCGAGGCCCGTGGTCAGGATTACCAACATATCAAGCGCTAATTAGCGCTTGATATGTTGGTAATACTAAGCACTAAGCACTATTTAAAATTCTAACGCGTCTTAAGACGCGTTAGAATTTTAAATAGTGCTTGTAAATGTATTTAAATAGAGCGTTCGGAATTTAATGCAAGATAAATGTAAGTTATATATTATTGATAACCATAATAAATAAACCTCATATTTTTTTTCAGTAGATTACAACATTTTTCAGTAGATCAGTAGATTAATCAGCAAATCAGTAGATCTACTGAAAAATCAGTAGAACTGGCAACCCTGCTTGTAATAACCCTTCTCTGTTAAATAAAATAAATAAATTTAAAAAAATAAAATTATTATTATTATTCATTATAATCAAGAACTCTGTAGACTTTGTGATTGGACACATTTGTGTATAACACATACTTGTGTGGAAGGATGTGAAATTCAACATATACGTATGGTAAGTATATGAAATTCAAATCTGACAGTGCCATCTATTCTTAGTAAACTAAACTTTTGTAAAATAGCTATTTCAGCCATATTTGAATATTTGTAATTTTAAGGTTGGCAACAATTTGACAGTTCTGTTTGACATTTATATAGCGATAAAAAACATAGGTGGTTTTAACCGGTGATTTCATTAATTTTATATTTGAGTTAATTTTTTAAGGTAATTTTAATAAGCCAAGCACATAAATTCATGGATATAGAATAGCAGCAAACAGCGGCAATGTATTTGTTGGGTGTTTTCTTGTCTGTTTTTGTTTATACATCGCAAGTAAACAGTGCTGGAATACCGAATGATAAGAAATCCATAGTGGATGAGCCACAATGCGGCGACGTGCGAACGATTTGCAATAACTTGAGCGAAAACGACGATTTATTAATATTAGAATGTCTGCAATCTGTGAATCCAAACAGGTTGTCCAATTTAAATGAGGTTTGTCAGAAAACCATTTGGTCGCACATGAGAGATTTAACAAGCCCTGAAAGAGTAAAAGACGTGCTATTGCCGATCTGTAGAAATTATCTGGACAAAGTGGATTGCAAAATTGATAATGGTTCTTACTTAAAATGTTTAATTAACAACAAGAATGCCATACAAGACAGTGATTGTGTAAATACCATGATACGTTTGGAGAATGTTGCTTTTCAAGATTACAGATGGATAAGCTCGTTTTTAGAGCACTGCAATGAGGACATTAATAAACTATCCTGTGGGAAATTCGATGAACACAGCTGGGGACAAATAAAAACCCTATCGTGCCTACAAAGCAACATTGATGCTGTTAAAGTTGACTGCAAGAAAGAAGTGTTCAAATTATCCGAGTTACAATCAGACAGCATTAAGTTTGATAGCCAGCTGTACATAAATTGTGCTGAGGATCATGGAAGGTATTGTTCTCAATATTATGGTGCCAGTGGTAGGGTTTTCCAGTGTTTGATGCAACAAGATCCCAATAAGTTGATGCAGAAGTGCAGGCAGCAACTGTTGAGAAGGCAAAAACTTATATCACAGGTAGATATGTAAAAAAACGTATTTTGTTAAGGGTTAAAAAAACTAGAAAAAAATGTTTTTTTTCTTTTATTTATTTATTTATTTATTAAATTGAAACTACAAATCAACTTGTAATAGCTGTTAACGTAGAGTAATCATTACAATAAAGAAAAAATAGATTTATAAATTGAATAACAGTATAATAATTATAAATTGTCCTTGATGTACTTTTTCAATGTTTTTATAAATTTTTCATATTTATCCAAGGATTTAATGGAGTTTGGTAGATCATTGAAGATTTTAACACCCTGTTGTATTGTTGATCCAGAAGCCTTTTTGGTCCTAACTCTGACTGTTCTGAGGTCCTCTAGTTTCATAGTTTCATAGTTGTGAAAATCCGAGTTTATGTTCACTTGTTTTAATGTCTTTGTTTTTTATCTTATATACTAATTTGCACAATTCGAAACTAATTAACTGTTTAATATTCATTACCGGAATTATTTTATAAAGGTCTTTCTTAAATATTTTAAAGTTTGATTTCTTAATATTTGGTAGTTTTAATAATATTATACACAGGCAAAATAATCGATTCACACAAATTTTCGATGAATTTCAATCGCAAATAACTTTTTAATTTGATATCGGATTTAAACGTATATTAAAGAATATTGTAGATAAATTAATGGAGAATCGCTCACATTTTAAAAAATTACTAAAAAATAGATGTACGTTTATAATATACAGGTTTAAACAAAAATAAGTTTTTTACCATAAGTTTAAGACACTCTGTAGAGTGGCTAAACCTTATATTGTTCTAAATTAAGTTTTAATTATCAAGTCACATCTATTCTTAACAGTTTCGTTTTTGGTTCACCTTGATATATTTATTTTTGTGGAAAATATGGATTTAAAAAAAACATTGCAATTTCCAATATTTTTTCTGTACAAAGAACTAAGGTTGCTGTGGATTATCCATAGGCTATGGAGGATGACAGTGACAGTTTTGTTGAATCATCCCATACTTGGACATATATCACAGTGCTGTTCTGAGAGGTGATTTTTGGACTTTCTGTGAAACCAAATTTTTTTTTATATTCTTGTTAATTAGGTCATAACTAAAATTTTAAGAGCAAAATAAAAAAAAATTGACGGTTTGAATTGTTTTAATTGGCTGTTTATTAAAAATATTATGCACTCTTTCAATTATCCAATTAAAACTAGCGATTTAATTTAAATATTTAATATTTGCATAACTAAAAAAAAGGTTTTTACAATTTTTTTTATATATTTTACTTTTTGTTGCAATAAACGTTCAAACTTTTAATCTAACCTTATACATTTATGTTCCCTTAATTAATATTTCCTAAGGTTGCCATGAAACTTAGATCTATTAAAAATTTATTTGACGTTTGAATTGTCATTTTCAGTATACGTATTCTATAATTTTTGTTTAGGTTTTTAAAGTGTTTTTTATAAACAAAAATGAAAAATTGTAGTAAAAGTTACGAAGAAATTCATGAAATTTAACTAAGGACCGGTTTATTCATCTTTAGTAAAGTTTATCGGGCCGATAACTTTCATGTCTTGGCAATATCTAGTATCCAAAGAAATTATTCGTCAAATAAATCAAAAATGAATAAATCGGCCCTAAATAAAATGTGGCACCCTTAGAATTATTGTTTAATAAATGTATACTATACATTTAACCTTAAATTAAAACTTTAAACGTGTATTACAACAAAACAGTAAAAGATATAAAAAATGTATAGACCTTTTTTTAGGAATTTAAAAAGTTATGATAATATTTAAATAAAATCGCAAGTTTTAATTGGAGAATTGAAAGTGTGCATACATATTTTTAATAAACATCCAATGAAAACAAAATTAACCGTCAAATTTTTTTTATTTTGCTCTTAAAATTTTAGTTATGACCTAATTAACAAGAATATAAAAAAAAATTAGGTTTCACAGAAAGTCAAAAAATCACCTCTTAGAACAGCACCGTGATATGGCTTTCAAATGCTATCAAATTGTTTTTTGCAAATTAATGTTTAACTTTTGAGGTGTCTTCTTACTTTTAAAAATGAATATGTCTCCTACTAAAATAATAATAATAATAAATTAAAAAAATAAAACATGACAATATTAAAACTTTAATTTCAAATCTACGCAGTATAAACAAATAATGACAAAACACCAAATGGCTAAAGTCACCCAAGTTTACGGTATAAATTAAAAAACCCGCAACATCTCTAATTGCAGGATTACAAAGTGAGCAAGGGGTTGATGAAAGCGTGCAAAGAAGACATCAAGAGAACGCATTGCAGGAAGCAGACGTCGACGGACAAAACGGTGCGGCTCGCGCAAATCTTGCTGTGCCTGGAGAATGTGGTGAGAAACGGTAGCAAGATTCTGCCCGATTGCGAAGCCGAACTGGTGGATCACAGAAGAATGCTGATGGAGGATTACCGATTGTCGCCGGAAATAGTCGACGGGTGCAAGGCGGAGATTGCGCAGTCGTGCAAGGGGTTCGAGGTTGGCGGGGGCGGCAAGACCATCCATTGTCTTATGCAGCTGGCCATGAACCACAACCAAGTGGCAATCAGCGACAATAACATCCATCAGATCGAGGATAAATGCTTAAGAGCGGTAAGTACAATATTATAATTGCAAAATATTTACCAAAATGTGAAGAGTTTTGCAACATGAAGGTTCATAATGAATTTGAAAAAAATAAAATTGATTTAGTAAAGAATCATTATTTATTTATTCAGGCAAAATTGTTTTTTAAAATCTAAAACAAAAACAATTTTTAAAATCATATATCATATAAATTTATAATTATTATTTTAAATCTTCAAAAAAACAACCCTTGTGCCTTTATATGTATAAAATAAATAGTTTAAATGGTTTTCATAAGATATACAGGATAGTATAGGTTGTATATCCTATACAACCTATACTATCCTGTATATATCCTATTTATAAATTGGGGATAAAACGCTTTAAAACAGAACCGTACTTTGGTTCTATTTAAAGCATAGACAATAAAATATGTATACGCTTTAAACACTTAAAAAATGTTCTACATTTACCTTAAAACTATCTAAAATGTCTTTAAACTTTCAAAAAGTACCTTAGTACTATGCCAGGGCTGGATGCTCCCGTGTACGAGTTTTGGTTCGTCCTTCGAATGACGTCACTTGATGAGTAGTTGCCGTGAGAATACACGAATAATAGAAATATTATCAAAGAAAATAGAGAAATATCTGGACAAAGTGCGTTTTTTAAACCTAATATTGAAGAAAGTGTTATAATATGGATAATAATAGATGCTTTCAGTCCTTGATAACATTTAGGGCTGTAGTTTAAGCATTGGTGTTTTAAATTATAGTCACTTATAGTCTCTATCCAGAAAATGTTTATAGGAAACAGAAGCGGTCTTAACGTTAATATTGTCTATTCTTTTTCTGGCATTTAAACACTGTTTCCACAAATCAAACTTTTTCGGGATTCGATTACATTTAATGTTTTTATTTAAAGGGTTTTTCTTGGACTGGTTGTCCGAATTGCATCCAAATATGCCACACCGCATTAATAAATGCAAATTGGCATTAGGACCATTCCACGCTTAACGGATAGGACAGTTGCCGTGTTTTTATTTACAAAATAATATTGTTCTATTATACTTTGTAATAGTCCCGTCCGTTACGCTTTAAATTATTAATTTTTAAGGAATTAAACAGTCAATCACGATACCTAATTTTGCCAAATAAAAACCTTGTTAAACAGCTTTTGTTTAGAACTATTTATAAAAATTTGACATTGGTAATATAATAGAACAATATTATTTTGTAAATAAAAACACGGCAACTGTCCTATCCGTTACGCGTGGAATGGCCCATTAATGGTACGAGACAAACTAAAACACAAACAAAACAGGTTAACGCAACACAAAAACAATAATAAACAAACAGAACAGGTTAACACAACGCAATAACAATAATTTGAACACTGAAAAGTAATTCGAACCTTACCGAACACAAAAACAAGTTAAACGAGAAAAAAATAGAGCAAGTTAACATCCAAAAGCATCGCAAAAACAAGAATTTTAGCAGCAGATAAAACGCACGTTAAAGATTTAAAAACACGCATCAAGTGACGTATTTAAGCCCCGCCTTACATGCGCACCATCCTGGTGGATTAAACACTCGTTCGCAAGCTTCGCTCGTGCTTAATAAAACTCGTAACTAAAATTGCGTTTATAAAACTTGATACATAATATACTATTAAACTATCATAGAACTATCTAAAATGCCTTAAAGCTCTTAAATATTTAAGAAGTACTGTATTAAATTAATAATAATCAATATGTATTAAAACTTTTAATTTAAAAGTACCCTAGTACTGTCTAATATATTTTAAAATTATCTTAAATGTTCTAAAAATGGTTTTTCTATTTGTATACCATAATAAGCACAGTACAATACGCATTTGCGTTTCGTATTGTCTCCATGGCAACAGTACAAAACACAAATATAATTTATAATTCAAATTGTTCTTAGAATTCCGACTAATAGAAAAAATAGTTTAAAGAACTCATGTCAAAAGACATTTTCTCGCACTCGTCCTTCTGTGAAAAAAGTCATTAGTTTTTTAATATAATACAAACTAAAATTTAAATAAAAATGTATTAGGTATATCCTGAGAAATTTTTACTTAAATTTTAGTTAGTTTTAAGGTAATTTTATATTGTATGTTAAATTTGTGTAGCTTGAATCTTTGGTGAAAGAAACGAACGTCGGCGAAGATTGGCACGTTGACCCCGTGTTGCACGACGCGTGCCAACCGGTGGTGAAAACCCTGTGCAAAGGCATCAAGGGAGGCGACGCGCGCGTCATGTCCTGCCTGATGGACAACGTGGGCGCCGACCAGATGACGGACGACTGCGAGGACGCGCTCATGCAGATCCAGTACTTCGTCGCCAGGGACTTCAAGCTCGACCCGCAGCTCTACAGGGCGTGCAAGAACGACGCGCAGACTCACTGCCATCTGTGGAAAGACGGCGGCGCGGACGAAGAGCAAGGGCCCAGCTACAACTCGCAGGTAGAGTTGGGAAAATTTCACTTTTTGCTTGTACTTGAAATTTTCAAGACATTTGGACGCCTTTCTGCAGAAAGGAACCAACCCACAAAACCAAAAAAATCGAGATATTTAGCCTATGAACTAATTAAGTATGTATAATTTATCTGCAAAATAGGTCATAGCCAAAATGCAAGTGTAGTGAAATCTATTAATCATTGAACCAACCAACATTCAATAATAGTGTGGATTACTAATCCAGAATTAGAATATGTAGAATATCTGCAAGTGGGTTGGATCTTTTTTGTAAAAAAGCAGGCTGGTAGACCCACTACCAAAGTCTTTAAAGATTTCCTGCTTCTGCAAAATATAAAGTCTTGATGCATTTTTTTGGTAGCTTACAAGATGAGGTGGGGTTGGAAGATGATGTGGACGAATTTCAAATAGAATCAAAATTAATTCATATTACCATTATAATAGTAATATCAGTTGTATTTTGTTTGGAAATAAATAATTGTCGCTTTTCTTTAAATACATACATACATCAGATAGTAGTTTTCATAAATTGCAGAAAGGAACCAACCAACAAAAGCCCATTTTTTTCGTCACCCTTACACATAACATCACAAAATCCACCTGATGAAATTATTAAATTATATCCTTTAAACCTCCGTAAGTCCAAAATCGGCATAAAATTAACAGGTAATTTTAAAATTATTAAAATCTTTGATAGCTTTTTTCTCAGTTTCATCATGGTGTGGGTTGGTCCCATTCTGCAGAAAGCCGTCCATTTATGAAATTTATTAAAATTTCCTAAATTTCATGAAAATTATGACATTTATTAAAACTTTCAACAAATATCAATCACTTTAAGTGTAATATATTAATATTGAAATAAGCCCACTCGGGGACCATTGCAAATTGCCTCTCTTACCCCTACCCATGCACCAATAATATAAATAGTAAATACCTATGTTTACCACAAATTTCTTGAGATTTCCTTTTAAAATATTTTTAAAATTACTAAAACTAAAAGAGATATAGCAAGTTTTGGTAAGCTAATGAGATTGTGCCACTTTCATTATTTTATATTTATATATATTTAGTATTTTTATAAATTTTGCTGAAATTTTACGAAAATTGAAGAAACTTCATCAAAATTTTATGAGCCAAAGGCATTTTTTATCCGTTTTCCGATGCAATTATAGCAAAAGTAAAAGTTTAAATTAATCATGACTTTTAAAAAATTTTTAAAGTCTGATTTAATTTACAAATTAAATTTGTAACTGAATTAAATTATTTAAATTAATTTATGCATATAAGTAACAATAATTACTTATAGTGTATTCCAATCCAAGCCGAACTAAACAAAAACGCCGAGACGCTTGATAACTCGTTCTTATTGGTCGATTCGGAATCTGTTGTAAATTATTATTAAAGGTCCCAGGGGAGGCCGCATGTGAAATTTATGCGAAATTTTCAGTAAATTGCGAAACTTTCAATGAAATTTCTGAAACTTTCACAGGCAATGTTGAAATTTTCGGATTGAAAATTCCATTTGAAATTTTTAAAAATTTCACTTTTCCAACTAAATGAAATATTTCAAGTTTGAAACTTTCAAAGTTGAAATTTTCATTTGAAAATTTCAACTGTCCCAACCCTACTCGCAGGTCTTCGCTTGCCTCTACAGGCACGCCATCCCCGCCGAAGACGGCAAGCAGCTGATACAAAAGTCGTGCTTGCAACAGATCAGGCGTGCGATGCGCCAACGCGCCGTAAGCGTGAACTTGCAGCCGGAAATCGAGCAGGTTTGCCTGAACGATTTGGGTCGCTTGTGCCACGATAAAACGGAAAAGGGGGCGGAAATGCTGTGCCTGCAAAACAATCTCGAAGATTTGGACACCGATTGCCAGAACGCCGTCGAACCGTTCACGGAATTAGAGGCGGAACACGCCGAGTTGAATCCTTACATTTCAAAGCACTGTCGCAAGGAGATGGAGACCATTTGCAAGTAAGTTTGATTAACTTTTTATAGTACACGCACCTTAGTACTCTCTAAAATGCCTTAAACTGTCTAAAAATTTCTGAAGAATACCTTAGAACCTTAAAATATTCTACAAGTTTTAAATCTATTTTAAACTGTATAAAGTGTTTTAATTTAAAACTACCATAGAACTATCCAAAATGTCTTAAAAATATTCTAAAGTAACATATCTAAAATATTTCTTCAACTACATCAGAATTAAGTATGTCTAAAATATTTTAAAAGTACCTTAGTACTATCTAAAATTTCTTAAAACTAATTTCTAAAATGATTTTCTAAATTTTCTAAAGCTACCTACCTTAGAACCGTCCAAAATGACTTAAAAACGCTAAAAAATATTTTAAAACCACCATAGAACTATCTAAAACCGTTTAAAAGTACATTATATCTATCTAAAATGTCTAAAATATTCTAAAGCTACCTTAGAACCTCTTAAATGTTTTAAAACTATCTAAAACATTCTTAAATGTTCTAAAACTACATTGGAATTATTTAATTTCTTTAATGGTGTATTATGTATCAAGTTTTATAAACGCCATTTTAGTTATATAGTTTTATTAGGCACGAGCAAAGCTTGCGATGGAGTGTTTAATTAAAACGAGTGTCTAGAGAAGTTTATCGAGTTGCATACTATACTTTATCTACGACGAACAGAAATAAGAATTTAAAGCCAATTTGAATTCATAAATATTTGAAATTTGACAAATTTAACCTCACTTTTTCGCAATTTATAATAAAGCTAACTTCATCCCGTGACTAAAACGCCATAAAGTCACAGCTCGTCAATGTAGGAGTAGATACAATATTTTTTTTAGTACTATCTAAAATATTTTAAAACTCTCTAAAAATGCATTAGAATTATTTAAGCTTTTTTAAATGTTCTAAAACGCAAATCTATTTTAACACGTTCACTGCCGACGTAATAGTCCGCCCATATTACAGTGCCGATAGCTTTTTTTAGAAATTTTAGATAAAAATGGACTAAAGTTGTTTCTTTCGTTTCTTATTGAAAGGTTCTATATGAAAAAATACTAAAACAAAAAACAAATAAACAAACGCGGTAGATGCGTTGGCGGCACCCAGCGGCAAAAACCATGCTATATGCCACCGCACAGCAAACGGAAAATTATAGAGGTGTATAGGATGACGCCACGTTTGAATATCGATTTCTAAATCTCCCTACGGTATAGAGTGGTATTCGTCAGTCGAGCGTTTCAAAACTCTCCACAGTATAGAGGTCGTAATTTCACTTTTGAACTAGTATTAATATAAAAATTATTTTATGCTTAAAAAAACTATATACGACATGATTGTGATTTTTTTCATTTTATTAATTAATTAAGCTGTGTTGAATATTTTTCCTAAAGGAATAATTGCCAATGGGCCATTAATTCATTTGTTCGTAGATGCTACAATAACCTGCACTGGTGTGTACTTTTTCATCAACCAGATTTAAATATTACAAAACTATACCAGTGGAGATAGTGCAGGGTCTACCAACAGACCTAATTACTAAATTATTAAAGTTTAATAGCATATCGATCATTTTTCAACATAACCTCTTAAATTTTTAATACAAATATAGGTACTTTATATAATACATAAATATACTTAACATCATATCCTCTGTGCTTTACATACCTGAGTTGTTACGGTAAATAAAAATCAGACAAAGGAACCAAAGAAAGGAACTATTTTCAACAAAGTCATATGGAGAAATGAGAAAATTCATTCATCAAAAGATCAAAACTTCTTGCAATATTACACCCTCTTTTTATACTCTCAGAAATATTGACTAGAACAGTATTAAAGAGACTCCAGTTTCTATAACTTGGTAGAGTAAAGAGAAGTCGAAACCGTTGCGATATTGCATTGCGCTGTTTTTGTATAATTCTCGGGGACATTAACGAAAATCATTGCCAGTAAAATTCGAAAAGCTTGAGTTTCTATGTCTCTGAGGAGAATAGGAATCCGAAGTTGCTGCACCATTGGACTGAACCCTTTTTTAATAATTTCTAGAGACATATATGACTGCACCATTCGACAGGGTCGAGTTTCTACTCCTCTGTTGAATATAGAAAATCAAAATAATGTATACATAGATATATCTTGTAAGACACCATTGAGTTTGACTTTAAATATAGTCGTGCATAGGTATAGAGCCGAAAAATATAAAATCAAAGCACGATTCAATACAGTTATGATAAAACTTTAAGATTTGATATTCAAACGCCGAGTCATCCTATACACTTCTATAATTTTTCGTTTGCTGTGCGTACAGAACGCGGGTCCCGCGTGCTCGGCATATTGTAAAATACACAAGAACGCGGTAGCCGCGTTGCCGGCAGTTAAAGTGTTAAAACCACTATGAAACAAAAAACACATTAGTTCTATCTAAAATGTCTTTAAAATGTCTAAAATATATAAGCCACCTTAGAACTTGTAAAATGTTTTAAAACTCTCTAAAACTTTCTTTAATGTTCTAAAACTACATTAAAATTATTTAAAATTTCTAAGATGTCTTAAAAGTACTATCTTAAAACTCTAAAACTACCTAAAAATTATTTAAGCTTTCTTAAATTTTCTACCTTAGAACAATCTTCAATGTCTTAAAACGCAAAACATTTAAAAACTACCAAAGAACTATCTAAACTCTCTTAAAACTGTTATATGTCATAGAACTATCTAAAATGTATTAAAACCGTTTCAAAGTACGTACATTAGTTCTATCTAAAATGTCTAAAATATTCTAAAGCTCCCTTTCTAAAATGTTTTAAATTTCTCTAAAATCTTAAATGTTTTAAAAGTACCTTGGTACCTACTATCTAAAATATTCTAAAAGTACTTCTTCTACTATATAAAATGTTTTGTATAAAACCCCCTTAAACTAAATAAAGTCTCAAAACTATCTTAAAAATAGGGTTTTAAAATTTCCGGAAAAATTGAGCCGGCGGAAAAAACGTTTTTTTTCCTGAAAAAAAGTAAAAATTGTCAAATTTTCAGAAAAATTGATTTTTTATTTTATTCAAAGGGTAATACGTAAAAATGCAATTCAATTTTTCTGAAAATTATCAAATTTTTACAGATAATATCCATGCACTGATATCGAGAAAAAAGTGTATTTCCGACTGATTATAATCATTTTATTATATAATAATTATGATTATAATAACTATTCCTACTATTTTAATTCGGTAAGAATATTCAACCAAACATATTCGGTGCTGTATTAACATAATTATCGTTTTTACATCGTTTTATAAAATTAAAATTTTGCAATCAAACTATAAATCATAAATCATTCAATGGACTCGCTTTTGTAAAAAGGTCTCAACTGACAGTATATTTAACTTTTACGTTTATTTTCTTAAATCAATTAAATTCATGTATTTTTTTTATCTGTACAATGTTTTAAAATTAAAATTATGTTAAGTTTTATTGCTACTTTTATTCAAATGTGTATATTTTCCGAAAAAAATCAGTTTTTCCCAAAAAACCCAAATTTTTCCAAGGCCTGGGAAAAAAACCCGAAAATAATGGTTTTCCCCCCCAATTTTTTCGTTTTTCACACTTTTAAACCCTACTTAAAACTGCCGAAATTTATTATGGTACAATTTATCTGGACTTTTTATTAATTCTCATTGTTATATGTCAGGGACGAGTACAGAAACGACGAGGGCGATCTGATGGAGTGCCTGATCGCGCACAAAAACGACCCTTCGATAAAATCGAACCAGCCGTGCCGCGCCAGCATCGAGCACTTCCAAATCGTCTCGATCAAGGACCTGAAGTTCACGTACAAGTTCAAGATGGCGTGCAGGCACGTCGCGCAGCGCCTCTGCGAGACGGCGCGCACCAAGACCGACGTGGTGCAGTGCTTGAGCGAGCAGATCCTCAATTACACGGTGCACGGCGTCAAGAGCCCCGTGCCGCGCGAATGCAAGCAACAGCTGAAGGCGCAGTTGCTGCAGCAACGCGAAAACATCGACTTGGACCCCAAACTCAAGGCCGCCTGCGACCAGGACATCAGGAAGTTTTGCGCGAAGGTTTCGCCCGGAAACTCCGACGTTTTGGAGTGCCTGCAAACTCAGCGCGACAGGTTGATGAAAAGGTGCTCCGAGGAAATTTTCAAGGTTAAGAAGATCGAGATGTTCGATAATTCCGTCGATTACGCTCTCAATAATTACTGCGTCGATAGTATAGACCGGTTTTGTCCTCAACACAGTAAAGAGACCATTCTGGATTGTCTAAAGGTAAAATAAAATGCTTATACTTTTTTAAATTTAATTTTTTACAAATTTTTGTATTAGGTACAACCACAATCCAGACAACAAGATCTGTTCTATCTCGTTTCGCGTATATAAAAAATCACTGCAACACTGCACAGAATCTAGCGGCGGACATTTTTATGTTGTTTACAATTCTTGTGCTTTCAGTTTGTGATGTTTATACGGATTAATATTCGTTTTAAACGTTTTTCTTAAAGAGGAACTTGTAAGCCTCAGATAAGGCCTTAAAGTGCTAAGAACAACCATTTTACTCCTCTTTTGGTAAAAATGAACCTTATTCTATCACGGCACAACTGTTAAATTTAAATTTTAAGGTTAATTTACCCTTACTATTTAAAATTTCCGGAAAAATTGAGCCGGCGAAAAAAAACGGTTTCTTTTTTCAAAAAAAAAAACGGACAAATTGGGAAATTTTCAGAAAAATTGACTTCATTCTTTTCATTTTATTCCATGGGAAATAGGAAAAAATGCTCAAGTAAATTTTTCTGAAAATTTCAAAATTTTAACAGATGCTATCACATACACTGATGCGCATTATTTCAAGTGTAATACTATGCTTTTTCTACTCCAATTAAGTAATTTTCATTGATTACAAAATTTATTATAACCCCACATATTCCCGATTTTAAAGATGATTATAGTCGCCCCTCGTATATATAAACAAATCTGACATCTGTTAACCTTACTTTTTCCCAATTTAAAACCCGATTGGTTCAAATAACAGTGAATATTGAAATCAGCCAATCACTGATGCCTAACATCTTGAATAATGAGTTCAATATTCCCGTTGTTATATTGGTTAACATTATTTACGAAAAACCCTAATACTGTCAATAATATGCAATAGGAGTGAAAAAAATTATAATTTTGTAATTTAACTTTTTAAATCATTCCTTATTTTGTGCTTGGATATTTTCAATGGACTCCTTTTTGCAAAGAAGACCCAACCGACAGTATATTTGACGTTTACGTTTATTTTCTTAAATCAATTTAATTTAATTCAAGTTTTAGTTTTATTTATTTTTTTCTGTAAGGGTATTTTTTAAATGAGTATAGGTATTTTCAAAAAAAAAATCAATTTTTCCCAAAAAGACAATTTTTCCAAGGCCTGGGAAAAAAAACGGAAAAAACAGGTTTTTTTTCCGCAACTTTAAAACCCTAGTAAGAAACACAACGTTTAAAACAATTTTTAATCTGTATAAAAAGCAAACACCTAAAAATGGCCGCCGTTATATATAACAGACCTTGCTGTGTGTAGTATGGGTACAACATGTACCACAAGTAGAGATGTAAAAAAACGGTTTTTTTCAGATGTGAAAAAACCTAGAAAAAAACGTTTTTTTTGTCTTTTTTTCAAATCCGCTTCAATAAAGCATATTCTGTCAATAAACATCAATCTTAAAAATGGAGAAATTTTTCAAAATAAAATTTTGAGTAAAATGTATATTAATAATAAAGTAAAATGTATAATATATAACATTTTTCATTATTGAACATTTTGACCGAAACAACAAACTCTGATTTCTTATTATTTGGTAGTTTCCACATAAGAATACAATAACAATGTAAAATTTCTAATGGAAAAAATTAAAGGAGAAGTAAAATCCAAATTTTTTGCGATTTTTCGGATAACTGTATCTTCGTTAAAAATAGTCATTTTGGAGCCGTAAAAAAAGCAATTTGAAGCTTGAAGTTTCTAGTTTTGAGATTTTAAAATGAAAAAATTTTCAAAGGAATGCCGTAATAAACAAAATTCGAAATTTGTTTGGCTTTCTTTTTTCGTCCACAAACTTAATGTTCTGACTTAACCACCAATGAATAAATGTTCTACAAGAATTTGCTAAAAATCATCAAAGAAAGGGCTTTTGGTAACTTTTTGGAAAATCAAGCGTTGAATCAAAAAATTTATAGGTAGTTACTTTTTTAGGACCAAATCAAAATAAGAGCGGCCCTTATTGGTCAATTCGGTGGTGATGGCGCGTGCATAGCGCGATACTGTATTTACATTTACTAAATGTGATTTAGTGGCTAAATTTTATTATGTGAATTGGACGGAAACATAAAAAATTAGGCAAATGGGACTAATCTTGAAAAAAAAGTCTAAAATATGAAGAAAAAAAAACATTAAAAAAACAATGAAAAAAACCTGAAAAAAACGAAACGTTGCTATTCGTTCGCATTCGCTGTTATTGCCAACATTGCTGCTCGTTTGCGCTCGTTCGTACTCATTCGCGGCAACGTTGCTTGGTAGACTGACACATTTGCGAATTGCATGCAGAAAATGCCAGAGCGGAGCTAGAAATCGTAAACAAATAGCAAGTCTGACTTCTGGTGGTATAGCTTCTCTGAAGTATGTATTCCGTTTAACAATTTCTGGTTTAACCATTTCCAGAAGGAAGCTAAAATCTTCTCGAGACATTCTAGTAAAGTTTTTAAAAAACGTAGGATTTGAATCGGCTACCATACCATCATATCTTGTTCTACTCAAATATAAATCATTTATCCAAACAAATCTCTTTTTCCTCTTCTGTTTTTCTTTTCGTCGCCTAATGATTTTATGGATAATTATGTACGAGGCACAGGCACAAAATCAACTTTCCTCCCTGAATTATTTTTGACACTGCCACATGTGAACGCCTAACAACGTTCGCAGACATTCCCGTTTCTCAGATCTATTCCCGGCTTAACAACAAGTAATGATATGTTTTTACAATGAAGTTATTTTTCAGCAATACAAGGACGAGAAAGGCTTCAACAAAAAATGCCGTTCGGTGGTGGTGAACAGGATGATCGAGCAGGACACGAACTACCAGCTGAACCCGTCGTTGCAGCAAAAATGCAACCCCGACATAAAAAAGTTCTGCCTCAAGGAGGCGACCGCCTCGTCCGGCAAAGACTCGAACTCGCAGAACTCGCCGGTGATAAGGTGCCTCAAGGAGCGCTTCAAGAGGTCCGAGCTGACGAGCAAGTGCGAGAAGGAGGTGGCGAGCATACTGCGCGAGCAGGCGCTGAACGTGAACTTGAACCCGTTGATCAGGGCCGTGTGCAAGAACGAGCTGAACACCGTCTGCTCGTACGGCGAGGAGGAGGGCGAGGGCGGCGTCGAGGAGTGCCTCAAGGACGCGCTGCTGCACAAGAAGATCCAGACGCCCGAGTGTTCCGTCGAAGTGGCCAACATGATCGTGGAGTCGCAGGCGGACATCCAGGTGGATCCCCTGCTGCAGAGGGCGTGCGCCTTGGATTTGCTCAACTTTTGCGGCCTGGTGCCGCAGGGAAACGGCAGACGTGAGTTTTTTTTAGTTTTTTTACTTAAATTTTTAAGGGTGCGCTTAGAGAATTTATTTTTGCGCGAATTCAGCACAAACGAGCAATGTTGCTTATTTTTCTTGTTTATTCTAAATATTCTGATTTTCTCAATATCCTTAAGAAGATTCTCAATTTTCCCAATGTTCTCGAGAAGTTACCAGTTTTCTCAATATTTTTACAGGTGTTATCTTTTTCTTATTATCTCAATACAAAAATACAAAAGTATTAAATAGTTTCTTGACTCCAATATTTGAAAAGATAAACGCTGACATTTTTATTTCGGCGAAGTAACTATTTATTTATTTATTTATTCGATTTAGTACAAATATTATTACACAAGGTTTTAGCCTAAGGCTATGCAACCATAATTACGACGAGTTGGGAACTTTGTTCAAAAATTTTTATTTATTCGATTTAGTACAAATATTATTACACAAGGTTTTAGCCTAAGGCTATGCAACCATAATTACGACGAGTTGGGAACTTTGTTCAAAAATTTCTTTAGTTTGTGGTAGGTCTGGTCTATGTTTTTTAGTAGGTCCATGATTTTGCTTCCAGTGTCTTTTTCGGTTTGTTGTCTTGCTTGTTGTGTCCTTTTGCAGTGGAGCAGAACATGTTCCACCGTCTCGGGTACCTCGCAGGTTGGACAGTCTGGATTATCTATTTGTTTGAATACTGTGTCCAGTCCTGTATAGAATTATTTTTGTTGTAGCTTGTCTTTTAAGGTTTGTTTTGTGGAACCATGGTATTAACTAGATTTTACTAATAGAGCATTCAAATTTTTGCATACAGTGCCCATAAAACATTCTCTTTTCTTTTACTATTAAAAAAATGCTTTTGATTTACACAGAAATTTTTTTAAATTTAACGCCGCGGTAGATTCCCAATTTAGAAAATCCAACAAGAATTCAGGAATTCCAATAAATACAGCTACAAATATTTAATTGAAATCATTTTTTAGATAATATTAAGTATTTGTCGTAGAAAAAGTATAGTATGCAACTCGTTTATAAACTTTTCTAAGCCTGAATTAAATTCTTGACTAAAATGGCGTTTATCAAAATTGATAAATAATATACTATTATTCCACGTTACTCGGAAATTTTTTTCCCACCCACCCCTATATTAAACGGTTTAATCAAATTATTAAAAACATACTATTTATTTTGTATTTCAGACCCGCCTCCCTCCATGTCACGCATAATAACATTACTATAGCCCACAATGTTACAAAGTCTTGACCCCCTCCCTTCCATTAACGTGCGACGTACTTTAAAGAAAACCCCTAAGTTATAAAAAATCTAATCTACACAGAGAAAACAGAAATGGTCTCTTCTTACTATTATTCTTACTTTAAATATTTTTTCTTGATTTATTCATTCATTCCATCTTCCCATACACCTTATCGTCGCCTTCAGGAGAAAATCACGTAACTCCACATTTTCATTAAAATTGAATTTTAGTGGCATCTGTTAGATAAAACTGTAACTAATTTATATGCAAGTTACAGAAGTCCTAAAATAAACCGTTAATTTTAAATTTAGAAAAAGAAATATACGTATCTCCAATCGTGGAGGAGCGTCCAGGGAATAATGCCTAACTCCAATATACAAATCAGTGCCATTGACAAGTATAAGTTATTGCCTAGTTATTTTTTCTGTATGTAAGTATGAAAGATTGTATAGTGTGTAAAGTTAAGGTACCATGAATAATTTAAGGTTACTTTTATTAACATAAAGTACATATTGGAGATACGTAATTTTCCATTAAACAATTTTTTGGCGGTAATGTGGAGATACACCAATACACCTTTAATATGTTTTTCTTTCCTCCTGTAAAATTTTACAACATGGAGTTAAGCAATTTTCTCCTGAAGGCGACGTTATTAACAATTATCACACTGTAGGTACCTTTTACAAACATCCATATAAAATTATTTTTTGATCTCTGAGCACAATCGAGAACGTTCCCCTACTTACAACACTAGGTGCGCTAAACCTAAACTTTTTTTTCAGATATCCAGTGCCTTCAAAGCAAACTTCAAAGAACACCTCACGAAATGTCCCCCATTTGCAAGGAAATGCTTACCAAAAGACTTCAAATGTATAAAAACGCACAGGTAAAATCATAATTAATTATTTATTATTATTATCATTATTATTTAGTTTTTTTACACCATTTTTGTGTTTTTAAACCATTCTTTTTAGTATTTTTTAAACCTTATTTAGAATTTTTCAGGTTTTCATCTCCATTTAAAGAGTCTGATAAATAAATAATAGTAGGCTGTGGCAGCAAATAAAACGTATTTTAATTAACTTATTACAAATTAAAGTTTCTTTATCTAGTCCTTTTGCATAATATTGTTTTTTTTTTCGTAAATAATGAATTCCCTGCATAACAACGTGAATAATGAACTCATTTTTCACTGTGATTTGAACCAATCTGGTTTTAAGTTGGGAGAAGGCGACTCTAATTACAAATTGTAATTAATTTACAATTAAAATTGGTAAAAAGTAAGGTTAACCATTTGACAGCAGTGTTGCCAACAGTCTGAAAGTAGTTTCCGCCGAATGCAAACTGAAAATCCGCTAAAAATCCGCCAGATTTAAAATTATTTTTGGAATAATAAAAAAATATATTGTATTTTCTTATTCTTTTTAGGTACTTAAATTATTAATTGTTAAAAAAATAAACATTTTTTTAGTCATTAGGTATACTTGTTGGACATTCTGTTAAAATTTTCATCTTTCATCTCCTCTTCTACACACTTTAATGGGATGTCTTTAACTAGAGATATAACTAGAGTTGGCGAAACTCGTAGAAATAAGTTATTTCAAATAACCTAGCAAAACTTGTTAATGTTTGACATTTGACACTAGGAATTGTCAGGAACGCCTAAATGCAGGAATGGGCTCCATCTGAATATAAATTTTGCGTAAAATAAAACCAAATCAAACCAAACCCAACCAACCCAACCCCCCGTAACCGCCCTATTGAAGCCTAACCACCCTATTGAAGACGATTATTCCATCGGTAACAAAGTTCGAGATAAAGGGCAATGCACGATGGAATAATCGTCTTCAATAGGGTGGTTAGGCTTCAATCGGGTGGTTACGAGGGGTGGGGTGCCTGGGTTTGGTTTGATTTGGTTTGTTTTATTTTACGCAAAAATTATATTAAGATGGAGCCCATTCCTGCATTTAGGCGTTCCTGAATTGTCGGTAAAACATTGCGCATTAAGATAGTTTATCTTATTGCGCACTGTTTTACCGACAATTTCATTCGAAGTGTCAAATGTCAAACATTAATAAGTTTCGCCAACTCTTAGAAACTTAGTACTAACTAAGTTATATTTTTTTTAATACTTTTTCAGCGGTTTTTGCAACTGTTATCCGCCAGAAGTTTTAATAATTTCCGCTAAAAAATCCGCTATCCGCTAAAACCATTTTTTATCCGTCAAGTCAATTTTTTTCCGCCATATTTGACGGGAAAACCGCCGTGTTGGCAACACTGTTTGACAGATGTCAGATTTTATTTATTTATTTTTGAAAATCATTTAATTATCTAGGTACTTATTGGAGTAGATAAAGTATAGTATTACATTTGAGATTATGCGCATTATTCACTCGGATGATTTAAGTCTCTCTTCTAGGGACTCGAGACGCAAACCTCATCCTCTTGAATAATAGCCTGCATTATCTAAAAAGAAACAATAGGTACTATGCTCCACACTTCAAAGTCCCACCACGTGACCACGTACGGAACGCAGTCTTTTAATAATTTGTCATTTAAGGCTTTTCAGGTTATGTATCTGTCAAAGTATAGTCAATGCAAGAAATAATATTTATACTGTTACCATTTATGTTTAAGCGTTAAAAGTTTATAAATCTTTATAGTATCACAGTAACAATGGTTGGTTTAATGAAATTCTAAGTGTATAGTGCCAAATAAGTAAAATTTTTGTGCATTTGGTCTACATATATCTGGTTTTATCCATTAAATAGCTTTAACTAAACGGCATTTATTAAAAAAATTTAGCTTGTCTATTATGAAGTAAGAATATCTGTATCAAAGGTAGGTTAACATATTATAAGAAAAAATATTATCTAATTTTGAAATTTTAAGGTTAGAAAAATCTATTTTGATCAAAATAAATAAGTATTTTGGATTATTTGGAAGAGTGTGTTAATATGGTCATATAAATATAGATATACTAAATAATTGTTGAATATGGTTCAAATTAAATTAAAGCTTTTATACTTCTAACAACAAAACTTGTGCATACCTCTTGAGATCCCTACTTTAAGTTAGATTATAAGGAAACAAACAATTTTTAGAGATACATGCAATGTAAAAATATTTAATACTCCCATAACATGTGATTTTTGAAATTTTTAAAAGTTATAATGATTTTTCGATGAAGATAAAATTCAGTTGAAGCTTTATACGTAATTGTATTGACTAAACTTTATGTAGGTATACTTTAAGCTGGATAAGAAAGACTACTACAAGTAAAAATATTAGATAGAGTATAATGTGGTTTTATTTAAATTTTAGAATTTATAAGGTTATTTATACCTAATGATTGTTCGATGTAGATGAAATTTTGTCGAAGCTTTTATAGGTACTTGTATTGACACTATGGGTATATTAGCTGACAGTAGGTGCTTTCCTTTCATTTTTGAAGTGAGCCAAGCAAAAGTGAGATAAGCGAGGCCACTTACGCGCACTCATCTTACCTAAAATAGACCAAAGGAACGGTTGGTAAGCCTATTTTCTCTAAAAGTGACACTTGACAGTTTAACCCTTAAGCCTGAATTATAGATTGCCTTCCTTCCTTCCTCCCGTAGTCGTGCCCGTACGGTACGGGAATCTATAACTGGCAATACGATTTAAATAAACATTTTTGACGTAATTGTCACCATTAACATTGCCCGTTATTAATTTTAATTAAACTTAACAATTATTGATAATTTAAAATATTAAAATTACTTAAAAATATGATTTTGTTAAGAAAATATTTTATTTTTTGATTTTTTTTATTACTATAATTGCAAAATTTTATCACAAAGTATTAAAAATACCTAAACGGGAAATGTTAATGGTGACAATTACGTAATGTTCATCTTCTACGGGAGGAAGGAAGGAAGGAAGGAAGGCAATCTATAATTCAGGCTTTATGTTCTGTGGTTTAACCATTTCCCTCAACGGTTTAACGCAAAGATTAAAGACTTAACGAACAAAATGTCGAATCAAATAATACAGGTAGTTAAAAATATAAATCCAATTTAAAAAATAATAAATACCTTTTTTTTTCTTTAATTTTATAGAATGTAGTGAATGTAATATTCAGCAGCGATTCTGAAAATACTAGTTTAATCGTATCGTATCATCGTAATCGTAAATTACTATTTACATAGTCATACCTACAATTGTAGGTATTCTAGTCGCCGAATGAATCGTTCAATTTGAAATCCGAATGAAAATATGCGATTAATAATCGCGGATTACTTAATTCGAAAATAAACGGCGATTATAAATCGCATACTTTCATTCGAATTATCAATTCGATTAAATTATTCCGATATTGAAATCCGAATGAAAGTATGCGATTTATAATCGCCGATTATTTAATCGAATTATCATCCGATTATTGAAATAATCGTATCGGATATAATCGGTTATTGATATAATCCGATTATGCCCATCACTAATATTGTTTTAATTTTCTTCTGTTTTGTTTGATAGAAAGTGTACAACCTCACTTTTTGGCGTGCATCTATCCCCACCACCAAGTAATCAAAATTTCTCATTTGTAAGTGTGCTCCGGAGGTTGTGCTTGATCGGTAAGGGGGGAGGTAAAATTCTCACTTTGGCTTACCTGTCATTTTGCAAATGGAACGGTCTCTAAAGTGAGATAAACCAAGGTGAGGTAAGAATATCTAAGAATCGTGGCAAAAGGAAAGCACCTAGTGTAAGGAACTTTAAGAAGGTTAGCTATTGAATTTCCAAAAACACTTGTAAAAACAATTTACAGTTACAATACCTACCTAATGGTTTTATATTTGAGATCTCTCATGGTGCTTATTTCCAAGAGCAAGTTATTTAATTACAGCTTACATTTAGGTAGTGGATGACTAATTTGTTTTACTTGGGCATAAATATTTATTTATTTAAAGTACCTACATATAAACATCTTTGATTAATTAAATAAACAAAAAATAGTATATTTTAAATAAAAATTTAAAGAATCTAAAATCGATAAAAGTTCAAAAACTCACATATAGAAAAAAAATAAGTTTAGAAATTTGTAAAATAATAAAAAACATTATTTAAAATTATTTAATAATTTGCAAATTTTAATAATTTTAAGGTGTTGTTTTTAGATTCCTTCTTTAAAATTAACCCCTTTTAATATTTAATTAATTTTAAAAATCTTAAAATAGTTAAGTTTTACAGTTGAAAATATTTATGCCGGAGTAAAACAAAATAGACATCATAATTGAACAACTGGCTCTTGGAAATAAGCAATATTAAACATTTCAAATATAAAACCATTAGATACTTAATTTTAAAAAACTGTAAATTCTTTTTAAAAATTCAATAGGTAACCTTCTTAAAGTTCCTTACACTGTCAGCTAATATACCCATAGTGTCAATACAAGTACCTATAAAAGCTTCGACAAAATTTCATCTACATCGAACAAGCATTAGGTATAAATAACCTTATAAATTCTAAAATTTAAATAAAACCACATTATACTATATCTAATATTTTTACTTGTAGTAGTCTTTCTTATCCAGCTTAAAGTATACCTACATAAAGTTTTGTCAATACAATTACGTATAGCTTCAACTGAATTTTATCTTCATCAAAAAATCATTATAACTTTTAAAAATTTCAAAAATCACATGTTATGGGAGTATTAAATATTTTTACATTGCATGTATCTCTAAAAATTGTTTGTTTCCTTATAATCTAACTTAAAGTAGGGATCGATCCCAAGAGGTATGCACATGTTTTGTTGTTAGGACTCCTAACTTAGGAGTATAAAAGCTTTAATTTAATTTGAACCATATTCAACAATTATTTAGTATATCTATATTTATATGACCATATTAACACACTCTTCCAAATAATCCAAAATACTTATTTATTTTGATCAAAATAGATTTTTCTAACCTTAAAATTTTAAAATTAGATGATATTTTTTGTTACACAGTGACTAGAGGCACGCTAACGTACCGCGATTGGAAATATTAAAGGCACGTTAGTTACGTCATAATTATAATCCGTTTTTGTTCCCTGTCCATTTAATATTTGACATCAAGCTAAATAGCTTATATGGTAGGGCGTTCGCTTGGCATGCGAGAGGTCCGGGGTTCGAAACCAAGTAGCTGTCGAATTTTTTTTATTTTTTTATTTCATAAATTTGTTGTTTCTTTGTTAAACAGTGTTCGGTTGGGTTGGGTTGGTTGGTTTGTTTTAGTTTTATCGTAACATAAAATCTACTAGAAGTTGTCGAACTTTTCTTATTTCATAAATATGTTGTTCCTTTGTTAAAAAGTGTTTTATTTTTATCGTAACATAAATTTGCCCATTTTAGTTGGGTTTTTTGTTCAATGGGGCGGGGGGGGCCAATGGGGGCGGGGTCGGTTGGGTTGTGTTGTTGAGTTTGGGATGGTTTGAGTTTATGACGTAACTAACGTGCCTTTAACATTTCAAATCGCGGCACGTTAACGTGCCTGTAGTCACAGCGTTTTTGTTATAATATATTAACCTACCTTTGATACAGATATTCTTATTCCATAATAGAGAAGCTAGATTTTCTTAATAAATGCCGTTTAGTTAAAACTATTTTATGGATAAAACCAGATATTATATTATATATTAACATATTATGTAGACCAAATGCACAAAAATTTTACTTATTTGGCACTATACACTTTAGAATTTCATTAAATGCAGTATTTATACTCCTAAACTCTTAAACCAACCATTGTTACTGTGATACTATAAAGATTTATAAACTTTTAACGCTTAAACATGAACGGTAACAGTATAAATATTATTTCTTTCATTGACTATACTTTGACAGATACATAACCTGAAAAGCCTTAAATGACAAATTTTCAAAAGACTGCGTTCCGTACCTGGTCACGTGGTGGGACTTTGAAGTGTGGAGCATAGTACCTATAAATTGTTAATTTGTTATAATGGCAAAAATTAAGGTTTAAAACTGTCATATTTTTGTGTTTCTTAAGTTGACAGCACGAAATTTGAAATGATAATTTTAAAAAGTGCTTAAAAATTGTTTTTGAGATTTCCATAAAAAATATACTGTAATAATCGTTTTCTAAGCCATCAAAATGATACTTTTTGATTGCTTGAATTTAAAAACGGATCTTTGAAATAAATCCATGTAAAACGACCCCTGTGCAGAATTGTTATTTCCCACAGATTTCCCATAGAAAAAAAATCGTTTCCAAACTCGAGAACCAAAATAGGATCATGTTAATAGTTTAAAAAATTGACTTTTAAAGTTTATTTTTTATAGAAATCTTAAGAGCAAGCTGAAGAAATACAAAATAAAAAAATGGAGTATGAAAACAAATGTAAATATTATTTTCTTGGAATCTGAGCTGTAAAAAAATCTGAAATTATTTGTGTATTTTTTAAATATTTGTAGGTATTATAATTAAGTGTTTTTTAAAGATATTGTACTATATTTTTACAATCTTTCTATTTTTTACTTATTTTATTTTAGAATGCTTTGCCAGAAAATTTGCAACAGCTTTACAGCCAAGTTGTGGCTTCGCCATCAAAACATTATTTCTTCTTGGTAATAATGATGTTATTCAGTTCGATTTTCGTGATAGGAATGTTCTGCGGTCGCGTTACCAGGAAACACCGCTTGATAAAGAATAAATAAAACAAATGACAGCAGCTGGGTTGCGGACAGACCCAAAACCTACACTTTGTGATAAATAAATGTAAATTTTTAATTTTGATTTTTAATAGCACAAAATACTCGTGAGATGAACGCATCTCTCTTGTAAATAGGTTTATGTATATTTTTTAATTAGGCCAAGTTTTTTATTTTATTAATTCAAAATGACTGCATTAAAATTTTGTATTGTATAGATTTTAACATAGTTTAAGACGTGTAAAAAGCAAAAGTCAATATAACTAAAAATAATTTTTACTTATAAATCAATTGTTTTATTTGTGAAACAAATGAGGAATTTTGGAAAGTTGGTGGATTCAAAGTTGGCGGCGCTCGGTCGGTAAGGTAGATCCCTGCAGTGCTAAGTGCTCGAGCGAAAACAGCAGATCTGCCATTTTGCGAAGGTGTTTTTAAAGAACCAATATTTACAGTTTATTTAGACGAGTTATTCCGTTGTAACAATCAATTTTGGAGCAATAAGCAAATGTTTAAATGGACGCATCGTCCATCATTACCCAGGTGTCGAGGGAAGACGAACAATTAAATACTTACGTTCCCGAAAAAGGTAAATAACAAGTGACAGATTATATTAAATAATTACGAGTACACCTGTAAAAAAAGGCAAATGATTATTCAACGGTTGCAAAGAGTGATCAAGTGTGTGAGCAGTTCCTGGATCACTAGTGAGTTGTGCCTTTTTTGCGCGACAAATCAACGTCGTGTGTATGTTGTAGGCGTGTTGAGAATTTTATAGGCACTCATAGGTGCATACATAGGTAAACAATAAGATGCTATAGCTAGCAATACGCGAACCAGCTAACCTTGAAAACGACCCTGACAATTTGTTTTATTTATCCACTCTTCTGGGCCCATTTGAAAAATTGCAACAAAAAGGAATTCCTTAAATATTTATGCTAATTATTTCTTACACACCTATGACCTCTTTTGTAAACACTGCACACACCTTCTCATTCTTTTCAGCTTGCATGAACTTTCATAAACAATTGGGGTTTTGCACATTTCTTAAAATTTTTGGTAATTTTTGTAGAATTACCTAGTTATTAGGTAGTGAATTTAATATAAATCTTTTGTATTAACCAATTTTGCTTTAGAAACAACTGAATATACTGAGTGTCACATTTCAGTAAACTCATACATTCTAAAAGTAAAACGGTTTGTCAGTGTCAAGCTAATTTCGTCTTATTATTTTCTAAGACACATAAAATACACAATTTAGTAGTGGTAAATATATTTATTGGAAAATCCAAAAGGCTATCGACCAAGGTCTTTCTGCCTATATAAATACAATATTTTTTTACAAATTATTTGATATAATTATAAACTATACCTATAAACAGATAATATATTATATTGCATTTTCAGAAAATAGGACAAAATTTGCTTAACAGTAACAGAAAATTAACCTATTTTTATTATTTGTATCAGTAACGGGGTGACTTGGGTGTGAACCATAGTTCCTATACATTACACACCATTTAAGCATACATAAACTAAACTTTTACTAAAATACATGCTTATAGTGGTTAGGTTTCGTAATTTACTGCCAGTTATTTAGTTATTTTACTGTCAGTAGCGAAAAAATACTGTTTTGTAATTTATCCAGTACTGATGTTTACTAATGTTTGTTGACATAATAAATTTTGTTCTATTTAAATTGTACAATAGGAGTTATTATTCTGTTGACATCAAAATCTAAACTGCCTTTATGGACAACTAACCTTACTTCCGGTTATCACTTTTCTTGTCATTTTGACAGCAAAAGCAAAAATGGTCATTATTGTATCTGCTATTTACAGAATTGGTTACCGTTATTTAAGGAAAAAATAATGTCAATAATATGCAATAGGAGTAGAAAAATTATTTTATCTACTCATTTTGTATAATATTGGGATTTTTTCGTGAATAATGATAAACGTAATAAATTCCCTGCCTAACAACGGGAATAATGAACTCATTATTTACGCTGTTAGGCATCTGCGATTGGCCGATTTCAATATTCACTATGATTTGAACCAATCGGGTTTTAAATTGGGAGAAGGTGACTATAATAACATTTAAAATTGATAAAAAGGAAGGTTAACTGTTTGAAAGTAAAATAGCAAATTAGCATAGACAATAAAAATAATTGTCGCATATTCTAGTAGTTTAAAATCAAGCAAAAAATTTTATAAAGAATAAAATTTTCGGAGAAATAAAATATTTTTGACGTACTGTATACCTATTTTCAAATTGAATTTGTAATAGAAAATATTAAATAGTTTGGACTCTGTATAATGTTTAAATTTGTTATTTAACATTGCTCTATGGGGTGCACCAAGTATTCTTTCATGTATGGGTATCTTTTCTATTTGAAGAGCTACAAGGTTGGTTAAATTAGAAAAAAATTGCAAAATTACAAGTTTTTTAAAATAGCATTTGAAAATTGAAAAAAAAATCTGCGGCTCACTAATTAAAAAAAACTAAAAACCGCCAAAACTAAAAATCGTTATTTCGTTATTTCTAAATTTAAAAAAGTAAGTTTTAATTCTAATTATAGTTATACACACTTTTCTACATTTTCATTCAATTTGTGATTTTTTATGCCTACTACCACTATCTTTGTTTCTCCTATGGCCGCCATATTGAAATTTTACATGGTAAGGTAAAAAAAAGAAATCCAACAATGTATCAAAGATTTCGATTCATCCTGGGCCGCCGCGGCCATTATAAAAACAAAAGATGGTGACCATTCCCAAACGTAAAATATAGTAGTAAAGATATTGGATGAAAATGTAGATTAGTGTATGTTTACGTGTAAAACTTACTTTTTTAAATTTACAAGAATAAGATAGTTATAGAAATTTTTGGTTTTGAAAGCTTTTTAGTTTTTTTTAATGTTTTGAGAACCGCTGGATTTTCCTCCAATTTATAAATTTCATTTTAATAGAATTACGCAACTTTTTATTTACCGACCTAGTAGCTTTTGAAATAAAAAAATTACCCATAGAAGGATACTTGGAGCACCCTGTGTATCTAAAACGGACTATAAAGTGACGTCATAAATGCTTGACCGCAGATTTAAAAACTGAATGCATTTTAAACACGTAATTTTTGTATTAAGTAAATTTGACAATATTTATATTTAGTATTTTTAACGTTATGTTTATATTTTAATTAAAATTTCAGTTGATGTTTTTATTAAGTTTTTTTGTTTCACACATTTTTATACAGAGAATCCTGTTCCTAATGGGACAGCGTACATTGTACTCAACATAATAAAATGTTTTTAAATTTTTGCATTTCATTATGAGCAATTTTGAGCATCTTTTTGGATATTTTCACCTACAGATGTGTGCATAAATGGGGTAGTTAAATTTTTTCTGACCTATACTTTTTATGGTTTTATTCAAGGCGTTTTGTAATATTAAACATTTCTGTGAAATCAGAATTTCAATTGAGTTTACTGTTTTCGAGATATTTACAAAAAATATAAATTTTTATGACGTCACAAACCTCGCCATGTGACCAACATTCTAAGATTTCTATTGGTTGAAAATTACCCTGTTGTCAAGTTGTCTTATTAATGATTTCATTCGGTTATGTCAGAAAATACCCGAAGAGGTTATGTACAAATACTGTCACTGTTAGTTGAGTGTAGGATGGTCACCAAATTCATTAAGTACCTATCTTCCTTATTACGAGGTATAATATTACTGTTTGATATTTTAGAGTCCAAGATATATCTAAAAGAATATAAAGAACTAGGCATTATACTAATGAAATGCATTTACGACAAAATATGATTATAATTATAGGTACTTACTTTATTTGTTTAAAAGCTCCTATAGGACATATATGTTCAATGGAACCAACCATTCCACAAGATTCCTCTGCTTTGGAGTCCGTTATTAATAAATCACTTATCTAATATCAATTACAAATAACATAACAATAACATTGATTTTAAATAATCTAAATTAAAAAAAAACATAACCCGATAAAAAGAAACGTCAAAAAATCAATTCTTCTTCTTCTTCTCAACTAAAATTATAGATCAAGTGGTTTTAAAACTAAAATATTATAACTTGGCGCCATCTATCGTAAGAATCTTAAACTAAACACACTGGCAACCATAGAAAAAGCTGGCAACGTTGTCAATAGCCTAGTGACGTAATTAGGAGATTTTTTTTGTAAATATTTCGAAATCGGTAAACTCAATTGAAATTCCGATTTCACAGAAATGTTTAAAATTACAAAACGCCTTAAATAAAACCATAAAAAGTATAGGTCAGAAAAAATTTCTGACCTACCCCATTTGATAATTTGAATCAACTTGTTCATAGGAGGCAGCCTACCTCGCAGTGCCGTTGAAAATGACGTTGGCGAGGCTCACATCACACAGACCCCCAGTGAGAAAAAGAGCAGCAGCCGGGGACTGCTGCGTTCGCTGCTGTGCTGCTTGGGCAGGCGGAAAAACAAAAAGGAAAGGGCGGGCAAGCAGGGCGAAGTGTGCGTGGACGGGAACCAATATGCGGAGAGCAGCCGCCTGAGTTTTCTGCCGCCCGCCAGGCACCAGGACATGCACAAGAAATGCATGGTCATCGATTTAGACGAGACCTTGGTACACAGCAGCTTTAAGGTGTGTATTTATATTTTGCTTACTTTAAATAGAATAAATTTCCAACGGGAATCTACCTGCGTTAAAATCTTAAATTTTTCTCCATAAATCAAAATTTATCCCTTGAAAATAGACTAACAATCGATATCAATCTTTTATGGGCACTGTACGCAAAATTTTAGCGCTTTATCAGTTAAATCCAGTTAACTGCACTAGTATGGGGAAATCGAAAGGTCAGTACAAACGTTCATATAATCTTTTTAAATATTGGCGTTGAGAAACTATTTAATACTTTGTATGACATTTGACAACTGTCAACTAACTTCTAACTAACTTCAGTCCGTGACTAAAAATGTCTAGAGAAGTTTATAAAACGAGTTGCATACTACACTGCCGTCAAAATTAACGCAAAAATTCTAACCCTAAAACGCCTTTACCAATCTTTATGAAATTTTGTATAAAAATACTTCAACTTATATCTCAGTTTACGTATAGGTACGAGGGTTTTTCAAAAAAATGTTTTTATAGCCCTTTAATTAAATAATAAAAAAACGTTCTAAAAATAACTTTTATAGAATTTTTTTAAGTAAATTAAAAATATGGTGTTAAAGACCGTATTTTTGTTAGTATACCCTAAACATTTTGTACAAATCAAACGAACATTAACGAAGATACAGCACTTCAAAGTCGGTAAAAATGACCCCTTTTTGATTATTTTGCTGAAAAGTGGTCATTTTTGACGACTTTGAAGCGCTGTATTTTCGTTACTGTTCGTTTGATTTGTACAACATTTTCAGGGTTTACTAACAAAAATACTGTCTTTCACAGGATATTTTTTATTTACTTTAAAAAAAATTCCCCATCGAGCGTTTTTTATTATTAAATAAAAGGGCTTTAAGGATATTTTCTCGAAAAACCCTTGAACACGTAAACTGAGATATAAGTATTTTTATCCAAAATTTTATAAAGGCGTTTTAGAGTTGGATTTTTTTTACTTGTTATGCGTTAATTTTGACGCGCAGTGTATATTTTATCTACGACGGACAGACATAAGAATTTAAAGTCAATTTTAATTAATAAATATTTGTCATCTGACGAACTTAACCTCACTTTTTCGCAATTTATAATAAAGCCAACTTCAGCCCGTGACTAAAATACCCAAAAGCCACTGTTGTTAATTTTAGCCCGTGACTAAAACGCCATAAAGTCACAGCCAATGAAGGAGTAGATAATAGTTTATTATGTATTAAGTTTTATAAACGCCATTTTAGTTACGAGTTTTATTAGGCACGAGCGAAGCTTGCAAGCGAGTGTTTGATAAAAACGAGCGTCTAGAGAAGTTTATAAAACGAGTTGCATACTATATTTTATCTACGACGAACAGAAATAAGACTTTAAAGCCAATTTAAATTAATAAATATTTGACATTGACGAATTTAACCTCACTCTTTCGCAATTTATAATAAATCTAACTTCAGCCCGTGACTAAAATGCCCAAAAGCAACTGTTGTTAACTTCAGTCCATGATTAAAACGCAGCAAGTTACAGCTCGTCAATGTAGAAGTAGATAATAGTATATTATGTATCAAGTTTTATAAACGCCATTTTAGTTACGAGTTTAATTAAGCACGAGCGAAGCTTGCGAGCGAGTGTTTAATAAAAACGAGTGTCTTGAGAAGTTTATAAACGAGTTACATACTATACTTTATCTACGACGAACACAAAACAGAATTTAAAGCCAATTTTATTTGTTAAAATTTTGACATCTGTCAACTGTCACCCGAATTTAACCTCACTTTTTTCCAATTTATAATAAAGCTAACTTCAGCCCGTGGCGTAAAATGTCGAAAAGCCACTGTTGTTAACTTCAGCCCGTCAATAATAGTTATTTACGATATGTGGGATAAGCGCTTTATTAACGTATGCACGCGAAATTTGCCATTTTTGACTTTTGACTTTTTTATTTGATTTTGACATTTTGACTTTTTTATTTGATTGGTTAAAAGCAGAGAAAAACGCGTGCGTTAATGAACTTCTTATCTCACTCAAAATGAGTGGGATAAGAAGTTCTTATCTCACTGGCGTAGATAAAACGTATTTTTTGGACTACTTTAGGAATACTTATAGTATTTATTGAAAGTGTTTTTTTTTATTATTTGGTAGTTAGATTTAAGTAAGAATATAAGTTATATTTCAATTGAACCCCACATTTCCAAAACTCAATATTTCGAGAAAAGCTAAAAAAACTGTTTTATTTAAAAACTACTTGAACATCTATAAAGACAAGTACCTTAAAATAACCAGCGCTAAAAGCATTATATTGGACATGTGGGATTTCTCTTGAAAAGATGCGTCTTTTAAAAACAAGATGTAAATCTAAAAAATCCAAACTGTCAAATTTATGGACATGTGGGGTTTCTCAAATAAACGATTTAATTAGTTTTAAGTTAATTTTAGAAAAAGCTCTGTAATTGGAAACATTTTCCTGTAGAGTATTTCTCTAATAAATAAATTATTAAATAAATAAATAAGCGTATTAAGAGTGAGGTGAGTAATGCTTGGTTTTGTTTTAGCCGATCTCGAACGCAGACTTCGTGGTGCCGGTGGAGATAGACGGCACGGTGCATCAGGTGTACGTGCTGAAGCGGCCGAACGTGGACGAGTTTCTGCGGCGCATGGGCGAGCTGTACGAGTGCGTGCTGTTCACTGCCTCGCTGGCGAAATACGCCGATCCGGTGGCCGATCTTTTGGATCAGTGGGGCGTGTTCAGGGCGCGCCTCTTCCGCGAGTCGTGCGTCTTCTATCGCGGCAACTACGTCAAGGACCTCAACAAGCTGGGCAGGGACCTGCAGCAGATCGTCATCGTCGACAACTCGCCCGCTTCCTACATATTCCATCCAGATAATGCAGTAAGTTCAACCGACAACTTTTTTTATTTTTATTAAATTATGTTACAACTACACACATGATCAAAATTGTTGCATATTTTTGTATTTTAATTTTTGCTTTGTATAACGTTCTGTTTTTTGTTGTTTTGGAATAAATTTTCATTTAATTGTTATAATACGTAAAATAAAAAAAATTTAATATAGAAACGATTTAGGTGATAAAACATATTAAATATAAATTTTATTTATAGAATGAAGGTGATTATTTTTGAAAAATTGTTTATAATTGTAATGTCAATAATAGTATATTACACTACAAGGGCAGAAAGTGTGAGATTCCTGCACTGCGCGCCATGATGCCCGAGGCGAAGCCGAGGGCATCATGGCGCGCAGTTCAGGCCTCTCACACTTTCTGCCCGTGTAGTGTATACTATTTTTCTTGCTACCCCGCAGAAAATACGGGAAAAAATTAAATGTATATAAAAAAACTTGTGTCAAAATTAAAATCTGACGTTTAATTTAATTCTGACGTTTACATTCAAAATCAATCAAACTGTAGCGTTGTCATGGTAATTCAGCGGTGCCAATACAGTAAAAATAAAAGGTTGTATTTTAATTAACAAATTCCTACTTTATAACAAATAAAAGTACCATTAAACACTTAAAACAACATAAAAAGTTAAAAAGTAAAAACATAAATTGTTTATTTGTTGTTATAATTGCAAAATTATGGTTTAAAACTGTCATATTTTTGTGTTTCTCATGTTGGCAGTACGAAATTTGAATGTCAAGCACACGACTAAAAAAATTTTACTCCCGCTATTAGAGTGTGCGCGTATAGCTTGACCAATGCAAGAAACGTAAACTTATGTTCTGTGAACGTAAACTTTCTGCCGTGAAATCGGGGACGAAACAACGTATTTTGAGTCGAGGTAGTAAGAAAATTATTTATCTAAATTCTGTCGTCAAAGTCATCATCCTCCATCTCCAAGGTGGATGATTGGTTCCAGAACTTTTATTTTTATTATTTCCTACAAAAATATATACTTCAATATAATAAATTTTATTTTACGTATTATAACAATTAAATGAAAATTTATTCCAAAACAAAAAACATAACATTATACAAAGCGAAAATTAAAATACAAAAATATGCAACAATTTTGATCATGTATGTTACACATGGTGTATACAGGGTATACTTTTATTGGTATGTTTTTATTTGAAGAGCTACAAGGTCGTTTAAATATTAATGAAGTTCGGGCGCGATATTAGTCGCTATGAGAAAATGTTGAAAAAATTCTAGGTTGTAGTAGAGTCTACTTAAAAGACATTTACAAAGTTTTAGAAAGATTGACCTTCTGGTTTCCGGGTAAAAAATTGCTAAGACTAAATGGGCTGTTTATTATTGCTATACTTTTCTGGGCCAAGTACAGGGGAAATGTACTTGAGTACCAAGTACAAAGCAAAATTTTGTACTTGTGCCTGATATGAGCCTTCAGAAATATTAATTTTAGGAACCGATTTTAACAAAATTCGGGCTTAGACCACGTACTTCCACATATAATTATGGCACGCCGTTTTAACACTTATTAAATATTGGAAATTTTGAATTTAAATAAGTATACTTCTTTGCTTGGTTAATAGTTTTTATTTGCTACTAGTTTCGGTATTTAAAATACCATCTTCAGGCAAACTACAAAAAAATGAGGTAGGTATTAATATAATAGTTAAAAATTTCTTAAAAAGTTTGGTTAAGTTTTACATGTTAAAATATTTGCTATTAAAATACCTACGTATATGGTTATTAAAAATAAATATTTTAATAGCAAATATTTTAACATGTAAAACTTTTTAACTAACTTTGTAATAGTCCCGTCCGTTACGCTTTAAATTATTATTTTTTAAGGAATTAAACAGTCAATCACGATACCTAATTTTGCCAAATAAAAACCTTGTTAAACAGCTTTAGTTTGGAACTATTTATAAAAATTTGACATTGGTAATATAATAGAACAATATTATTTTGTAAATAAAAACACGGCAACTGTCCTATCCGTTAAGCGTGGAATGGCCCATTTAAATGTAAAGTAATAAATTTTGTCCTAAAAATGTATCACTTTAAAATTGTTAAAAATAATCACCATCATTTAAATGATGGTCGATAAATTTTTAATCCAAAAATTACTACTTTAAAATTTAAAACTTACATTTAAATGTAATGTAAGAATTTTTGTATTAAAAATTTATCAACTATCATTTAAGTGACTCTTTAAAAATTTAAACCAATAATTTTGTAGAATAAAATAGTATAACTACCTACAACTTTTAAAAATTAATATTTTTAAACTTAAAGTTTTACACTTGCATTTTATATTTAAAATATTTTTTGACTAACAATTGTTTTGAGTTTAAAAAAATTTAACTTTATAAATTTCTGTTAAAACATAATTTAATAACTTTAATCTTTAAACTTTTATCTAATAAATGCCAAAACGGCGTGCCATATATATTGCTTATTCGCTATATTAATAAAATTTTGTATAGATGAACTTGTTTCCTTTTTTTGAGGGGAAATTTTTTTGATTTGCCGTATGATCTTACCTTATGCGCATAGTCAGTTCATAAGTGGGGGATTTAAAATTTATGATAACATAGACATTCATATTTTTTACAAAGTAGAGTTTTTGATAAGGGTTATTCTATAGAGTGTTCATTGTTTGTTGTTTAAACTTTTAAGGTGCCGGTAGCGTCCTGGTTCGACGACATGAGTGACTCGGAACTGCTGGACTTGATCCCGTTTTTCGAAAAGTTAAGCAAAGTGGACAATGTGTATACGGTGCTGTGCAATTCCAACCATCCCTACAACAGTGTGCCGGGGGTGCAGCAGCTGTCCCCCGCCCCCATGAACCACCATTCGCCGCCAAACACGTAGCATTCGCAAAAAATGCGCAAAATCGCTCCGATCATTGTTGCTTTCTTTTTTAAAGCTTTCTTTGCCGGCGGAGACTTGAACCTTTTCTCCTCGGCCACCTCTTTTTAATCGAGAGGGGGTCATGTACGAAACAGAAACGTTGTTTTAAGGAAAAACGCCGTTGCTGCTTCGATTGAAATACGCAGATGGCGCTGGCTGCCTGCCGCAGGCACAGCCTGCTGCCTAATCAATCATTATTATTATTATTATTATTATATGTAAATATGTAGGTAAAACTTATACATATTTTTTGCAATTTATTTTTGCTTACTATAGAGAGCGATTTTATATATTTTTTTCAGTTATTTTATTATTCCAAATTATTTAATTTATCTATCTACTTATCTGAAAGGACTTAATTATATATGCATAAGTTACCAAGAAGAAGAAAAAAAACACTATTTTTACATGAAAATAAAAAGTATACATATTTTACTATACAAGCAGGGTTTGCTTCATTCAAAATTCTAAATCTTGATGATAAAAGAAAAGGAACATTTTTGGGAAACATAAGAAATACTGCCCATTAGTAATTATTATTTTATAAATAACCTTTATGTAAAAATATTTACTGTAGTGCCAATATCATGATTTTTATAGTGGAGAACAGCAATTGTTATATAAGTAATTTGAAAATTGGAGAGAGATTTAGAGATAGGCCAAGTTTTGCATTTTACTATTCTCCATAAATAATATAAAACATATGAATTTCTTGTTTAAATACCCACTTTTATACAAGTTAATTTTTTATATTATCAGTTTTATTTAAAATACTCGACGCATTTTTGTACTATTATTTATTTAATTATTTTATCGTACTACATTTTCCATACCAAATCGATCACTTTTGACCCCAACTTGGCTGATGCTTTTTTATCTTTTTCTACCCTAGGATCAAAAACATTTTTCAGATTTTTTCAAATTTTTTTACCCAAAATTGGCTCTTTATTTTTCAAGTATTTATAACGTTTTCAAAAATTTACTTATCTGGATGTTTTTCTTTTAAAATTTTTGTTTTTATATGTACTTTTCAGTAAAATATAGAACAAAATATTTGGACAGATTTTCAACGTTTTTTTTTAATTTTCGGGTCTCAATGATTGTCATTTTTTGCAAATTTTCAATGGCGTTTTTTGATTTTTTATTTTTTTAATTAAATAAAAAATGAACAGCTTCTTTCTAATAATTTTTGAAAAAAAATTATGCAGACCGATCTTTAACGTTTTTTATTTTGAATTTCCGAAAATTTCCCGATGATTTTTTTTTTATTAGAAACTTCTGCAAATTAGAAATTTTGTATTTTTTTTCCAATTGAAAAAAATTAATTTTTTAACTCAGCTTTTTTCTCATGATACCACTTTGGGGATTTTTAAATATGTATAAAAGTGGTATTATGACAAATAATCTGAGTTAAAAAAAATTCAATTGGAGAAAGAGTAAACAAAAAAAACAAAATAAGTTTCTAATAATAAAAAATAAATAAAAATGACAATCGGAATTTTTTTTTTCCGAAAATTCAAAATAAAAAACGTTGAAGATCGGTCTGTATAATTTTGTTTAAAAAATTGAGAAATAAGCTGTTAATTTTTTATTTAATTGAAGAAAAAAATAGAAAATAAAAAAACCATATAGATATTTGAAAAATAAAGCCATTTTTTTGAAATTTTTTAACTTTTTTGGTTGGGAAAAAAACTAAAAAAAAATTGAGAAATATTTTTACAGGGGTAGAAAAATATAAAAAAAGCAGTTAAATTGAAAGGGGTCTGGAACAAAAGTGGTCGATTTAAATCAACCCATATATAATCTAGCATTTTATCGATGTGCAAAAAAACTTTTAAACTTTGCTCCAAAATCTACTACTAAAAAAACAAAACTTATTGTATTTAACGTCCCTATGTAACTAACTATCTAACAATGGGTCTCTTGATTTAAATCAATTGTATTGGAGATTTCATTTGATGCTCAATTATTATTGTTGTACACACATTTAATGGGTGGATACCTATTATTATTGTGTTCACAAGTTTTTTAAACAATTGCATATCTTGATGAACTGATTTTTCTAATTTAGATACTGAAGTGGTAATTTTTTTAAATTTACATACATATACAGTGAGCAGAGCAAACAGTTGAAGGTACATTTTCAGAGCAAATGTTGATTTTTTCAAATGTGAATAACAATCATATCTTCTTAATTAATTGAGGTGATTATTCTCTTTGTGGGAACAAGGGTTGTTCCATTCATTAACAGTGGCCTTAAAGTTAAATATCTGACGTTTTGTGAAAATTATACTGTAGTCTGGCAACTCATTAATAAAAAAATATTAAATAATGTGAAATACTAACTTTTATGATACATCACTGCTCGATTTATACATAAATTTTATAACAATGCAATAAGCACTTTGCTAACTTAGATATTTCTTTTAAAACATATTGACATTATTAATTTTTTGTGGAAGAAAACTTTGACAATACATATGATATAAACATTATTTGCCTTGTTCAAATTCAATTATAAAAAGTATCAAAATGAGAGCTTGTAAAGTTTTTCAAAAACTCACTTTTAGTCATTAATTTTGTTCTTGAAAAGAAAATAATGTCGATTTTCTGTTTAGTACAAAAATTTTACTTTAAAAGTTAATTGTTTTTATTAAACAGTAAATGTAAAATTACGAGTTTTAATTTATATTTTATTATTTTTAATCATGTACAGTTTATGTTATTTAGTAATATATTCCTATAAGATTTTAATTATTATATTATATATAGGTATGTGTGAAATTGATTTATATATTTTTCTTTAATTAATAATGTAATAAATAAACAGTTCATTTAATGATTGAATTGTAAATAACATAGTTTGATTTTTATTATTAACATAGAGTAATATAATTAATATTATTGATGGACAATTATAATTGTGTACAAAAATAATTTTCATACCTAAGTACTTGTCTTGTGAATACATACATATATGCCTTGATTTGTAAATAAAAGCCTGTAATTTGTACCTAATATTTTATAATAAAAATCACTCCCTTTTTAACAACAACTTTGCTGTGCTTATAAGAGAAAGGTAAATAAAAAACATTGGGTATTGCATGGTACTACTTTATTTGCTATTATTTCAGGATTGTCTTTTGAAGACAAAAATCAGGTACGACAAAAATATATACAAATAAAAACTTTGTTTACTTTAAAAAGGGTATTGCATAATTTGGTTGACCTTTAATCAGTAATATATTTTTAATTTGGTAATATGTGACTATAATTATGTACATTTTGATATGTTACTATATAAATTCTATATAAAACTTAAATATAAAAAATAATTTTTGTTCGTTTATCACATAATGATGGGTTGGATATTTATTTCAATAAATAATATTTTACTGGGGTGGGAATATCAACTTGACGGAATAGTTTAAACAATGTAAGATTTCTCTTTCAAGATTTGTTGGTAACAGGCCTAAAAAATAAAAACGTATTACAAATGTGACACAGCCCTGATACTGTAATAACCAATTTTCCAATGGAACTTACTTTAAGCGTAATGAACATGATGCCCATTTCACCGCTTTCCAGACTTGGATCCATAAAATTCTCCACAAAATCCAATTCAGATCCCAAATCTGGAATTCTCGATCTGACTACGACATAAAGAAATAAAGGAAACAAATCGTCCATATTCCAGATGTAAGATTTGCCCAGAATATCCTGAGCAACTGGTTTCATTTTTTCTACAGTTTGAATTATGACTAGAAGTTTGTCTGTGGGAGAAAATGTCGATTTTATTTGTTGCAGAGTTTCTATAGCCTCTAGGAAAACCTGATTTTTTATTGGCGAATGCGGAAATGAGTCTTCAGTCTTAAAGAATTTCCTACAACAAAAATGTCTACCTTAGAAATTTATATGTGTGTGATTTATATTAGTTTATTTTAATTTTAACTGAAATTGACAAGACTATGGATTATCTAAAGAAAATTGGTAGGCATAAAAATAATTTTACGTTGTCCCAAGAGTGGATAAAATTATCTACCATTTCTTATTCTATGTAAATTGAAAGGTACTAATATTTTTTAAACTTTCTCCACAAATTAGTACTGAAGCTTATTTTTTAAGTGGATAAATTTATTTAACATTTATAGTAATTATTTTTAAAATTGGGTAAGAAATGAAAAAAACTATACACTATCAAAGTAATCCTAACTCACAAACTTGTAGATAATCTCGATAAATTAATATTGTGCATATTAAGATATTTACATTTTCCCAAAGCAGATTAAATTATCTAGCATTTGAAATAATTATTTTTTAAATTGGGTCAAAATTACAGAACAACAGACTTTCAAAGTAAATCCTAATTTTAAAAGAACTAAAATTGACAACTTTATATTATGTGGATTAGACTGGGCCAAAAGAATTGACTATTTTTTTTTTGTAAAGTATATCAAAAATATTGTTTGGGGTGACAAAATTATAGTGAAAGTTTGAGTCCATAATATTAATATTAAGAGGTCTATCATCGCAATTTTAGATTTTTTTTTCCTGAGCGACTTTTTATCTCAGAACTCCCAAATCATTGAGTTTAACAAAATTGACTTAAGAATATTTTTTGAAGAAAATTGAATGCTCTACAAAAAAGGTTTGATTGGAATTTCCCGTCAGATGAACCGTTTTCTTACAATCATGCCTTAAAAATTGGTATAGTTTTACAATTTGATCTTTTAACTTTGGAATTTGGTAATTCATGTAAAAATCAGTACCCTGAAAAAAAAACCGATAAATATTCTAATGGGAAATCAAATGCTGTACAAAAAAAGTCTTTTATCATTTTTGGCTAAATTCACATCAAAAGTTATTCAAGGTTAAATTTGAAGTCAAAACGAAATTTTAACCTTGAATAACAAATGCTGTTTAACAAGGTTTTTATTTGGCAAAATTAGGTATCGTGATTGACTGTTTAATTCCTTAAAAATTAATAATTTAAAGCGTAACGGACGGGACTATTACAAAGTCCCGTCCGTTACGCTTTAAATTATTAGTTTTTAAGGAATTAAACAGTCAACCACGATACCTAATTTTGCCAAATAAAAACCTTGTTAAACAGCTTTAGTTTAGAACTATTTATAAAAATTTGACATTGGTAATATAATAGAACAATATTATTTTGTAAATAAAAACACGGCAACTGTCCTATCCGTTACGCGTGGAATGGCTTTAGCCAAAAATGTTGAGAGGCTTTTTTTGTAAAGCATTTGATTTCCCATAAGAATATTTATCGTTTTTTTATAAGTACTGATTCTTACATGAATTACAAAATTACAATTTAAAAGATCAAAATGTAAAACTATACCAATTTTTAAGGCATGATTTTAAGGAAACGGTTCATCTGACGGAAAATTTCACTTTAACCTTTTTTGTAGAGCATTTAATTTTCTTAAAGTCAATTTTGTTAAACTCAATGATTTGGGAGTTCTGAGACAAAAACTTGCTGATTAAATTATCTAACATTTAAAGTATGTATTTTTAAAAATTAATAAAAAATAGCAAAACTATAGACTGACAAAATTAACTTACTGGTCAACTGAGAGGAATGCCATCAACGTATAATCGGACTGCTTGTTCCACTCCACCAAAGTTCTCTTGTATTGTCTTTCTTGCTCCTCATTGTTCAAAGTGAAAAGAGTGAATAAAGGATGATGGACCTTCGGTAATATTATCGGGTACAATAAAGCCTGGTAATTGATAACGTAGTCTCTGTCGTCGGCTTCGATATAAATATCCAATCCATAGGCAGGAAGTCCAGGGAAAAGCGTCCTCACGACCTCGTACAGTCTTCTCGTGATAAAAATGAGCTCGGTGATGGCGTGTTTCAATAGGAGGGGGTGCGCCCTTCCCCCGTAAGTCGTGTTGTACGCCTCTGACAAGTCGTTCAGCAACGACCCCAGTGGATGGTACGGACTCTCGAACGCTTTCGTCAGGTAATTTTTGACGATCTGATAGTTGTCCATGTTCAATTTGTCCATACCGTATGGAGGAATGATGTCTAAATGGTTGAGAGAGTTCGGGAACTTCCTATCCGATTTTTTCCGCTTCAACGATGAGGCGTTAGAGAGGTACACCGCCACGTTCTGCCATATTTTCTGCGTTTCCGGGGTTTTCGACTCCTGAATGCCCAACACTTGATTGCAATGCTTGAAGAGGGCCTTCCACTTCAAATGCACCGGCGTGCAGAGGGTTTCGAAGGATTTCGGCAACTTTTGTTCCAAAGTTCGAGCAAAAGTGCCGTTGATTTTGATGCCTTCGTTCCACGCTCCGGTCATGCTGCCCTCTACCGTGTGGCCGCTAGGCAAAGTCAGCACACCTTTGCCGTTCAAAAACCCAGTGCCTTTGAATTCGCCCTCGTAGTGAGTATTATCCTCTAATATCATTATTCCGTGACCCTAAAATAAGTCAACATTTTAGTTTTAAAATCTCATAACGGCCATAATGGGCCACTACAGCCATTATATTTTAAAACTAAATTTTTGACCATTATAGTCAGTATTACTGGCTATACCTACTATTTAATAGGGCTTCTAGCAAGTCATTTTAGTCATTAAAAATAATTTGGTCATTTTTGATCATTATTTTATTTTCTTACTTAATTTTTACAATATTAAGATTTTTTTGGTAAATAATACAAAGGAAATAGAAAGTCTACGCCACTAGTTTATTAATCTACGCCACTGGTAGTGCCGCCCTGGTGCCACCTGTGAATACTTTTAAAAAGTTGTAAATATAATTCTTTCACAAAGCATTGATGATCAATGAAGTTGCGAAACTTGAATGCCTTGAATACCTTGAATTCTAGATGGAATGAAAAAATTGTATATTAAAGAACTAATGTCATAAGTAAGGCCCGGATTTTTAGGTCAAAAAGTGATAAAAGGTTCCTAAATTAGGTGATATTTTTAATAAAATAGGTATTTTAGGTACCTATATTTTATGTACTTAACACATACATAAAATATAGGTACCTAAAATACCTATTTTATTAAAAATATCACCTAATTTAGGAACCTTTTATCACTTTTTGACCTAAAAATCCGGGCCTTAGTCATAAGACGTCATTTTGTCGCACGCGGACAATTTGGACGAGTGCGATAATAGTATATTCTGTAACAAGTATGGAATACAGCATATTCCGCTCGAGTGAAGAGTTTGTCACACGAGCCGAAGGCGAGTTTTACGCTTTCACGAGAGCGGAATATGCAATTCCAAACGTGTTTCAGACTATACTTTTTCTACGTTTACAAAAAATACCATAGAAAAATAATTTAATTGGAAGAAAGTGAGGTTGGATCGGTCTTAAATTTGTTAGATATTAAAAACAGAGATGTCGCCACGAGTGTTTATTCTGTCATCAGATGATAGAATATTTCATTCTGTAATACTTTACGGAATAAATGTCATTCCATAGATAAAATTGATATTAGAAGGGTCAAATTCCGTAATAGGGGTAGAAAAAAGGTCTTATGACATGAGTTGTTTATGCTATTTTATCTATTTTGCCAAAATTTGCACACATATCCTTTTTCTATGTCGCACACTAATTGGTCTAATAAGTGCCAAAAATTTTCTATTTAAACAATTCATAACATAAATTTAAAGATTTTTAACGTTTTTTGTAATGTTGCAGTAAAATATATAAAATAAAATATAATTTGTATTTTTTAGGTTTTTAATTCTGTAAAAAAAGTTGGTTGGTGTATCAGATTTTAATCGGAAAAATGTAATGGTCAGGTAAGTTGGTTAGTGTATCAGATTTTAATCGGAAAAATGTAATAGTCAATAAGAAGAAAAGTTTATATGAACTCGTAAACTTTAAAGCTTTGTTTTAGATGAGTTAATTAAAAAAGTATGGTGACGCCACTGTTTTTTGATGAGTTTGATATTATTATTAGAATAAGCAATTAAGAATACAACTTTTTTGTCCCCTGCATTTTTTTCCATCTTGCTTAATTTTCAAAAAAAAAATTCGTTATCCCCTCTTACCCATAATTTTTACAGGTGCGGGAAAATAAACAAATTTTATTTTTTTCTTGAAAATTAAACAAATTAGAGAAAAAATGCAAGTGACAAAAAAGTTGTTATATCTAAAAATAATATAAAAAATCAGTAGCGTACCCAAATTATTAAGCCCTTTATCCAGTACTGAAACCATAAAAAGTTTTATTAAATTTGGCCAAGGATTTTTTAAAAACTTTAAAGAATATATTTTTTTTATAACTTTACCACCAAATGTATAAAAACTTTTCTTCTTATTTTTTAAATTGCCCCTATTAAAATGTGAGGCACACTGTATATACACTGCCGGTCAAAATTAACGCATAATACTTCTAAATTCTAACTCTAAAACGCCTTTACCAATCTTTATGAAATTTTGTATAAAAATACTTTAACTTATATCTCAGTTTACGTGTCCGAGGGTTTTTCAAAAAAAATATTTTTAAAGCCCTTCAATTAAATAATACAAAAAACGTTCTAAAAATAACTTTTAGAGAATTTTTTTAAGTAAATTAAAAATATTGTGTTAAAGACCGTACTTTTGTTAGTATACCCTAAAAATTTTGTACAAATCAAATGAACAGTAACAAAGATACATCGCTTCAAAGTTGGTAAAAATTACCCCTTATTGATTTTTTTGCTGAAAAATGGTCATTTTCGACGACTTTGAAGCGCTGTATTTTCGTTACTGTTCGTTTGATTTGTACAAAGTTTTCAGGGTTTACTAACAAAAATACTGTCTTTTACAGGATATTTTTTATTTACTTAAAAAAATTTCCTTATAAGAGTTTTTTTCGAGCGTTTTTTATTATTAAATAAAAGAGCTTTAAGGATATTTTCTCGAAAAACCCTTGAACACGTAAACTGAGATATAAGTTAAAGTATTTTATACAAAATTTTATAAAGATTGGTAAAGGCGTTTTAGAGTTGGATTTTTTTTACTTGTTATGCGTTAATTTTGACGCGGTGTATATTAATTTTTCAATAATTACTTTTTTTGGTTCTGGAAAAACGTGTTAAAATTAGAAATCACTTTTTTTTCTCAATCAAATATAATAAAAAAATAAAAATCGTACCGTGAACACGTCTTGATGGAAGTTTCCCTCGTAGTAGACCCCATCAGAGGTGACTATGATACCTTGTCCCTCTTTCTTGTTATCGGACCAGCTCCCGATGTACTTTTCGCCAGCCACGATGTCGTCCATGACGCCGTATCCGCTTTTCGAGCCGGAAACCCAATCGCCGATATAAAAGGAGGCGCGGCTCGCCATGAAGTTACCTTTGCGCAGAAACCCGTGCCCATGCGGCTGCCCGTCCTTGAAGTGGCCCTGATAGATGTCGCTATTCGAGTACTTCAGGCAGCCCAGACCGTTTTTCTGGTTCTCCTTCCACTGGCCCTCATAGCAACCTACGAAAAAATAAGTTTTGAAGTTTCTGTTTAGTGATGTAAACTGAAAAAAAAACGTTTTGTCGCGTTTTTAAAAAAAAACAAGGCTGTTTGTTTTTTTCAGAAAGGTATTTTCAGAAAAATTGGTTTCCTTAATAGAGATTCTTTATTCTATATCATTTCCCGGAAATAGCTGCGGCAGATGACGGCTCGTGGAAAAAAACATTGTGTTCACTGTGAAAAACTGCTTTTATTTCGGATTTAACCGGTGGTTAGTCCGTTTTCAAAGGATTTCGATTTACAAATAAAAATTTGACATTTTGACCAGCGCGCCGGGATTCCCAAGTTACTAACTTAAAGTTAGAATGGTTACTGTTTTATAGATGTCGCTCCATACAAATATTAAATTTCATTTTTAGATAATAATAAGTATTTGTCGTAGAAAAAATATAGTATGCAACTCGTTTATAAACTTTTCTAGACACTCATTTAATTAAAAACTCGCTCGTAAGCATTTATCAAACTGGATACATAATATACTATAATAACATGAGTTGGAACTTACAACATAAAAAGTCAATAAAATTAGAAAATGTTATATAATGTTTGACAATTTTGCAGGTCTAAATATATCAAAATGTTCGTTATGAAATTTGGGGTTATCTCGTACAGTTGTATGGATTTTCGAAGTTTGACTAAAATGAGGTTTTTGTCAGATTTGCTTCTTAACCTTTTTGACCATATCTTTTGAATGATTGGGTCAAAGAGCCTGAGCTTAAAATTTTCGCAATATTTTATTATTCAAGAAAAAGTAAGAATTGTTCATTCTAGTGTATTGGTGTTGATAATTCAGTTTAAATGATAACAAAACCAAGCGATTTTTTCAATTTTATCAAAAAACCCAAAATTGGCTATTAGCAAAAAATGTTGTTTAAATAATTTTGAAATTTTGTAATTTTATTCAAAAATATTTTAAAAAATTTAAAATTTCTACAAATTTTTGCGAACAAATGTAGTGTCTAGAGAAGTTTATAATAAAGCCAACTTCAGTCCGTGACTAAAATGCCCAATATCCACTGCTGTTAACTTCAGCCCGTGACTAAAACGCCAGAGTCACATCAATGTAGGAGTAGATAATAGTATATTATGTATCAAGTTTGATAAACGCCATTTTATAAACGAATTTAATTTAGGCACGAGCGAGCTTGCGAGCGAGTGCTTAATTTTATGAGTGTATAGAAAAGTTTATAAACGAGGTGTATACTATACTTTTTCTACGACAAATACTTATTATTATATTAAAATGCTTTAAATCAAAAATTTGTATAGAGCGCCATCTATGAAACAATAGGGGAATCTGTCAAATGTCACATTTTTACATTTTATAAACACAATTATAAAGGTTATAAATCGAAATGCATTTCTTGAAAATTGACCGTTTTTCACAGTGAAAGTAAAGAAAATGTTTTATGAGCACTTTACAGTGGAGTCCGTGCCAAAAATTTAAGTTATAGTTTACTGCCGGCGAAATTAAAAGGTCAGTACAATGTTCATATAAACTTTTCAAATATTGGCGTTGATAAACTATTTAATACATTTGTATTGAGATAATAAAATAATTTTCACATTTAGTATTATTTTACAAGAAATGCATATTATTTTAACAATTGTATGACATTTGACAACTGTCAATCAACTTAAAACTTCAGCCCGTGACTAAAGCGCCAAAAAGCCACAACTTGTCAATGTGTATTTAAAAGGTCACTTAGTGTCATAGAAACATGTACGATAAAGGGCATTTTAAAGGTGGGAGTAGAAAAACGTTTTTTTACATCACTAGTTCTTTTAACAAAATTCGACAATAGTTCATTTGACAAACTTCTTTACCTATCTATTAAAAATTTTTTAGGTAATACTTAAAATTGTGTATATTTTTGTAGATTTTCGTTTTGTTTTTAGTATTAATTGAAAAGTATTTTTGGATGTGTATTTTTATTTGGTAAGTAATTAGATTTAAGTAAATTTAGAAGATATTTGCCAATTATTTGTAAGTTAATTTTAGAAAAAGTTCTGTAATTGGGAAAATTTTCCTGTACAGGACTACATAGTCTTTCTTAAATAAATAAATAAATAAATAAAATTAGTGTCTTACCAATATTGGGAATGGTCATTTCGCCGTAACCATTGAGTTGATTATTGCAAAATTGTCCGGCGTAAGTTTTCCCGTCCGGCCATTCGACCTGTCCGTATCCGTGCATTTTGGCCTGAGACCACCGGCCCGTGTAAGTCGCGTCCTTGAAAAAACCCGCCTTGACGAAAGTGTGACTGCCACTCCTGACCATGGGGGGCTGCAGCGCCTCCCTTTTGTTCAAACAATTGAGAACGGCGTGCTGCAGCGCCCGATACCACTCGATCTTGCCTTCGGCTTCGGTCGCGACCAAAGTCAGAGAATCTTCCGGCATTTTCAACGAGATTTGATGCTGTTGCTGCTGCTGACTGTTTTCATCTTGTTGCACGGGTTCGATCCAGATCATGGGCAGCTGGAACTGCGACGCCGTCGAGCCGTTAAAGTGGACGAACAAATCGTTGAACAAAATAAACCAGTGCGAAGAGAATCTACCAGCGCCCAACAAATTGATAGGATCTTTATGGCTGTCTTTGATTAATCTGCGATCGGGGCTCTTCAAAAACTCCACCTGCTTACCCCCGTTCACCCAAAACGCGTTCGTCAACTCCGCTTGCTTTTTGTTCGACTCGTAGTAGGCGATAAAATCGGCCCACTTGTTTTTCTCAGTGCACAAGTGCTGAATTATCGCCGTGTAATGATCAAGACGGGCGGCGGGCGTCGACAAAAACGTCGAAATCGCTTCCTCGTTGTTTTTTTCTTTTTTCGTAAAAACATCCGACTTCAATTTGTACAATGCGGCAGGTACCTGAAATATTTTCAATACGCAGCTGGAATTAAATATAAAAAAAGATTTCGGCAGGTAATATTACTAATTAATAATATGCCACAAAACTTGATAAAAACGGAACATTCAACATCTACAAAAACATTCAAAACAAATATACGTTGTCAAAGGATGGATGACTACAAAAAAAATGAAAAAATATCCCAGAAATGAACATTATAAAAAAACTAAAGAAGGAATACAAAAAATTAATAATAAAAGCTAAACAAACCTACTATAAGGAACAAATAAATAAAGCAGATGGGAACTCAAAAGAATTATGGAAAATAATAACAGTTCTAAAAAACCAAGAAAATATGGAAAAAAGCAATCAAGAAAATAAAAAACAACAATTGTTGTAATATTAATATTACAGCAACAGAACCTAAAGCTGTTGCAAATATAATAATTCATTTTTACGTCACTGCGGGGAAAAATCTGTCTACTCAAATTACTGGGCAAATACTAGCAAAAGAAAAACAGCTAAAATACAGAGTAAAGATGTCAATGTATCCAAGACCAACAAAATTAAAAGAAATAATCCTTATAATAGATATAACATGAAATCATAGACCTAAGCAGCTTATGAACATAAGTCAGCTGATATAGTAATTAATTTTATTTCAATGTCTTTTCATGGATAACTTGACAAAATAATTTTTTTTAGTTATTTTTGTGCATTTTTTTAAAAAAAATTTAGTCTAGGGTAGTTTTGAGGGGTGGTGAATCCAGTGCCGTGCTTAGATTTTGTTTAAAAAAATCGCTAATATGAATTCTTAAAAATTTACTCTTAAGGGGTTACATACAGTTGGAATTTTCAAAAAATCGATTTTTTTAATTTTATTTTCTTAATGTACATATATTTAAGAATACACACAGAAGTTACACGCAAATTTGAAAAGGCGTTTCAGAGTGCTTGGAAGTACAAGGCCGGAGCGGCAGCGACTATAGTATACCCTTTTATGCACCTGCCTATTGTAAATGCTCCTTTCTAATGTATTTAGATGTGTAAATCAACAGTGTGAACAGGGTCTATTATATGGGCCTGGAATAGACGACTCCATGTAAGTTAAAAAAAAATTATCCCATGTAAACTGCATTCCAAACTTTAAACGCGTTTTTCTCAGAATGGTGTTTTCAAAGTCGGTGACCAACATTACTCGAAAACGGCTAAACCAAATTTTAACACGAGCTTTTTAAATATATTTTTTAGTAATTAATCGAAGATTTTTTCTCTCCGATAAATATTTTTGTTTTTATAAACAATTTAAGGCCGAAATTTCGGTGAAAAATCGATTTTTTTTGAGAAACCGCCATTTTGTCAAAAAAAATTATTTTGCTTATTCCTTCGTTTAATTACTAGAATTAACATTACTTTAACGAAATCTGTTTGGTTTTTTAAATTCAGATGATTCAGTTCAGAGATATAGTGGTCACCGCAAAACGTCTTTTTTGAGAGGAGCTCCCGGAGATCAGCTGCAGCTGCAGCTACATGTAGCTACATGTAGCTCTTTTCCAAATTAATATTTTTACTAGTACTAAGTCTTAAAATATAGTTAAAAGATACCTTAATATGTGTATAAATTTTTGGATCAATAAATTTAAAAGTTTTCTCAGAAAAACTTCTGGAAAATTCACATTTTTTCGGCCTTCTAATTTTATATAACCCCTTAAAAACTGACATAGTAGGCTTTGTATTTTGTACTAATATGGCGTCTTTTGCTCCAAAAATACAGTTTATCAAGATCTACACTTTAAAACAAATACGGTTAAAATTGCACAATAAATAAAGATTTTACAGGGGTGAGTCGCAAACAAATGGGTCACAGTGTATATATATAAGAATATCCAGCAACTAAGAATTGAAGAATTAGAAGACAATTAGAAACGTACAAATTAGTTAACAAGATCGTAATGAAGAAGATACAGGATAAGGAGGTATATAAAAAAAGCATTCATACATGAACACAACACTAGAGGACGAGAACAATAAGACATAGAAAGAGCTAACAAAATATGGAGAAATGAAAATAAAACATCTATCATACAGACTATACAACAAACTCCAAGTAAATGTAAAAAACCTAACCCAGACATTGTTTAAAACTAGTTTAAAAGCTTTAATTCTAAGCCAAAGAATAACAAAAAACGTTATCTAATTTATACAAAATATTTTATTTATTTGTAACATTATATACTGTTATGTTTAAATATGTTTAAATATCCGTTATTATCATTATGGTGATATATGGGATCTATTTTAATTAAAAAGCGTATACAAAGCATTGTTATACTAAGAAAATCATTTTTAAGACAGATTAAGATAAATCTAGTCGAGGTTAAGAAAATTTGGAAATAAATTTAAGATGTATTTTCCAACACAACAAAGTTTAAATGTTTCCAAATTTTCCTAAAATAATGTTTAAACTACATATACATATACAGTTCATTTTTTTTTATCTGGACTCGTGTTTTTTGTTAGGTTGGTGGCTTATGCCAGTTTGACTTAGTATTTTTAGTATTTAAAAATGGTACTTCTGCTAAAGAATTTAATTAAATACTTTGACACTGTCAAATTGACAATAATATTTATTATTGACTATTTCCCTCGTCCTAATTTCGACCAATCACAAACGCGTAATTTTGAATTACAAATGGTTTCTAGGTGGAAAAACTGTATGACAGCACCTGTCAGCAGTTTATTCGAGTTTACCCGCGGCAAAACTTAACAGCTGTTGTCAACAAAAATTACAATTTATATTTTAATTGTTAACTGTTACTCATGAAATAGTCTTGTCAAATACCATTCGGGCATCTAATTTTTCCTGTGAAAAAAATCGAAGAAACACAATGCTAAGTAATATTTTTTAACAAAATGCATTCGTGCAGGTGCAAAAATCCTCCTCTTCGACTCGGATTTTTGTTGCCACCAGCACTCATGCTTTTTGTTAAAATATTACTTAGCAACGTGTTTTTTCGATTCTTTTCGGAAAAATTAAATGCCCTTATGATATTACTTACGATAACTTACTTGTCAATTATAAATAAAAAGATAATTATGCCAAAAATAATAGCAACGAATTCGAATGTAAAAGCCCTTTTGAGGGCAAAACTTCATTTTGATGAAATTATGCCCAATGCCACAATGGAAGAAAAAGTACATCGCCTTATGGACATTTTTGGAGTAAAAAAGTAACGAATTTGGTTTTATAAATATTACATCACATTTTTTTCACATTATTCACTATTAGACAACATTTACGTTCATAAAAAATTTTAATTTGTTTGGTATAAATTCTTTTTAAAGCGAAGATTATTATCCGCTAGTAATACTTTCTCTTCTGGGCCGTAAAGCAACCTATATTTAACTACTTTTTTTATATGATTTTACTCATCCAAGCACCACCAAAGCCAAATTAATTGCATTTTTAACTACGAATTTTGACAACTCAACTTGACAACTGCACAATCCCTGGTAGAAAATAACGTTTGCATACATTCAGACAACGTTGCAAATTTGTATAATAATTTGTTATACTCATAACGTTGTCTTAGTGTATCATTTTAAGTGGAAAATACGTAGTTAAAACGTTGTCTTGGAAACGTTATTTTAATGTATGATTTTAAGTGGGAAATACGTAGTTAAAACGTTGTCTTGGAAACGTTGCAGAATTGTATTGCTGGAAACGTTGCAGCAACGTTCCAAATCCCACGTTTAGATACATAAAATTATTTCTAAGTCCCGACGAAAATCTTTCAATGAGGATTTTTTTTTAAATTTTTATACTTTATTATACATTATTTATAAAAGTAAAATAAAACTCTTCAATTCATTTTCAAAGTCATAATATCAAAAATATGAGCGAAATACACAAAACCCACTTTCAAACAACGTTGCAGAATTGTATTGCTGGAAACGTTGCAACAACGTTCCAAAACCCACGTTTGGCTACATAAAATTTTTTCAAAGTCCCGACGAAAATTTTTTTACTGAGGATTTTTTTTCTATTTTTTTTTATTATACATTACTTATAAAAGTAAAATAAAACCCTTCAACACATTGTCAAAGTCATAATATCAAAAATATGAGCGAAATACACAAAACCCACTTTCAAACAACGTTGCAGAATTGTATTGCTGGAAACGTTGCAACAACGTTCCAAAACCCACGTTTGGCTAAATAAAATTTTTTCAAAGTCCCGACAAAAAATTTTTTACTGGGGATTTTTTTTTCAATTTTTTTTTATTATACATTACTTATAAAAGTAAAATAAAACCCTTCAACACATTTTCAAAGTCATAATATCAAAAATATGAGCGAAATACACAAAACCCACTTTCAAACAACGTTGCAGAATTGTATTGCTGGAAACGTTGCAACAACGTTCCAAAACCCACGTTTGGCTACATAAAATTTTTTCAAAGTCCCGACGAAAATTTTTTTACTGAGGATTTTTTTTTCAATTTTTTTTTATTATACATTACTTACTTATAAAAGTAAAATAAAACCCTTCAACACATTTTTAAAGTCATATTATTAAAAATATGACCGAAATACACAAAACCCACTTTCAAACTACGTTGTAAAATTGTATGCTAGAAAAGTTGCAACAACGTTCCAAAACACACATTTAGCAACATAAAATTATTTTAAGTCCCGTCGGCAAATTTTTTATTGTGGATTTTTTTTATTTTTTATAATAAATTATTTATAAAAGTAAAATCAAACTCTGCAATACATTTTTTAAAGATATAATATCAAAAATACGATCGAAATACACAAAACCCACTTTCAAACTACGTTGTAAAATTGTATGCTAGAAACGTTGCAGCAACGTTCCAAAACACACATATTTAGCATATTTAGCAACATAAAATTTTAAGTCCCGTCGAGAAAATTTTTAATGTGGATTTTTTTAAAATTTTTAGTCTTTGTAACATTAGTTATAAAAGTAAAATCAAATTTAACTATGCAATATAATTTTTAAAGTCATAGTTTTAAAAATAAGGCCGAAATACATAAAACCTACTTTTAGATACCTAAAATTATTATAGTTTCAATAAAGGTTTACTATCGTAGTTAGGTGATGGAACAACACAGGTTACACCATAGTATTATCACAAAATTCTGTGGTATTATTTCTATGGGTTACACGGAACAAACGAAGAAAAATTCAAATTTACCGCTCTATCACGAAGTGTTTATTTCTTTATTTTAGGTTAAGTGTTGACATCGTGCGAAATTTTGTGCAAATTCTTCCGTGTTTTTTGGAAAAATAATTAAAAGATAAGGTAATTTTTATCTGATAGGGATGGCAAATAACTTTTAGTAACCTAAACAATCACCACAAACAATTTGTTAGTGTTTTTTTTAAACAGTTGCTTTTTGCATGGATTAATCCAAAAATTTTTAGGGTTATTTGGACGATGCCTTATGTAAAATAAGTTTTGTTCTGTGACGATGCCTTAAAAGCATAAACATGTTCCTGGAACAGTGTATCAAAGAAATTATCACCCAGAAAATATTGAATTGGCCGTGGCAGAGGTGATAAACAATCGTCTATCCTTTGGGTAGATTGCAAGTGTAATGATTACATCTGCCACAGATGATCTGCGGATAATGGATAATCTTTTGCAAGACAAGAGACAAAAGAGTGCAGTCATATCTAAACCACAAAGCAGTAATAATTAGTTGCTTTAAAGAAAACCTTCCTGGCAATGACTGGCTAAATTCTTTCCGGAGGCAAAAGTTGTGATTACTCAAAGGAATGCTAAAAATCTAAAAAGATCCAGATCAGAAGTTCATGATGATGTGATAAACCAATATTTTTTCAGAAGTAAAGGAAATAAGGGATGCTTTGCCAGCACCTGGTTACCCAGGGAAACAACAAAATGTTGTGAAAAAAGGAAACTCAGAATATTAAACTATTTTTCAACTTTTCTAATGTTTGCTGACACTGGAGGAGATCATTTACCATTGTGTGTTGGTTACCAGCCAAATCTATTAGATTTTTTTTAACAATCAAAGGTTCTTAATAATTTTTATATTAATAAATTATATCCATATGTAAATCAATTTTAGGTCACAATCTTTTGCATTTAATAAATAAATTTGTATACTATACAAAATCAATTTTAAAACTTTCAAGTGTATAAAAAAATATAGGCAAAAATACTATTTTTGCTTGTATTTTTTCCTTTTAATGCTTGTGCTCTAAATTTTTATTCAAAAGCAAAAATCCTCACATTTTTTCTTATATATTCGTAATTGCTAAAATTTATTTTGCCAAGCATCAAAACCCTTAATGAAAATTAAAAATTTGTGACTTTAAACTCACCTTCATTGTTAATTGTTTTATTTAGACTTATATTTTAACTAGGTAACTACTTAAATTTCTTTGACTTTTTATTTTTGTTGCTAATTTATAATTTGTTTAATCCTTTATTTAGAAAATTTGTAATAATTGTTAATAGGCAATATTTCTTCTCTTTAAAATACCAGCATTGTTATTTTTTTTAGGCCATGTTTTAAGTTATGTTACTTATATTTGAATTTTTCTAGTTAATATTTAAATAGGATTTTTTAGATTTTTATTAATATTGATTTAAAAGTTGTAGTATCTTGTATCTAGAAAATTGTTAATACCTATATGAATATAGGCAATAGTTTTTCTTTTCAAAATACCATTGAAAATTTTTTGTCTAAGCTATTTTGTTATATTTTTATTTGTTTACTTTAAGTATATAATATTATATTAATAATATTTTTTAGATTTTGTTAATTGGGTATTTTTAATTAATTTTAATATTGATTTAAAAGTTGTAGTATCTTGTATAGAAAATTGTTATATATATATAGGCAATATTTTTTCTTTTTAAAATACCATTGTAAATTTTTTGTTAAAGCTATTTTGTTATAATTTAATTTGTTTACTTTAAGTATAATATTATTAGATAATATTTTTTAGATTTTGTTAATTGGGAATTTTTTTTCCAAAGTATTTTTTTTGTACAATAAATTTTTGTTGTTTTTAAATATATATTAAATTTTCCAATAATAAAGAAAAATCCTACCCAAATTTATAAAAAAATCCAACGTTTTATGATACAATAATCCCACGTATTTCCAACGTTTTATAATACACAAAACCCACATATTTCCCACGTTGTATAATACACAAATCCCACGTATTTGCAACGTTTTATAATACATAAAAGCAACGTTGTATAATACACAAAACCCACGTATTTGCAACGTTTTATAATACGTAAATCCCACGTTTTTTATAACATTAAAAACTAACGTTGTCAGATAACGTTATAAACCGGGACATTTCAACATAAAATTATACATAAAAGTTAGGTTTTGCCAACGTGGGAAAAACGTTGTTTCTACGTAAAATTTCTACTAGGGATGTAACCCACAATAATTTATACATAACCACAATTAGATTTATAACTAGCTATATAAGTTTGTTTTAATCAATGCGACCAACTTAACAACTGTATTTACCAACCAAAACCCTAAATTTGCAACGTTGCCGCAGTACAGATAAAAAAAAGGAACTTTAGGTAAACTATTTAAAAGTACGTACTTCGAGTAGCTTGGATATGTTGGCGAACCCGTTCACGCTGATTATGTTGTGGATGGTGTCCAAGTATTTCTTGTAGACGTGCACGTGTTCTTCTTGATATTTGAAAATAATAATTTCCCCCATTGATATCAAGCCGTTGCTGTATTCGATTAAAGATTGAATGTTCGCAACCCAAAAATAAAGCAGATCGCTGTAAGTGCGGCATAAAGTTTCCAGCAGTGAGGCGATCGAAGACGTGATATTTTTCTTTTGTAGAGGTTTTATGATGTGCAGGTGCACGGCAAGCATCTCCTCCAACATTTTCTGCTCCTGATTTATAAACTCCAAAATATTATCATCCTCGCACCTCCCATTATTCAACAGTGTGTACTGCTTGCTGGACAGCAAATTCGTGAAGCAGTTCACTTTATTTTCCGCGTCATTATTCTCGTCGTTATTGTTATGGAAATTAAAGGAATTCCTTGTCCCCTTACCTAGTGATAAAACGATTATTGCTATACGATTACGATAACGGTTATTACTCAATAATCGTACAATTGCGCAGTGGCGTAGCTAGAGGTCACGGGCCCCCAGTGCAAATTCCCCCCCCCCCCCCAAGAAAGGACCCGCCAAATTTATTTTTTTGGTTCAAGGCCACACAAATCTGCCGACTTAGAAAATCAACAGTAAATACTTTTAGAAAATTGATTTAAATCAAGTTATTAGTGAGTTTGATGAAAGAAAAGCAAGAGCAACAGATTTTTATTTTTTTAAACCTGCTAGTCGTATCTAGTGTGCAATATTGTTAATATATTTTTTGTTTAGTTGGTTTTTATGATTTTAAATATTAAGAGTTAATTTTTAATATTTCTTAATTTATTTTAAAGCTTTTAAAATACTAGATTAAATTTCAAATGTTTGTTTTAAAATCTTAGTGTTTTAAGTGTTGTTTGTCATTTAGAAATTCGATACTTATTTTTGTTTATTATACCTATTAGGGATTTGTAAGTTTTCTATCGTCGACCACTTGAGGGGTCGTTATAGAAAAACCTGATAAGCAATTTTCGGGACAGTTACGTCTGGTTGTTTAAGAGAAGAGTTTGGCAGAGAGATTGACTTAAAACGTTTGAATAAGCAATTTGACTCTGCAATCCATTGGTTTTATATAAATTCAGTTTTTGTGAAAGTGTTTTTTTTTTGAATAGGTATGTCTTTTCTATATTTAATTATAATTAAGTCACAAATCCCACTGAACATTTTGGATGTGGTGATGTCACAGTGACGTTTAAAAATTGTCAATTTTAAGGCACATTAACTACGTTTTTTCGTGATGTTCAATTTACGTAAAAATTACGCTAAAAAATAAAAGGTGCTGTCGATCACGTCACTATACCGTCCAGTCTATGTCTTTTATTTTACTTTAGCGTATTAGGTGCAAAACACAACGTACATTTTACGTCACCAATGTGACACATGATAAATATGAATGGGATAGGTTTGCCAATGATAAACATTAAAATATATGCCACATTTACATTTTTGTTGGAAATTTGAGTGTATAGGTACTTAGATAATTAAATACCAAATTTAATTCATAATTTTAGATTAAACCAAACCAATGTAAGTAGGTACAATTATTATTTTAATGACTTATAATATATTATAAATCCCAGAGTGATTTATTAATTAATATTACCGCTTATAAAATAATAATTATTCTATTATTATCGCATAGTGAGATTAAGAAACGTATATTTTATGTAAAATTTACGTCAAAAAGGACTCGGGTAATTTCGTTTCCAGTCGATATATCGGTATAAAAGGGGCCCTGTAACAGGCATACTCTGTTTGCGACGCAAACTTTGCGTTGCGACTGCCATTGTTCTGTGTTCAACACACTGTGTTGCTATTTGTTGCTGTGTGATAGAAAACGCATTGTTCTCCATAGGCGAGACTGAACGGTTTAGGTAAGTTGGCTTTATCATTTGTTTGCAACCATACAGTTATAATATAATTAATAAATTGTCCCAATATCGCCATGATGGCGCTATTAGTGGTTATCGAATTTTGTTGATTTAAATGTTAGCGTTGAGTGAGAAGTAATATTAATCAATGCTGTTAGACTTAAAGAAAAGTATTTTAATCAATTTGATTTTTCAGTTAATACACCAGTGAACATGGGAGACAAATTTTGCGCCGAGCGACAGGCAAGTTATATAAGTTTTATATACTTAATTACTTAGATAACTTTTAGAAGCCAGTATGAAATTATTTCGTCTGACTGAAAGTGATTTCGATAAAGAGAGCAAGGAGTTGTTCCAAACCGCCAAGCAACGCTCATAACGTTTTTTGGCCAAATTTGGACATGAGAATAAGGCCGAAAATTAATTAGGCGGTACGTTTTATTTTTATTATTTTTACCAGACTAATTATGTTTTATTTTTATAATTTATTTTAATAAAAAAAAATATTTCCAAAGTGGTAGTTTTATTTAAAAAAACGTAACTAATAAGTACAAGTGGAAACAAAACCTATACGTCCATAATAAAATGGCATTTTTACGTCCTTTTAAAAACGTAATTTTTACGTCTTCTTATCCACGTAACGGTTAGGGCTAATTCACGGCCCAGGATCCGGACATAGGCACATCACAGCGACGTTTATGTGACGTTTATTTTACAAGATTCTTATACGTCACACTACAACCTTTGACGTCAATTTTACATATATTTTACGTTTTTTTGCTCAGTGGTCATAATAAGTGGTTAATTAATTAATATTTACTTTAAACTATAATTTATTATTTTTAACAAACTTAATTACTTATTTATTATAATCATTATTTTATGTTTACCATCTTAACTAAAAAAAGTTACCAACTTTTCCCCCTGGCTTACGGGCCGTTTCGTTTCGTGAGTATTGCGTATTGCTCGTAGAATTGCGTACTATTATAAAAGAACTTCTTTTTCCAAATTTACTAGCATCTTAACGATTTAAATCCAGTATTTTTTTTATTTTAATCAATGATTTAAATCAGTTTTAAAAAAAGTTTCTAACATCAAAATAAAACACTTAAAAGATCTAAAATTAAAGCACAATATTATTTTGACACTATTTAAATAAATGCATATGAGCTTATTTTGTTAAATAAAATAATAAAGGAATACACAAAAAAATATATGACAGTTGCGGACGGTGGTTTATTTGTTTATAAAGAATATAATATTATTATAGTCAAGTTATTTTTAGTATTTTTTTTAATAGTACACTTAATTAAAAAAGCTTATAATTTAAATCAAATAAAAAAATCAAAAAAATCTTTTTTTGTTGATTGTTTTGATTATAATAAAGTCATTAAACAATTAATTATTTTATTCAATTTATAAAAAAAAACAGAAAATTTGCTATTACATTTTTCAAAGTTTTTGTTTGCCCTGATAACGAAAAAAAATATCCCAGCTCTGCTGCAATTTTTTTTTAATTTTGTAAATATTAAAATAATTTTAATAATTCAAAAAATGTATGTACTAATTTTTTTGACCAATTATTTATACGCTGTTGCTAATGCAACGCGCGCGGTGTTCTATTTTGCACCGCTGGAGGAAATGTAATATTTATTCGCCGGTAAATGTAATGTAATAAAGTGGTAAACCAAATAAAGAAATAAAACTAAAACACTTTTCAACATGGGAATATAAAAGCAATAACGTTATTTATATTTTCTTAATTTCTTAATAGTATAGTATTTGGCACCGGACCTTCAGGCCCTTGAAGTTCCAGTGCCCCAGAGCATTGCCTCCGTTTGCCCGAACAAAGCTACGCCACTGATCGCCTTCGTAATCGTTGCCACAGTTGGTCTCAGGACCGATTTCAACAAAAAATATATAAAATTTTTAAAACAAACATTTTTTAAAAGTTCTTATACTAGTTAAAAAATCATTAATATTAAAATTTTGTATATAGCCCATTTCGAGAAATTTAATAAAATGGAATTTTCCTTTAAAATGATAACCCTCAAATTTAATATGCATATACATGTCAATAGCTATTATGTTTCAATCTTGGGCTCAGAAAGCTTAGGTAAAATACCGTTTATTGATATAATTTGAAAAGAGCAAAAACAACCCTTCAGGGGCGGAGAAAAGGGGTATAGTTTAAAGAAAAACACATTTTGCTACAAATCATGTCTTATGGGATATAAAAAAAATGTTGGTTTTTATATATTTTTTTAAAAACTACATTTCAAAACGAAAAAATAGCCACCAGTCAAATGATAGTTTCAGCAAGAGTTATGAATTTCTCAAAATTACCGTATCGTTATTTTTTTGCGACTCAAAAATTCATATCTTCGGGGTTTTTGAAAATTAAGGGCTCAAAATTCAGGGTTAGGCGTCTTTTGATACGCACAAAAACATATCAAAAATTTAACTGAATCAAAAAATACAATTTTTAAAATTTGGCGATTTGATATGGAATGACCCATTTATAAATGACACATGATGAATGAGAGTAAGGATTTTAGGTGTATATGACATTCCTCTTAAATCAAAATTATCTTTAAAATATAAAAAAATTTATCCCAATCATCTGCAAGCATTTTTCAAAACATATATCTTTTTGAAAACAATTGTTGACAACAAAGCAATAAACAAAAAATTTTGATGTTGTCAGCTTAACAGAAACCAAATCAAAAGTGACGCTAAATAAAATCTAAACAAATTTAACACAATAATTGTTAATAATTATTATTATTGACATCCCAAATTTGGAGGCTATCAATTTAAAGAAAAAATACATTTATCACATTTTTCAAAAAGGGCTATATGGGTAATTCTTTTACAAACCGAACACCTTTTGACCGACACATCTCAGATTTGGCTGAAACTTTTTTTACGGATTCTATGTCGAAAAATAAGAGATACGTGTCCGAGGAATTTTTTTTCTCTCGCATATTTTCGATAATGCAAGCTATCGAAAATTTGAAAATAACGAGTTTTTTGGCTTGGAGACTCATTTTCAAAAATTTATAACTCTGGTTCTTTTTGAGCTACAAACTTATTTTTTTTTCATTTTAAAGCTAAAGGACTGAATTTTGATAAAAAAATATTTTTAATAAATATTATTAACAAATTCATATTGTTATTAACAATTCCATTGTGTAAATCAATTTTTAACACCTCGTTTAAGTTTGTAGTATTTTTATCGTATTCTCCGTCAAATTTTACATAAAAAACATGTTTTCAAAATATGGTACCTTTATTATTACTATTGTTAAAACATTAATTCATATTGCGCGACGCATAAAAAAACGGTTTTTTGTTAATAAAAAGAAAACTATAGCTCGGATCAAAAAAAGTCAAATATAAAAGTTGTAGATAATAAAAAGATATACAATTTTTATTTTAACTATTTTTCGACATAACCTCACTTTTCAAATAAATTAAAAAATTTCAATTTATTTGAAAAGTGAGGTTATGTCAAAAAATAGTTAAAATAAAAAAAAAATTATATTTGTCTTTTTTTGATCCGAGCTATAGTTTTCTTTTTATTAACAAAAAAACGTTTTTTATGTGTCGCGCAATATGAATTAGGTAATGTTTTAACAATAGTAATAATAAAGGTACCATATTTTGAAAACATGTTTTTTATGTAAAGTTTGACGGAGAATACGATAAAAATACTAAAATTTTAATACGAGATGGGGACCATTGTTAAAAATTGATTTAAACAATGAAATTGTTAATAACAATATAAATTTGTTAATAATATTTATTAAAAATATTTTTTTATCAAAATTCAGTCCTTTACCTTTAAAATGAAAAAAAAAGAAGTTTGTAGCTCAAATAGAACCAGAGTTATAAATTTTTGAAAATGAGTCTCCAAGCCAAAAAACTCGTTATTCTCAAATTTTCGATAGCTTGTATCATCGAAAATATGCGAGAAAAAAATTCCTCGGACACGTATCTCTTATTTTTCGACATAGAATCCGTAAAAAAAGTTTCAGCCAAATCTGAGATGTGTCGGTCAAAAGGTGTTCGGTTTGTAAAAGAATTACCCATATACAAGATTTTCATTTTAATGTTATTTTAACTAAAGTTAAAACTATAGTACACAACTACCTTTTAAAAAATGTTTGTTTCATAAATGTTATATTTTTTTGTTAAAATCGGTTCGGGGACCAACTGTGTCTCATCACTTACCGAAATAGACGACGTTGTGTCGGTTGGTGAGCAGCGTGGTGAAATGCTCGCCGCACACGATGTCTTTCACGCGTTCGTTTTGATTCGGCGACGAGTACAATTTCGGCGAGCTCTGGTCCGAATTGTTTTCGGCGGTGACTTGATTGTGGTCGTTCTGGCCCCAGATGAACGCCCTGCCGTCCAGCGTCAAGACGGCCGCGTGGAAACTCTGCACCGACGCCTTCTTCACGCCGATGTTCGACAGCTTCGTTATAATCATCGGCCGCTCGCGCTTTATAATGTCGCCTATGCCTACGAATTTAGTTTTATAGAAGTAGGTGGTAAATTCTTTTAGAGAGAAAAAAATAAATTTGTCACTAGTTGAGGGCGCCAATACGACACCAGATGACCTAAAATGTTTTGTCTGCAATATGGTTATTGCTAGGGATGTTAAATGTATCAATAGTTATCGATTATTATCGATAAAATTGTTATCGATTTTTATCGATAATTTTTTTAATTAATGATAGTTATCGATAAAAATTCTTCGAATTTCTATTTTTTTACTATACGGCCATTCCAAGCCCATGGACAGGACACATCAAAAACATGTCTAAATATATTCTTATTACTTCCTTAAGTTTACTTATTTTTTCTACGAGTATTTATGAGAAGTATTAGCCAAATTTGGCTAATACTTCTCATAAATACTCGTAGAAAAAATAAGTAAACTTAAGGAAGTAATAAGAATATATTTAGACATGTTTTTGATGTGTCCTGTCCATGGGCTTGGAATGGCCGTATAGTTAAAAAATAGTAAAAATATCCCATAGACAAGAAACGACTAGACGTATAACTGGTTGCAAAAACATTCTTCAACATCCAAGGGATTTTAAACCCGATGTCTGTAAACAAACCTTATGAAGCAAATCAACAAAGCGAAACATTAGACTTTATATGTGTAGTGGTATCTTGTCTATGGAATATCCTAGGGTAGTGAAACGTAGTTAAATTCATATTCATTTATTTAATAAAGTGGTTTAAAAAGTACGCCAAAATTTATTTTTAATATTTGTTTAAAATTATAATAATTACTTATTTGGTTTTAAGAACAATTTTGGATTATTAAAAATATTTTGTGGTGGGGGATAATAATAATAATTAATAATAATAATAATAATTATTATCGATAATTATTTAAAAATTATCGATAAGTATCGATACATTTTTTTTATTGATATTAACATCCCTAGTTATTGCATTGTTTATCAAGAAAGTTATGTATATGCGTTTAATGGTGTAGGTAACAATGTTTATATTTCTTTCACAAATTAAAAAAAACAGTTTTTTCGCCCAAAAAGCATTCAAATTAAAAAAGGTATGGTCAAATTTAAACATACAAACATTTAATAAAATCATTTTATACAGGGTGAACTTGAACTTTGAAATATCTGTTAGTATGCATTTTACGAAAGAAATTTTAAAATAAAAATTAAATAATTCGTGGGGGAAATCAATCAGTACTAAAATTGGTCTTCATAATCTCCTCCTTATAGGGGGGACAGGGGGTAACTTTAAAATTTCCAATGGAACACTAAAAATAGGTAGATTTTGTCTAAAACATTTTTTCATATTTGTTATAAAAAAATATCAATTTTGTTCGATTTTTCTTCTTATACGATTCTGCAATAATTTGTCTATAATTATCTTATTTTTAAACTAATACTTAAGTTTCCTTTGGTTTAAGTTTTATACATTATTTCATTCGGTGATAATTATCAATTGCGCACCATGGTCACTTTTTACCTGCCAGCATTAAATACTTTAATTTAAAGGATTATTGTACTATTTTTAATAAAATACCTCATTTAAGGTTAAAAAAACATTATTTTGTCAATTAATTAATTTAATCCTATAGGATTATAATTGAGGTATATATAATTGAGGTATAAAAAATGGTATTTAGTTATAAATAATAATTATTATTAAGGTATAAAGAAACTATTTCGTTAAGCAGTTATACATAATGGATTTTTTTTTAAATGTTTCCATTTGTTAAAAAATTTTTTAACAGTGGAAGAAAAAATAGAAATGATTTTGATTTATGGAGAAGCAGGCAGGAATCTTGATGATGCTGTTAATATCTACGCTCAGCGTTTTCCGGAAAAAATTTGATCACGTACTTCATTTCACCGTACAGTCAAGCAGTTTACTACAACCGGGAGTGTCCAACCGAAAAAAAGAGTTCGTCGAGCAGTCACTGGTGGAAATAATGAAATTAATATATTAGCAGCAACGGCCGCAAATCCTCATGCAAGCACACGAGAATTATCTAGAGATTTGGGAATATCCCAGAGCAGTGTTAGCAGAATATTAAAACGAAAAATCGAATAAAATTGATTTTATTTCATTACAGCGCTACTATTACAAATATGAAAAAATGTTTTAGACAAAATCTACCTATTTTTAGTCGAATGATCCGAATCTGCAATAAAAAATAGGGTGTTCCATTGGAAATTTTAAAGCTACCCCCTGTTCCTCCTATAAGGAGGAGTGTGTGTAGATTTTTTATTTTAAACATTTTTTCGTAAAATGCATACTCGATGCATACTAAATAAGATATTTCAAAGTTTCAAGTTAAATGACTCACCCTGTAGGTATATCTCAGATCGACCAGGCAAAAAGGGGTGGGTCGTTATTTTTTAACGAATTTTTTTTTACAGTTTCTCTACCGAAATTGATGAGACCTGTATATTTTCTTTTTGGTTAAATTTGTTTTGTTAACCCGTAGGAACATTTAAAAAAATTGACAGAAACATCGATTTTTCTCTTTTTAGGAGTGACATTTTTTCTTAAAAAAATTTTGATCATTACAATTTTTTTAAAATTGTTCCCTACATACATTCCCTAGGTACAAAAAGATATATAAAAAATTAAATGAATTCACTCATTTTTTTTAATATATTACTTCAAACGAAAAAAATGTGGCAAAATGTGGCAAGGTCAAAATTTTGAAATTGGTTTTTTAGAAAAAACAATTTATAATATTATGAACAACTTTCACCAAAAGCTAAATTTGTCGTTTCGTTTTTATTTTCTTTTTTAATGATAATGCCATTTTCTAGTAAATTCGTGGTTCATCGTAAAAATTTTATCTTGGGTCAAGAAACTGGAGTGACCTTTATAAAGTGTAATTTTAAAACTTTTGACCTCATTATTTGTTGCCTTTTTTAGAAAAAAAACAATTTAAAAAAAATTGGGTGAATTCACTGAATTTTTTTTGTATGTAGTAAACACTTACATACAATTTAAAAAAACGATCGAAATATTTTTGGCCAAGTTATCGCATACGTCAATTTTTCAAAAATTTCCTACGGGTGAATAAAACAAATTTTAGCAAAAAGAAAAAATACGGGTCTCATCGATTTCGATGTAAAAAAAAATCGTTGAAAAATTACGACCTACCCCTTTTTGGGTCGATTTGAGATGGAAATATATGAACAAAAAAGTTGTAATTTTGGTGTCATCTGTGGTCAAAATGATTACCAATTTATGATTTCCTTTTACTAAATATTTAGTAAACATTTCTTCACAAAATACTTTTTGTTTCACCCAAAAATCAAAAATCAAAAATAAAGTACCTATTTATAGTAAGTATCTATTTCTAGAGTATACAAGCAGCAAATAAAAATCATTGTGGATTTTAATGGTAGACATTTCTATTGAATAAATGCAACTAAATAAGAAACAAAATTCCCATCATAAAAGTATGAAATTCGTCCAAATAGGGTTTCATGTCTTTATCAAAGATATTTAGTTAAAAAACATAATGTAAAAAATACAATCAAGCCAATACACAAATTAAATCTAAAAAATGCATTAGGTAATAGGTACAGTTATTCATTAATTGATTAAGGTAAAAAAGCCTAGTACCTGTAGGTGATGGGAGTTTATATTCATTATGCAATCCAATAATTTTGTTAAAAAATTGGAGTATTGGATTGTCTGAATCATCTGCTGATACCATGTCTTCATTAATATCCCCAACTGAAATTTTCTCATACTTTCTTATAAATAAGATATAATTTATTTATCTTACCTAGCTGTCCATGCAAAATGTTTCCCCATGTCCACACCTCACAATTTAGCAAATTTGAGCCGGTTTTCACGATAAAATTGATTCTGCCTTGGAGTTCGTGTTCCGACAGGTCTCTCTCAGAAGTGCATTGGCTCACAGAAAGAATCACCTCATCCTTGGAGTTGCTCTTATGAATGCGCGATTCGTCGTTATTTTCAATGACGCTATTACAGTCGGAACTTCCGCTGACATGCCGCGACAATGTAACCACTTTGTCACCGACAGTTTTTACCCCTTCATACACAAAACTGGCAACATTAGTCATGTTCTCCTTTAAAATTCTAGTAGGTTTTTCTGTGCATTCCACCAAATATTCCTCTCCAGCAGATGACATCCTTGATATCTGCCTGGTAAGAAACTCTTTGGCTGCTTCAGTGTTTCGAAAAATTATGTTTTTTTCCACCTTGGTGTCGAAATTCTCGTCATTTAATTTTTCATTTGAACTAACACTGCTATCATTCTTACTACTTGTTGAGGTGGTTTCTATGTCATAACTACCTAACACTTTAACACCTAGAGGACAAACTTCAGACATTGAATTCAAGGAACCTGGAGATGTAAGCTGAGATGCCGACAAGCACTTTGGACAGTTGGGGGGAAAATTCTCTTCCTCATCACTATCAGCATCATCATTTTTGGCCTGTTTACTTACTATTGCTATTGCAAAATCATTTCCCACGTTCACGCTAAACACAAATCTACCAATGAAAAAATGAACCCTCTTGGGTTGTTCACTGTTTATTCCTATTTGAGGCATGTACCCAGAACCCCACAATTGGCCACTGTCTGTGATAAACAACTTGCCATACTCTCCCACAGCAATAGATTGTACTTTTTGCTTGCATTTTGTTGCATTGTGGCCTCTGGCGCATAAATACTCCTCCACCAGCTCAATTTCATTAACAACTTCTAGGGTTTCTCTACACTTAAATAAACTTCCATCTTTGTTAACAGTGAATAAAAACTCTTTACAACTATCAATATCAACAAGTTTTAAATCTCTCACGTACTCGAGGTCGATGTAGGCTTGACGATGTTCGTTTTTTTCGACCACTCCGTGATACAAATTGTTGTTTATGGTCAATAGAAACAAATGATTTCCGATATTGCTTATTTTTATTACACTCTCGCCAATTTCCCTCCGAATTTCCACGTTTTCATTCAACACCCATAAATTCATGATTAATATTAATTTTGTTTTTCCCCTACATACCTAGTAAGATATTATCAATTCATTTGAATAATTACTCAGGCCCACATACAGAATTTTTGTAAACATCCTTCTGTCATTTAAGCCACGCCTACATACCATAGATCAGCTGTTTGGCAAAGTTATTTTTTTTTAACTTTTCATTGAACAAAACTTTAATAAACAGTAATGTTGTTGGGTTGCCCTTTAAAATTCCAACACTTGATTCGCATATCGATTATTTACATAACAATACCTACTACGTGAAACTACCAAGGTACAAGGTAGTTATAATATTTCACGAAAATCTTATAGGTTTGTTCCTACCGAGCATTTGGACTGTCGAATGGACGTCACAGGCATGCGCAATCGCATGTGCAATACGGTCGCAATTTATTTCTATGACTGCGCATGTCCCTGAAGTCCATTTGACATTGGAGAATTTTGACTGTCACAGTCAAAATTCTCTAATGTAACAAACCCAACAGGTTTGTTAGGTTATCTATGGGTTGTCAAAGCTCTCAAAAAACTAGTTTTGTCATAAAACTAGTTTTGCCTATGTGGGTTGTGTTCAGACAAGTATTTATTTTGATTAGAGGTCTAATATCAAACACAGCTTAGTACAATATTTTTAGTTGGCAAAACCATCACATCCATTAAAATTTTCGTGAAAATACGTTTAAGTTTTATGCAATAAAGCCCATCAAAACAATTTTAAGAATTAACAACAATTAAAACATTTGCCACATTGCGAAATTGCACATCAAAGTCCTAACACGTGACTTTGATAGAAATCAAAAAATAAATAGGCTGTGGAAAATCAATTGCAACAAGTAAAATCGCACATTTCTTAATAAACAAAAGAAAGCAAATAAAAAATATTTAATCAACGCGCCCACGTGTTTATTTTAAGGCGCGTGCGCACGAGCAAGTTACACAGCGCATTGCGTGCAGCCTAGCAGCTGTGTCAGTTGCGTCTAAAAATCATAAATTTAGCTTTAAAATTGACAAGGTATCTAGAAATTAACAACATAGCTTTGATTAACCACCCTTAACAAGTAAATTTAGCGAATTAACCATTAACGAGGTTAATTTCGATTGTCAAGTTGGGAGTTTTATCCATGACTCACTCATTCACTTTTTGTCCCCTGCAGTTATAACTGATTGTTACTTTTTTAGGACGCAAGTCTTTGTTCCTGAAACGAAAATGTCTACGGGCTTGTCGTCCCGCCTGAAACACTCCAAAAAGCACGAGTTGGTCAAGTCGCAAAGCCAAGCGCAAATTTTAGCGCAAAAATTGCGCCAGGATGGGGTTCTCACCACAGGTACTATGATTGAGGTTATGCATCTGTCAGTTTAAAACCATTTTCGTCCTATTTTCTGAAAATAATGTAATATATGTATGTTTTTTCAACGTAAACTAAAACTAAAGCTAAAACAAGACGAAATTGGTGTTATGGTGGATACATAATACAATTATTTGTCTGCATTCTTAATTCACATTTTGAATTGGGTGTAAAGCATAGTGCCTCCATAATCTTAACTTAACTTTCCCCTCCCTACTTACATTAACTTCTGATGTTGATTTTATTTTGTTTACCTTTTTTATGTCCTTGCTTTATTAGCACTTTTTATGACCACCTAAAAACTATTAGTTTTTACTAAATTTGACCTAACAGCACACAATTAAACAGACTGTTAAAAGATGCATATTACAGTTGAAAGTGTTCTACAAGCTGTCGACCAAGTTGCAGCATTATTGGCATCAAATGTGGTTGATAGTAACATATCGTACAAAGACAGTGTTATCAACTTGTGCCAGCATTTGAAGGTAATACCTTAACCACTTCTAAATATATTTCCTATTAAAAATGTTTTAATTTTCTTAGGTTTATGGCGCCTATTTAGAAATATTGTACAAAGAACAATTGGACCATGCTTTTAAAATATTCAGGGACAAAGCCCAAGATGACATACGAGTCGATATGCTTTCTCGATTACATTTACTCGAATTAATTGAACTACGAGCCAAAGGTTGGAAAGGAACTGATGGTATGAATATGTACTACAGGAAAAAAATTAACCAATGCTCTCAGGTAAGGGTCATGCCTTGAAAAATGTTTTAAATGCATAAAAAAATCCTTTTTATAGATTGAAATGTCTGATTCTGCAACAAGTCTTTGTGAATCAATGAGTTCGATGATTATGTCGGCCTCGCCGCCTCTTTTGGCGCCCGGAGAAATTATAAAACCATCAGGAAAGTTTACAAAACCAACCAGGATTCCAGGAAAAAAGTACTGCAAAGATGAGGTAGTCATTCGTAACGCTGATTCAGGAAAAGGTAAGTTCATATTTGTGTAGAAAAAAATACAAAATTGTTTATTAGACAAAGTTTTAATCCTATAGGATTGGTGTAGAAATATTATGTACTCCAATAAGATTGTTTAGGGTGGCCAGATTCTTGTGAAATAAGTCTTATCTAATTAACTAAAAGTGGCCACCTTTGATAATTATTGGTCAACAACATTTTTCTGCAGGGAAGTAAAGGTGGTAAATCCAAAAATGACCTGACTATTGTATCTGTTACAGATAATCTGTATTAAAACCTGTTTTAACTTGAATTAAATTTATTATACGACATTCATTGTATAGGCAATTGTTGTTTAATTGGTTGCCTACAAAAATATATCTTATAAAATAGTTTGCTCTACATTAGGCGTATTCATGCTCACTTTTAATAAAAAATAAAAATAAGAAAAGGAATAAGACTAAAGATAAATAATTATTAACTTTGGCTCTTATTTTTGCGTATAAAACTGCGCACAAGGTCAAAATGGGTCTATGAATTGGTTTTATGTGTTGGCCATGGAGCGATCGCGTATTTTCATCAATAATAACTAAAATACAGATAACTAGGGTTGGGACAGAAAATTTCAACATTGCCTGTGAAAGTTTCAGAAATTTCATTGAAAGTTTCGCAATTTACTGAAAATTTCGCATAAATTTCACATGCGGCTTCCCCTGGAACCTTTAATAATAATTTACAACAGATTCCGAATCGACCAATAAGAACGAGTTTTCAAGCGTCTGGGCGTTTTTGTTTAGTTCGGCTTGGGTTTGAATACACTATAAGTAATTATTGTTACCTATATGCATAAATTAATTTAAATAATTTAATTCAGTTACCTATCAATTTAATTTGTAAATTAAATCAGACTTTAAATTTTTTTTAAACTTTTAATTTTGCTACAATTGCATCGGAAAACGGATAAAAAATGCCTTTGGCTCATAAAATTTTGATGAAGTTTCTTCAATTTCCGTAAAATTTCAGTAAAATATTTAAAAATATTAAATACAAAACAATGAAAGTGGCACAATCTCATTAGCTTACCAAAAAGTGCTATATCTCTTTTAGTTTTAGTAATTTTAAAAATATTTTAAAAGGAAATCTCAAGAAATTTGTGGTAAACATAGGTATTTACTATTTATATTATTGGTGCAGGGGCCCACAGAGGGGTAGGAGGTATAAGATGCAATTTGCCATGGTCCCTGAGTGGGCTTATTTCAATATTAATATATTACACTTAAAGTGATTGAAATTTATTGAAAGTTTCAATAAATTTCATAAATTTCATGAAATTTCAGAAATTCCATGAAATTTCAGAAATTTATGAAATTTTAATAAATTTCATAAATGTCATGAAAATTTCAAGTGAAATTTCAAGTACAAGCAAAAAGTGAAATTTTCCCAACCCTACAGATTACCATGTACACTGCTGTCATTACTCCTCCCTACGCTCAACTAAATGGTGACTTTTTTAGTTCTTATTTTAAGTGAGTATGAATACGCCTATTATGTTGACTATCCTGCAGCAAATCTCCTAGACAAAACCGCGATCGATCTGTGTATTAGGGCCCTAGGATTTGGGCATAGGTTACCTATCAAATTGATACCAACGCGTTGGTATCAATTTGATACCTACATTCTTCCAAATAGGAAAAAAATACATCCCAGTTACTTATTATTTGTAATTATAGTGATGGGTATCAAAGGAAGAAGAGTACATATGATTGAGGAGTTGAGTGAGACTATAATCTCATTCCAGAGAGGTAAAATGACAACACGGTGCTTGTGTGTTAATTCTTACGCTACCGCTTTATATTTTTAACTGTACTACCTCTACTGACTGAAAACTAAATTTATCGATATTGTTTTATGTTTTTGCACACAGTTTATCAAGTTTTTACTTTTAATCACATAATTTTTGTTAGTATCCAATTTTAATTATGCGTGTTCCTTTGGCATTTTCTAATTTTTAATTTACTACCATATTGACAATGCGTTTTGCAACAGCCCTAATAAAATCGGTGCATGGTTATTTTGTGTAAAGGAATGCATTGAATCTTGAAAAACTGTAGCACCCATCATTTTATTAAAACCTTAAGCACATTTTTCATTGTTAATACTAATTTTTTGTTGTTTTATTTTCGATCTACTTATATCTCATAATTTTTTATTTAACTACAATTTATTGATTTACTTAAGTAAAATATGTATTTTAGTGAATCCCGGCGCTAAGGAACGATTGGTACAAATTACAGGAGCCAACGAAGAAAGCATTAAGTGAGTAGTTTTTTTGTACACCTTTAACCGTTTTTATAATATAAACGCTTTTTTCTATTTGTATACCATAATAAGCACAGTACCTACAATATAGTCACGGCCAAATCTATATGGGTGCACGTCATCAATGAGATATAATGACGTCAGCATTACCAACTTTGAATTGTAAAGTTACTGCCGTTAAATTTGCTTTTTTAAGGCGTAATTCTGATGTGTTATTAAAAAGAAATCATTCATTTGCGTATTGTTTACCAAGAACTGTAACAATTTCCTTGTTTTAAAACGTTTTTTCACGAAATTATCAAAATAAAACCATTCACTTAGTAATTTTTGTGTGTGCCAGTTGGTAATAGCTTAAGGCTGGCGCGCACCGTTCAATATTATTGATGGGTCGCTGTCATTTTATATTTGACGTATTTTTGTAATTGTGACATTTCGTCCGGAAGCATCGTTTGTTGCAAATTATTATAAATAATATTATACATTATGTTTATAAGATTCTATCCCTGGATTGTGCAAACAATGATATAAGGCTTGTTGGCAACTAGCCGTTATTAGATTTCGAAGACATTGCGCCCTTAATTATTAAGGCTTAATAATAAAATTGGGGAAATAATCAGACTTCAATTCTGACCTGGTTTGCTCTGATGACAAGGACGACTGGTAATTTATATATTTTGTGTTTCTGATAATTTAGAATTTTTTGTTATGTGCATATGTAATAAAAATGTAATAAACTCCGTTTGTTTTCTCTTTAAACACATTTAATAAAAATTTGCCTGTAACAAACTCCTAATTAGTTAGTGCAGAAGATTATAACAAGGACGTTATAATTCCATCTTAATAACAGACCCCACCGCTATAAACAGTCAACAATACACGAGCGTTAGATTGTGTCTGGGCACGTATGAATAGACCTTAACGCTGACGTCATATGCCGTTGATGACGTGCACCCATACAGATTTGGCCGTGACTATAGGGATTTTCGTTTTGTATTGTCTTCATGGCGACAGTATGATATAGTCGCGGCCAAATCTGTATGGGTGCACGTCATCAACGGCATATGACGTCAGCGTTAAGGTCTATTCATACGTGCCCAGACACAATCTAACGCTCGTGTATTGTTGACTGTTTATAGCGGTGGGGGCTGTTATTAAGATGGAATTATAACGTCCTTGTATAATCTTCTGCACTAACTAATTAGGAGTTTGTTACAGGCAAATTTTTATTTAATGTGTTTAAAGAGAAAACAAACGGAGTTTATTACATTTTTATTACATATGCACATAACAAAAAAATACTAAATTATCAGAAACACAAAAATAATAAATTACCAGTCGTCCTTGTCATCAGAGCAAACCAGGTCAGAATTGAATTTTGATTATTTCCCCAAATTTATTATTAAGGGCGCAATGTCTTCGAAATCTAATAACGGCTAGTTGCCAACAGGCCTTATATCATTGTTTGCACAATCCAGGGATTGAATCTTATAAACATAATGTATAATATTATTTATAATAATTTGCAACAAACGATGCTTCCGGACGAAATGTCACAATTACAAAAATACGTCAAATATAAAATGACAGCGACCCATCAATAATATTGAACGGTGCGCGCCAGCCTTAAGCTATTACCAACTGGCACACACAAAAATTACTAAGTGAATGGTTTTATTTTGATAATTTCGTGAAAAAACGTTTTAAAACAAGGAAATTGTTACAGTTCTTGGTAAACAATACGCAAATGAATGATTTCTTTTTAATAACACATCAGAATTACGCCTTAAAAAAGCAAATTTAACGGCAGTAACTTTACAATTCAAAGTTGGTAATGCTGACGTCATTATATCTCATTGATGACGTGCACCCATATAGATTTGGCCGTGACTATAGGCAAATATAATTTGAATAACGTTTATCGAAAAGGAACCAAGCGCCAAAAACTTTTTCTGGGATAAACAAAATTATTTGCAAAATAACTCATTTTTAATTCTTCTCCAAAAATTAATAATGATTTGGGAACCCTCTCAATCCGTTTGAGAAAAGTTCCAAATGATGCATTATTACAAATTTTACCGAGCCCAGAAAAAGTTTTTGGCGCTTGGTTCCTTTTCTAAAACTTTTATCCATTTATAATTCGAAAAATAATATAAAGAACTCATGTCATAACACATTTTTTTGCACTTGTCCATTAAAAAATTACAAAGTAGTCCCCGTGCAAAAAAATAAGAATTAGTTCTTGAATATACTATTTCTTAAAACAATAATCTTTTAAAATGATATAAAGTGCATATAGTCGCCGCGGCGAATGTTTTCCGTTGCGTCATCAATTTCAAATGTTACTTGTATCCCTTGGCTTCTAGGGTCCTTATATTTGTTTTTATTTATAAATAAAGACTGTAAAAATGAACAAATAATTAAATGAAACATAAATTTCCCAGCAGCATTTTACTTTTTATTAGTTGTTATAACACATAAAATATATTCTTCCGAAATAAGCTTGGACTGAAGTGATAAACCGTCTAAAGCTTTATAATAGTAAAAGTAGCGGGTATTTTTTATAGTAACAAACATAGTTTGTGAGAATCATGTTCTATCGCTAACAAAAAAAACTCATACAGCTTAAGAATCTAGTGTTCCTGATTTTCTATCATTTCGTTGGAGTAATTATGGCTTTTAACATGATACGTCACATTTGAAAGGTCTAAAATTAAATACAAAGTTAGGTTGAAGTTTAAAAAAAAATAATATTTCGTCATCCCTCTGTTTTTGTCAATTACTGCCCGCAAACGGCAAAGCATGGAAGTCGCCGTCTTGCTTTATCTCGTTCCAAATGGCTTCAATGGCTTGCCAGAGTTCGTCTGCATTGTTTGGTTGAAAATGTTAAAAAAGTCATAATGGATGTGACAAAGCTCGATGTCAGCTTGACATTGACGGAAAAGTTTTATTCACACAGCCACAATATAGCTGTATAGTCACGGCCAAATCTATATGGGTGCACGTCATCAATGAGATATAATGACGTCAGCATTACCAACTTTGAATTGTAAAGTTACTGCCGTTAAATTTGCTTTTTTAAGGCGTAATTCTGATGTCTTATTAAAAAGAAATCATTCATTTGCGTATTGTTTACCAAGAACTGTAACAATTTCCTTGTTTTAAAACGTTTTTTTCACGAAATTATCAAAATAAAACCATTCACTTAGTAATTTTTGTGTGTGCCAGTTGGTAATAGCTTAAGGCTGGCGCGCACCGTTCAATATTATTGATGGGTCGCTGTCATTTTATATTTGACGTATTTTTGTAATTGTGACATTTCGTCCTGAAGCATCGTTTGTTGCAAATTATTATAAATAATATTATACATTATGTTTATAAGATTCTATCCCTGGATTGTGCAAACAATGATATAAGGCTTGTTGGCAACTAGCCGTTATTAGATTTCGAAGACATTGCGCCCTTAATAATAAATTTGGGGAAATAATCAGACTTCAATTCTGACCTGGTTTGCTCTGATGACAAGGACGACTGGTAATTTATATATTTTGTGTTTCTGATAATTTAGAATTTTTGTTATGTGCATATGTAATAAAAATGTAATAAACTCCGTTTGTTTTCTCTTTAAACACATTTAATAAAAATTTGCCTGTAACAAACTCCTAATTAGTTAGTGCAGAAGATTATAACAAGGACGTTATAATTCCATCTTAATAACAGACCCCACCGCTATAAACAGTCAACAATACACGAGCGTTAGATTGTTTCTGGGCACGTATGAATAGACCTTAACGCTGACGTCATATGCCGTTGATGACGTGCACCCATACAGATTTGGCCGTGACTATATGAGTTTTTTTTGTTAGCGATAGTTCATATTGAGAGCAAAAATCAAAAGCAATTTTAATAATTTTTTTTTTTTTGTATATTGATAATAGTATATTATGTATTAAGTTTGATTATCGCCATTTTAGACACGAATTTAATTTAGGCACGAGCGAGCTTGCGAGCGAGTGCTTAAATTAATGTCTAGAAAAGTTTATAAACGAGTTGCATACTATACTTTTTCTACAACAAATACTTATTATTATCTTAAAATTATTTAAATCAAATATTTGTATAGAGCGTCATCTATAAAACATTAGGGGAATCTGTGTTAGGTACTGTCAAATGTCAAACTTTTATGTGTTATAAAGGTTATAAATCGAAATGTATTCCTTGAAAATCGATGAACAACAGTTCTTTGGCGAAAGTAAACAAAATGTTTTATGAGCACTTCACGGTGGAATCCGAGCTCGAAATTAAGTTATATCCAGTTTAATTTCGGCGAAATTAAAAGGTCAGTACAATGTTCATATATATATACAGTATGTCCACGGATAGAGGGCCCAAGAGGACAAATGGACCAAAATTTTCATTTTTCGACCAAAAGTCATTCTTAATAAAAAGTTCTGCTTGTGTTGAAAAGTCTTGTGTCATACTTTAAATTTGAAAATATTATACAGGGGGGTCGAAAAACAAGAAAACATGAAATACTATCAAGAAACTACCTTTATTTTTCGTTTTGGAGCAAAATGACAAATAAAAAAAGATTTTAAATCCTATCTAAAGACTATTTGTAAAATTTTAACTCAGTAATTTTATTTTACTTTTAAAGTTCTAAAATTAAATTTTTATACTTGTGTACCTTAATTTCACGTATTCTTTACCTATGCATGACAAAAAACTGACACAGTCTTAGATATTAATTTTAAAATTTCCTATTCAAAATATGTCAAGATACAATATCCGTATTTTAAAGTTAGGCAAATATTTTATTAAAAAAAGTTGTTCATAATGTCAGGAAAAAAAGAGAAACTTTATAACAAATTGGGCATATAAAATTATCCTATTTATTCAAAAACCCCTCCACCGTATTCGACGCATTTCTCAAACTGTCGTCTAATGTGATCATAACTTCTTCTTATCTCTTCAAGTGAAATCATTTGAACTGACTCTGAAATCCTTTGTTTTAGAATATCGATATTATTTTCAATCGGTTGGTGATACGTTAATTGCTTCAAACGAGCCCAAAGAAACGCATCAGCAATTGTGAGGTCCGGACTCCTCGCAGGCCACACAATTGGACCATTTCGGCCAATCCATCGATCTCTGAATTTATTGTTTAGCCATTCCCTGACTTCGCGAGCATAATGTGCAGGGCAGCCGTCTTGTTGAAAGTACATTTGTCCACGGTAGTGTAATGACAGCTCATCCAGCTTGTCCGAAAGAAAAGTTTCCAACATTTCCATGTACGAATTCCTATTGCATGTATCCTCAAAAAAATATGGTCCCATTATCCCATAATATGTAATGCCACACCAAACGTTAACTTTTTTAAGATATTGCCGACGTGCAGGAATTCTGAATTCTGGATTTTCAGTGCTCCAGTATCGTACGTGTTGGGAAGCTACCATACCATTTGTGGAAAAAGTGGATTCGTCGGAGAATAAAATAAGTTTGTGAAACTGATTATTTTCATTTAAAATTTTGTCCCCTATCCACAAACAAAAATCTAATCGTTTTGCTTGTTCTCCATCTTCTAGAGCTTGATTAAAATGTGGTTTATATGGAAAAAAATTGTTGGCTTTTTAATATTTTTTGAATTTGACTTTTTTGGACCACCTGCAAATTTTGAGCTCGTTTTCGTAACGACAGAATAGGGTTTTCCACAACAGACTGCAAGACGACAACTGTAGCCGCATCATCCTCGTCAAAAAGTTTCTTCTTCTTTTTTAAATTATCCACCGACCCAGTGTTCTTGAATTTTTTAACCAGTTGACGAATTCCATGTATTGAAACTGAAACCCCTGGAAATTTTTCAACAAATTGTTCTTGTACATATCTGTATGAACGGTCGCCAGTTCCATAACACTGCACCAAAAATATTTTTTGTTCAATAGTTAGCATTTTGAAAATATTTTATAAAACGAAATTTATAATCTAAGACTGTCACTGTGGCATTTTTGTCATACATAGGTAGGCTTTCCAACTTCTGTCAAAAAAATCCCGAGGGGTAAACCACTCTAAAATCAGCGAGACCAACGTTCAACATTATGTGGACGTTACGCTGTTTTCTCCTTATTCGATCATTATCAATCGTTATCAATACGGAAAAATCCTTATGAATAAGAAATTTCTCTTAGCGACGCGTTGCTATGACTACTCTTGTGATTTTTTCCTTAGACGTTAATTCCTATGCGATTTATAATTTTTTTAAATCAGTGGTTTACCCCTCGAAAAATCCAGGACATTTAGAGTAAATTTACAAAAATGACACAATCAACAATTATCAAGTAACGTCAATTTAACAATTTGCATTGTAGCATTGTCCATTTTTGTAATTAATGTAAATTTTCACAAAATAACCAGGTAAAGGAAACGTAAAATGGGGTACAAAAGTATAAATTAGAAATTAAATTTTAAGAAAAATAAAATTAGGAATACTGAGTTGAAATTTTACAATTGGTCTTTGAATATGATTTGAAATCTTTTTTTTATTTGTCATTTTGCTCCAAAACGAAAAATATAGGTAGTTTACTCTTAATAGTATTTCATGTTTTCTTGTTTTTTGACCCCCTGTATAATATTTTCAAATTTAAAATATGGCAAAAGACTTTTCAAAACAAGCAGAACTTTTTATAAGGAATGACTTTTAATCGAAAAATGAAAATTTTAGTCCATTTGTCCTCTTGGGCCCTCTATCCGTGGACATACTGTATATAAACTTTTCAACTATTGGCGTTGAGAAACTATTTAATGCTTTTGTATTTTTGTATTGCGATAGTAAAATAATTTTCACATTTAGTATTATTTTTCAAGACGAGACGTGACTAAAAACCTGTTGCTAACTTTAGCCCGTGACTAAAACGCCATAAGGCCACAACTTGTCAATGTGTATTTAAAAGGTGACTTAGTTTCATGGAAACATGTAGGATAATGGGCGTTTCTTGTGTTTAGTATTAATTAACTGATGTATGTGTAAACTTATTCAACAAATAAACTGAAATGGCTTGTAAAATTCAATTGTTATTTACGTTTGTACATAACAAGTTTTATTATTTTTATTATTTTTTTATTAAAAACAAATAAAGATAATTAAAAAAAAAACTATAAAAAAACATAACTCGCTACTGGGAGATTTATGTTTCACTTAATTTTTTGATCATTTTAAAGTCTTTATTTATAAATAAAAACAAATATTATATGTATTTGTTATACCTAATTATTACATTAAAATTTTGTTAAATAAAATTGTTTTTCTACTCCCACCTTTAAAACGCCCTTTATCGTACATGTTTCCATGACACTAAGTGACCTTTTAAATACACATTGACAAGTTGTGGCTTTACGGCGCTTTAGTCACGGGCTGAAGTTAGCAACAGGTTTTTAGTCACGGGCAGAAGTTAGTTTTAAGTTAGTTGACAGTTGTCAAATGTCATACAATCGTTAAAATAAAGTGCCTTTCTTGTAAAATAATACTAAATGTGAAAATTATTTTATTGTCTCAATACAAAAATACAAAAATATTAAATAGTTTCTCAACGCCAATATTTGAAAACTAACCTTTTAATTTCGCCGGCAGTAAACTACAACTATAACTTAAATTCGGGCACGGACTCTACTGTAAAGTCCTCATAAAACATTTCCTTTACTTTTACTGTGAAAAACTGTCAATTTTCAAGATACATTTCGATTTATAACCTTTATAATTGTGTTTATAAAATGTAAAAATGTGACATTTGACAGTTTCCCCTGTTGTTTCATAGATGGCGCCCTATTTTGATTTAAATCATTTTAAGATAATAATAAGTATTTATCGTAGAAAAAGTATAGTATGCCCTATTTTGATTTAAATCATTTTAAGATAATAATAAGTATTTATCGTAGAAAAAGTATAGTATGCACCTCGTTTATAAACTTTTCTATACACTCATTAACTTAAGCACTCGCTCGCAAGCTCCCTCGTGCCTAAATTAAATTCGTGTATAAAATGGCGTTTATCAAACTTGATACATAATATACTATTTTATTGTGAAAGATAGTTTATTATTTATGGATTGGAGCGGATGCCGAGTATACGGCGCGTGGAAGTGTATTAACAATGCATGTAGATTAAAACAAATTCATAATTTTATGGAGAAGTCATTAATATTTTAATTTGTTTATTTCAAAGGTAATTAAAAATATCATAATAAATAAATAATTTAAAATTATGAAGTGTTTTTACTAAACAATAAATCCTTAAAAATTCATTAAAATATCTGTAACGGTTTTTCAAAATTTTTATTAAAAAAAAATTATAGTGACTACTTTATCTTAAAATATATTAATTTGAATTTCACGATCAAGTGGGAAATGGGGGAGTCAAGTTGAGGTGATCTTACTTAGGTGCCTTTTGAACCACCCTTAAATTATTAACAAAATATAAATTTTATCAAAACAGCAAGAATTTTAAAAGTGTTACATTACCATTATTATGATAAAATATATATATAGAGATGGGAAAATTCCCATTTGACGAAAATTCCCGGAAGCTTTCCATCGAAAATTTGCGAAAATATAACACATTAACTTTTTGTCAAATTTTATTAAGTAAAAAAAATTAAAAAAAATGTTTATAAGAATGTAACTGCAATACTATTTTTAGCACAATCCACACATTGTGGATTGTGATTTTTAGTATCTTTTACTTTGGAACATTCCTATTGTATACTGAAACATACAAAATAAAAATAAAATGTTTACTATTAGAAATTCACTGCTAGTAAATCCTAGATATTACGTAAAAAAAATTAAAAGGGAAAAAGTAACTAATATACCTATAGGAATATTGAAAAGTAAAAGATACTAAAAATAGTATTGCAGTTCTGACTGATAAAATATGAAAGAAAAAACTACAGGCAAAATAAAATTAACACAAAATAGGATTTTTTTTAAACCAAACAGGTAAATAAAAGTGTTATTGCTGTATTTTAGTTTAGTTTTTTGTGATGATGCTGAATAATCCGGCTTCATTGAGGCTATGTAACATAACTTACATTATTTATACTTCTTCTTTTGCTTTAAATTAACACACATTAAATTCTTATTCAAAGTTTCTTGGCCTTGTATCATGGCCTTAACGAAAATCAGCGGTTAATCAATTGACATTTAAATGAAAAAAACAAGGAAAGTTTCCAAGGAATGTTTTCGGTAGCTTAAAAGAAACTTTCCAAAACGGAAAGTTTCCTTAAAATGGAAACTTTCCGATTCCCATCTCCATTATTATCGCAGAAGGAAGAAAGGCATTTGATAAAATTAAAAATGTCGATGTATTTTAGCCACGCCAAGCAGCTGATCGAGGACACGATACGAAGAAACGCGTCGCCGGTGCGCGAGCTGGGAGGCGGCGTGGGCGGCGGCGGTCCGCTGACCGGCTCCAGCTCGTCGATCAACTCGTCGGCGTCGGACGACAGCGCGCTGCCGCCGTCGGCGCGGGCCTCGCGCGCCGCCCTCCTGATGCACTCGCTGAGCACCCCGGACGCGCACATCGGCGAGTACAAGTACACGGTGGTGGCCAACGGGTGCACCATCAAGATCACCGGAGACAATCTCGACCTGGTCAGGGTCAGTATCTGAGTTTTTTTATTTATTTATTGTGTGTATTTTATCAAAGGTATTATGGTGAATTATTGCGTTTTTAATTATAAATAAAATTCAAGAACTAAATCATTGCATTTTCATGTTTTGTCAAAGGATAAGTACATTTGTTGGAGCAGAATTAACTAATGATAACTTGACAACTGCATTTTAAACAACAAAATATAACTAAGAATTCATGGCAACATAATATTATATATAATACATAATACAGGGTTCCCCATAATAAACTACCCATTTTATTTTATTAATAAATTCCCTACGAGATAACTAAATAAGTTGTTCTCTATGGAAATATCTTCTATAGTCTTTGGGATTTAAGTTAATTATTAATCAAGCCTGTCACAAATAAGTTTTAAATTAATAATTTCCTGGAACGTCATTTTTTCTACGAGAAGTTTGTTAGTTTTCATCAATAATTATTTAAATTATTTAATTTTTTTGCTTTGAGACATTATTTCAACATCCGTTTGAACTTTCATGGATTACTCAGTCCAACAACGTGGGTTTTGTGTAGAAACTTACATAAGAGCAATTCGATAGAAGAAGTTAGGCGTGAATTCCGGCGTCAGTTTAATAACAACAATAGAGGTCACGCACCAAATCGTAAAACTGTTAAGTTATGGGTTCGTCATTGGCGTGAAAATGGTTCTGTACAAAATTTGAAGAAGCCTGGACGTCGAAAAACAGTTCGTACACCAGAAAATATTGAATGAGTTAGAATTGCGTTTACGACTTTACCACTTTTTATCTAATATTGAAAAATGTGTTGAAGTTGGTGGAGGTCATTTAGAAGACGTGATTTTTTAAAGTTAGAATTAAATTAGCCAAATATTTATAAGTTATCATAAATCCCAAAGAGTTAGCTGTAATTTAGTATAATAAAAAGTTTGTTTTGTTAACTAAAAAATTTGTAATTCAAATGTTAAAATGGGTAGCCTATTATGGGGAACCCTGTATAATGGTATTTTACCGTTGAGTGGATAGGCCGGGCCTAACAATTATAGTGACTGAAAAAAATCGGCCGTGCAGGGATCTACTTCTGCAATTTTGAAAATTCGAAAAAATGGTAAAGGAATTTAAGACTCTTAAATTAAAAGGGATTTACCTTAACCTTTGGGGCGCCAATTTTGGCGGAATTAGGAATTATAACTTAAAATTATAGTGTATCATTATCCAGTCTTTTGCATTTCGTATTTATATCGCCCAAGCCATTTCTTTATGTTTCCTATTTTATATAAACATTGTTTTTAAAGATTTTATAACGAAAATAGTTATATTTCTCTTTCTCACCATTAGACGAGTAAGCTAGTGTTGGACGAGTACTTTTCCGGCGAGCCGATCCACGACGTGGCGCAGTTCTACTCGTTCGACAGCCTGCCGCAGCCCATTCTGGCCGGCAACGATTTGTTGGATCAGGAGGTGGGCACAGGGGGGCCCCTCTCGCCCCCGGAATCGCTTCCCTCGCCGGTGGGAGGCGGCCCGTTGCCCAACGGTAACGACGAATCAGGTAAAACAACCCAACAACACTAAAATGTATTTGTTCACACCTACCGGTTTTTTATTTTGCAATTATTATTTATTAATGTAAAATTGTGATTTTTTAAGCTCAAACTGTCTATAGCGTGTGTTATTTGGAAATAAAGTGTTTGAGAACCACAAGCACTGGGTATTTAATATTAACTCCTCTGAACGGTTTTTATTAACATAATTTTCCCTATCAATAAATCAATTATTTTTTTATATTATTAAAACCGTTTGCACCTACATATATTTAAGAAATACTTAAGTAGTGCCAAGTGTTTATTATTAGTGGGCGCAAACAGTAAAGTAGTAGTAGTGCACTTTTTATATTTTTGTCTGAATTTTATACAGAGTTAGTATTTTAAGGTGTTTCAAGGGAATATTTTAAAAACAGTTTAAAATATTTTTGTGACATTATGAGAGGTGGAGGGACATATTTAAATATTTTTTTACATCTACCCCCTTTTCTTATTTTGAGAAGTGGGGGTAACTTTGGATTTTTAATAGGGATGATGTCCTGTTTCTTAAATTCGAATCTACAAAAAAACTAGGTATGTGTGCAAAAAAAGTTTGATTTGCGCTTTCAGTTACTGAATAATGATTTTTTTTAGATTCTAAAAAATATTAACAATTAAATTTTAACTAATTTATTGTGTGTCATGTGTGAGAAATTCTTCAAAAGTCCCCTTTTAACTTCCAAACTCTTTTTCTAAATGAATTTCGTACACTTGATAAATAAATTAAAATTATTTTTTGGTATTTTATAATTTAATAAAGGGTATTTCCATTGTAACGGGTGCAACACTAAAACTGCGTTTTTTTCATGATACGTTAATATAAAAAAATAGTATAAAAATTAGGTATACCTAATTTGACATTTTGTTTGAGTTAAATATATTTAACTCAAACAAAATGTCAATAAAAACTTCTATAGAAAACCTTTTATAACGTCATGAATAGCGTAACGGGCGCGACCTTAGAAAATCGGCAAATGCGACCAAGTTGGCTTCTAAAGTTGATACTGTAAAATTTTGGATGAAAGCATATAGTAATAATTTTTTGTGTAAAACTTGAATAGTAACCTTAAACAAGCACGTATTTTAAATGCACAAAAATTGCATACATATTTTCTAAAATTTTCTCAAAACGCGGGTGCGACATTTGAACATTTTATCGAGTATTGAAACTCACTTAAGATATAGTTGTTTTATATTTTGTTAAATAACACATCTGATTTTTTGTCAAGGTGGGGTAAGGTTTCGTGGAATTACCCTAAATCATAATTCCGTAGGCGAAAGCGCAAAACAATTTTTTTTGGACATACCTAGTTTTTTACATAGATTCAATTTTTTTTTAAAAGTCCATCATCCCTATTAAAAATACAAAGTTAACGCTTGTCCCTCAAAATAGGAAAAGGGAGTAGATGTCAACAATATGTTTAAATATTTTCCCTCACCCCTATTAGTTTACTAAAATTTCACAAAAAAATTTTAAATCGTTTTCGAAATATCCTCTTGTAACACTATAAAAAACTCACCCAATTATTGAACAATATCTTAAAAATTATAAAGGATAAATTAATGAAATTAAATTTAAATTATAACTGCGTGCGCCAAATTTTAACATTTCAGCATGAACCCTTTTGGCCTGAATAAAAAAAGTGCATTACTTATTTCTGGGTTTCAACCACAAATAACCTGATAATGTTTGTGTCAGGGAGGAAAATGCGATTACCGCGCATGTCGCTCGAGGAGATAATCAAGGGGAAAACGGGGGGAAGCCAGGACGAGCACGAGCACCAGGATCCCATAAAAACGGTAACGTTCGCCTACTCAATCGAATTCATGGCGCAGCTGGCCATGTCGCCTTACTGCTTGGCGCATCCCATCGAGTGGGAGAGGATCTCCACCGAGTATCCCACTCTGGTGCGCAAGGTAACAAACATGCTTCTCACTCTTCCTTGTTTTATTTTTCTTATTTTATTTCATATGAAATCATCGAACCGGCAGTTAAATTGAATCGAATTAAAATTGTTTATTTTGCGCACGAGTAAATTTAATCAGCGCGGATTTTCGTTATTGTGATCCTACACACCGGGCCGGATTTAGCCGGATTTAGAGGTGTGGAGGCCCCTAATTATTTTTCAAATCGTAATATTAGGTACTCTTTCATTGTGTATGATTTTTTTTTAATAAATACAATTGTTGTGGCCCCTCTCTTGTGGAGGCCCTGGGCAGTTGCCCTCCCTTAAATCCGGCCCTGCTACCACAAAGTTTAAGCAAAATCTAACTAACCAAAATGTACATTCGATGCCACTATTTTGGCCTGATAAACTCAAAAATTACAACAATTTTTTTTATGCCAAGGTTTTTGGGAATTGATTTTTAATTTTTGTTTAATTTGTTTTTCAAACGCAGCTTTACAATTTAGTACATATCTCAAGTTAGAAATCTTCAACCTGGTTGTAAAAGGTATCAAATAAAAATAATCGAATCGCCGACCAATATCACTCTTTTAATGTCCAATCTGTTGAGTAGTTGTGCAATGGACTCCAATATTGAAAAAAGTTTTTTGGACAAATATAGCAATGGAACATTTACCTTTTTGCCAAACGTGTAGCATAAAATTTCAGTCCATTATTGTGCAAAGCTAATAGACTCAATGGGGAGAAGATGTCAAGCAGTCATTAAAACCAAGGGGTGGCCAACTAAATATTAAAAAAATATTTTAAATATTGATTGTATAGTATTTTTTTGTGTAAATATTTTTAAGTGTATACTTATGTTTTTAAGATATGATATTTTATGTTCCATCCATATTCAATATTCATAAAAGTTTCCATACTTTTGTTTGCTACTGTATGTAAGTACCAAAGTTGTGTGCAAGTAGCAAAATTAAAAATTTTGTTTATTTTTTTACTTTTACCTTATTCATATTCAAATTTTTTTTTGTTTATATTTTGATTTTGACGGTGTAATGTATAATTAGGGGGCATCCATTAATTACATGAGGTATTTTTCTGATAATTTTGACAACCCTCTTCCTTGGTGAGATGTGGTAGACCCCACGACCCTATTCCTCACGTGAGATTCTGGCCATGAAACTTTCGGTTTTGCGTTTCGTGATGTTCGGTAGCTCTATGAAAGAGTATATGAAATATAAGTGACTTCTCCACCCAGGAGAGGCAAAATTGGATTCCCAGGGTAGAAACACACTGGTATTAATGAAGAATTTGTAAAATTATATGAAAATAATTAGGAGATGGAAGATGGCCATATGTGTAGATAGTGAAGCGAAAAAAATACATGGTTCTATAAAAATTATAAATAATTAAGAATAAATAAATGATTCAAGGATTATTTTAAATAAGACCATTGATTATTATAAACAAAGTTTAAAAAATATAATGTGCTGGCCAAATAGATTTAAAATTAAGCTAAAGGTCATTCCTCTGAACACATATTTGTGATCAGAATTACAAAGAAGAAGAAGAAAGAAGAACTTTCTTTGTGGACAACATGAGAAGGCCCAAAAAAGTAACAAAATTAAATTAAACTTAAAAGTTCACCTGAGATTTTCAATGACAACCCCCCCCCTCTTGAAAGATTTGTTGAGATTTTGTTAGACCCCTTCCCTTATTTTTATCTCACGTAATTAATGGATGCCCCTTAGGTTGATAAAACTGTTTTTATTTATTTTATTGTGTCAAATAACATAGCAAGTGAAAAATTAAGATGTTCCCATCTCTGTTTAAATTATGAACACTTATCATCTTTGGATTTAATAATCGTCGAAGATTTGCTGAACAATTATGCAAGTATTGGTATTTGTTATATTCTTCTGGTCACAAAAATAAAGGAAATCTATTATTTAAGCTATAAATAGGGTAAAAGTCCAAAAATGGTATGAAAGATAAGTGACTTATGTCAGTGATAAACCGGTTTTAGGCAATAATATTATATTATATTATTATAATTCTTGTACGATTTTTTTATGGATACAACTGTACATTTATCCATAGATTTTTTTCCTAAATTGGTACCTCATTTTCATTGAAAAAGTGCAAACTCTGTAGATAGTTTAAAAAGGGTCATATTTTGATGATTTTTATTTAATCTTGGACGAAAGATAAAAGTTGCATTCTTATTTTTGTCCAAAAATTTTTTTTTCATTATTTAAGCCCATTGCACTTAAACTAGTCAATTGATTGGGCAATAAAAGAGTGATGTTTGTCGGCGATTCGATTATGTTTAATTTGACTCCTTTTGCAAGCAGATTGGCCGTTTCTAACTTGAGATATGAACTAAATTGTAAAGCTACTTTCGCTGCTAAATCTGCATGGGTGCACGTTATCAATGCGGTGTAATGACGTTATAAACATATAAATATCATGTAAGTATATGCGTATTGTTTACTAAAAACCGCCGATTCGATGATTTTAAATGGAATGACCCTAAGTCATCTCCCAAAAGTGTGTTCTTACATCTCGCCTCTGTTGGCTTACCAACCGAGCATATAAGTTCAGGGAGTCCTTTGTTTTGAGTGTGTTCCACTACACCAAGTTGCCCGACACTGATGAGACAGCTGTCTGTCGGTATTTGAAGTTGGTGGAACGCACTCACAACAAAAAACTTTGGCGAGGTGTAGGTTCAATTTTTTCTTTTGAATATTACCGGTAATGGGTCAAGAAAGTTTCTTAAAGAAACTAAGAAAATTGAATGTTTACCAAAATTCCCTTCGTTTACGCAAAATTAAAAGGGTGTGTATCTTTTCAGGTCGTGGAATGTTTCGATGCTAAACATTACCTATCGACTCGCACAGTGGAGCCGACTTGCGTTTTGAGCGCCGACGATTTAGTCGACAACGAAGTTTGACACTCCAGGTAGGGTCGGCACAAAAAGTATTAGTTCTCCTCTACCTAGGCATTTTTTTAATAATTACAAAACAAAAAAAATTGCTCAATACCTACCTACCTACTGTTCTGGTAGGTAGATATTAACTTGTAGACTGCTCTATCGCCCCAAGTACTAAACACCAACGTTCAGGTATTTAATTACTTACTTACAAATGACGATTTGTATCTACTGTTTTATTTTAATTTTGTTTGACTTTGTATTTATCGTTAAGGTTTCAAATTGAAAGGTTTGATGAGCCGTGGAAACGTTAGGAACGAAATCTAAAAAATATAGTTAATGTGACTGACTTTACTAATCTATTTTTAAAATAAATTATTATTTATTTGTTATTTAAACATGTATCTTTTCTAAATATTTAATATACAAACTCTGGAAGGCCAATCTAGACAACAAACAAAGTAATATTTTTGTATAGTCCAGTTTATTAAAATATAAAAGGTACAAACCTAAAAAAACATTGAATGACAACAATGTTGGCAAGGATGAGATTTAGCTTTAAAATGAAATGAATAGCTTTATTTGGATAGGTAGGCCTTTCCACAATATTTGTGATAAAATCAATCTCTCTTGAAGCTGTCATATTTTTTCAATAAAAAAATATGTCCAGTTTTTGTATTATCATATGCAATAATCTACCACTTGAATATTATAGTAGTAAAATAATTATAAAAAAGTTTATATTATTTTTAGTTATTTAGTCATTTTAATAATTGACCAAAATTTAGTTAGCTCCCTGTTCTGTTGTTAATTAATAATGTTATGTTTTTTCTGTTTTGTCTGGTTAATTCGAAAAATCTCGTTTTATTTTTGTTTAATTAGGTATTTAATCATTTAATAAAGTTTAAATTTAAAATACAATGTTTTTTAACAAGTTCTAAAAATGGACATCCTTATCCAGTGTACAGTTAAGTACATCATTTTCAGCACAAATCATAAATATTTGAATTTCAGTATCTAGTTACAGTTACCTACCAAAACTACGTAGCTAGATACAGATGAGACAACAAACATAGATTGGGTCATACAACACATGTTAGTAGGTTTCTTTACTAAACAGAAATTGAAAATTGCGTGCCAGAGAGGAAGTGAACGTGTTTTCCGTGTCTTAATAAATATTGGTCCCAGTGTAGGTATTCAATTAAATTATTATTATTATTATTATTTATAACCTATAAAGTATAGGTAGGTACTATAATATATTATATAGTGTACAGGGTGACTCCACAAGATTTGATAATGAAAAGTTCATATGGATGTTAGGACTAAGTATCTTAGATTTCAGGATACAGGGTGTTGAAAATGCAAAGAAAATTTAATTTTATATCATATCTCAAAAAACTCTTTAGGGTATTTCCATTGTAACGGGTGCGACACTAAAACTGCGTTTTTTCATGATAATAAAGTGTTTGTTCATATATATCAAGATACGTTAATATAAAAAAATAGTTTAAAAAAGGTATTTAACTCAGACAAAATGTCAATAAAAACTTGTATAGAAAACCTTTTTATAACGGCATGAATAGCGTAAGTTGGCTTCTAAAGTTGATACTGTAAAATTTTGGATGAAAGCATATGGTAATAATGTTTTGTGTAAAACTAAGTTTTAAAAACTTTAATAGTAACCACGTATTTTATACTTTATTTTCTAAAATGTTCTCAAAATGTAACGGGTGCGACATTTGAACATTTTTTTATCGAGTATTGAAACTCTTTCGTATTCATTCTTAATGTTCTTGGCATCACAATAAACGAATATTTTAAAGGTATAAATTACGTCGCAATTAAACTATTTGACTTCAGATATAGTTGTTATTTTATTAAATAACACATCTGATTTTTTGTCAATGTGGGGTAAGTTTTCGTTAAAATACCCTTTAGGTATTAATTACAAATTTGGCATATCTAGGTTGTTTGCTGCTCTACAATATTCTGGTACTAACTTTGCATTTATTGTACAGGGTGTTATTTTACGGAATTGATTTACCCCAAACCCCCTAGTTAAAATTAGTTTATAAGATTATATCCCAACTTAAGTTGCACCAAATTGATTGCAGTGGCGGCTGGTGGATTTTGGGTATACTAATTGGTATATTAATAAATCAGTTATTAGACATGGGACCCACACCAAATTTATGATAGTATATAATGACCATATAAAATAAATCATTATACTTAATAATAATGACATTAAATAGACAAGTTTGGCGCAAACAGAATTTGAATTGAAGTTTACAAAAAAAGTAGCCTCACGCGTCTCCTGGCCCCCCTATTGAGAAAATACAAATTAAAGTAGTGCAATTTATAATCTAACTTATAGACAAATTTAAAATTTTATTTAAAAAATTCAAATATTAAAGATTTTATACGATTTTAAATTTTTAATATTTATTTTATTAAAATAAAAAAATATTCAAAATGGTATAAAACCTGTAATATTTGGATGTTTTAAATAAAATTTTAAAAATATTTTATAAATTATAGATTATAAATTGCACCACTTTAATTTGAATTATCACAAATCTGCCAGGCTAAAAACTAACTTTTTTTCGCAAACTTCAATTAAAATTCTGTTTGCGCCGAACATGTTTTATTTAATGTCATTATAAACTATTATAAATTTGGTGTGGGTCCCATGTCTAATAACTGATATATAGGTATACCCAATCCACCAGCCGCCAGACGCATTACAAGAGTCGTGTAACACGACGTAATGCAAGAAGAATAAAAGTTTTTAATCATATGCATGCGCCGAGGCAAGTCGCTTGCAAGATGAATTTATTGGAACGTGTTCTAATTTACGTGGGGATGAAAAAACGGTGAAAAACTATTAATATACATCGGTATTTCCCCCACCACTACTCTAAGGCGGAAAAATTAGTTTTATCTTAAAAATTCCCAACTTTTTACTAGTTCCGGGCTTAGTCGGGAACGGTTTTAATTAATCGATAGTTTTCGCTATCGTTAAAAACTATTGATAGTTTTACTTCTTTTAAATAACTGGGAAAATAAAAAAATGCCCATAAAAATTAAAATTTACAACTTTGATGATTGTTTAAAAAATATCACATTATCATCTAATAATTTGTTTATAATTTCATCTGAATAATTAAGTTTTTTAAGTATTTCATAAGTGTGTTGACCATGCTTGGGAAGTTTCTCAGTGCTTTTAGATGTTGCAGGAGTCCTGCTAAGGTTTGGAGCCGGTTTCGGAGAAACAACCTCTTCAGACTTAATAAAGGAATTAACATTATGAGGGTGAGTAGCGGCCTCTTGCAATCCTAAAACCGGCGTTACACAAGCATCCCCATCCCCAAAAATGTCGACCCATTCCTTTTGAGTTTTTTCCATAAACTTCTCAGTGAATAATCTTTTTAACTCATCAAAATCCGAAAATTGAGGCGCTTTGTCCTCACTCAACCCCAATCCTTGTAAAAGTTTCTCATAGAACTGCGGTTCAATAGCCCCCACACTTACAAACTTGTTGTCTTTTGTTCTGTAAACTTCATAAAAATGGGCGCCAGAGTCCAGCACGTTCTCCCCCATTTTGCCTCTCCCCCACCAAGGCTGATTTTGTGATCTGTACAGCCAGCTTCCCAGATAGGCAGTCCCTTCCACCATGTTGCAATCTATAACTTGTCCCAGTCCCGATTGGGTCCTTTCAAATAACGCCATCAATATTCCCAGTGAGCATGTCAAGCCGCCACCCCCAAAATCTGCTGCTAGGTTGTTAGGAAACAGGGGCTTTTCATTTTTTCTGCCAAATAACGATAAAAGACCAGACATGCTGAGATAATTAATATCATGTCCAGCCAGGTTTTTCATTATGCCTGTTTGACCATACCCTGTTAATCTAGCATATATCAATCTGGGGTTTTCTTTTAACAAAACACTAGGACCTAGCCCCAAACTCTCCATAACCCCTTGCCTGAATGGCTCCAACAAAACGTCAGATTTTTTACACAGTTGTTTAACTATTTTCACACCTTCTGGATGCTTTAAATTCAAAGCTATCACTTGTTTACCATTTCCAAGGCAATCGATGATTCCAGGTTGGAGCTAAGTAGGTATACAAATTAATAATAATGTTACCCAACTAAAAACAAATAATACCCACCTTATCAATACGAAGAACATCAGCCCCAAAATCTGCCAAAACCATCCCACAGAAAGGGCCCGGGGCCAAACCCCCAAATTCCAACACTTTTATTCCTTTTAAAGCCATTTTATTAAACCTACTTAATTTTAAGTATCATTATGATGCGTAAATATTTTAAATACAATACAGTTCAAAGGTTTTTAATTAAACACAACCGTGAACCCAACGAAAATAAACAAACGATGACGTTTTACATAACCTCAAAAAGTTGATAACATAACCTTAAAAAAGATGAAAGTGAAGTAAAAATTGGAGAAAAATACTGAAATGGAAACATTTTACAAGCCAAAAAAAATACCTCCACAAAATATAGTAATTCGGCTGAATCAGCGGCAAATATTTTCGTATAAAAAGCCCGGCACGCACTTCCAGTCCGCCCGACAATTTTATCAAAACATTGTGCCTAATTACACTCTAATAAACATCGAAAAGCCTCCGTGTTTTTTAAGGAAATTCAGCCCCGATGGAAAACATTTCATTGCTTTTTCCTGCGACCAGATGTCCCTGGAAATTTACGTGTACCAGGGGCCGGCTGCCGCAGCAGACCTACTTCAGAATTTTAATGATCGGAACAATGAAAAGAAAAAGTTTGAAATCAACAGTCAAATCTTTGGTAGATTCTTTAAGGTAGGGCATTTTTTTAAATATAAATACCCATAGGTATAAGTAATCCAATTAGTTATGAAGAATGGTTTTGTAATTTTAGCTAAAACATGTAGTAAATGTGGCCAAGGGAAATGAGCAATTGAACAGGGAATGCAGCCTTTTTACAGATGACAGTAGATATGTTATTGTTGGCTCAGCTTCCTTTATACCAGATGAAATAAGACCACATTTTTATGAAATTTATACAAACAATGAATCGGTAACATTTGGTCAAAGGTACAAATTCATTTATTTCTAAGACTATTACCTATGTAAAATGTTTTTGTAAATTTAGGTCGCCTTTGGAAGAATATACGTTGCATCTCGTTGATTTGCACCAGGGAAAACTCTGTGATACAAGACAATTTAAAGTAGATAAGATATTTTTATCCCACAATCAGGGTTTATATTTATACAAAGATACGTTGGCAGTATTGTCCATCCAACATCAAATGATTCATATTTTTCAAATTTTGGACGGCATGTTTGTGGACGTGAGAAAAATCGGCAGGTTTTGTTACGAAGACGATTTGTATTGTTACAATTTGGTGTACCCAAACGAAAGGGCGTTCAGAGATCGCAACATAAGTTCCTTGAAGCACAGAGTGTTGACGTTTTTGTACAGGAGGGCCGCTCACATCAGCAGCACAACCAACAACCCCACAGAGCTAAGAAAGTTCTATCATTACTTTGACAACTTTTTGTCATTGAAGCTGTGGAAAATGCAGCTGCTGGACGAAGACCACCTGTTGATTAAGTACGCGAGCGAAGACATTGTCACTTTGAAAACGCACGATGTCAACAGCCAGCCGCAATTTTTCGTTGTCTATAACATGAAGGAGAGCAAGGTGTTGGCAATATATGAAAACACCTCCAGAAAACTGCTGGATTTGTTCGAGAACTTGTGCGATTCCTTTCGAAACGCCTTCATCTACAACGAAACGCAATTCACGTGCAGTCCGTCCAACAATTTGCACGCCAGATTGTTGCAACAGCGCTTCAAACAAACCATAGTGAGCGCCAAATTCGGCGGATCCACGGAGGCGACGAAGCGGCTGCTGGGGCAGTTGCCTATCAGCGCGCAATCCTACAGCAGCTCCCCCTACCTGGATTTGTCCCTATTTTCGTACGACGACAAGTGCGTTTCGGTGATGGAGCGACCCAAAGCTTCCGGTGAGCATCCGATCCGGTTCTACGCGCGCGACTCCGGATTCCTCCGGTTCAGGATCTACGCGGGCCAGGTGCGCACGGCGGCGTTGCCAAACCGAAGGCTGGTCGCGTTCACTTTTCACCCCAGCGACCCCTTTGCCATTTCCGTGCAAAGAACTGATGCAGAGTACATTGTTAATTTTCACATTAGATTCGACACTGCCGATTTGGAAGGCAAGATTTTTAACGACGATAATGTTATCTAAAGACTGCTGTTTTTGAAAATTACTACATTTCTTTTCTATAGGCACCTACCCATTCCTATAGAAGACAAACTTGCAATTTTCAATTAATGTTGTTTAAATAATAAATTTTTTATTTTTTTATATCTTTTTTTATTTACAAAAACCCCTTAAACTTTTTTCAAGGTCTTCTGATAAGTTTACAGGACTGGGATTTACATTTTTAAAATGCTCCAACCTGAGCACTTCCTCACTTATACTAAACAGAGAGAGTACCTGTTGAATAGCTTGCAAGTCAAAAATCATATGGTTCACCCCCACAATATGGCCATTAAACAAGGTTATTTTTTCCTTTGATCTCAATGCTAATATTCTTTTTGAGGCAACATACTTGAGCATATCATAAAATCTTAAATAATCCATGCCAAAAGAGGCCTTCAACATGACTTGACAGTGTTCTATAAAATTGGGCATTTCTTTGCAGTCTTCGATCTCCTTCTTCACCAATAACAAGTTTTCCCTGAGAGCCTTCCACACAAAATGAATATTGCAACCATTTATCCAGTTGTGATTGATTGAAATTGTGTCTTCCAAATTGTAAACCTGATGGTACCAACATGATGGCACAAAAACTGCTTCTCCAGGGTTCTGAATGATTTCTATACAGTTACTTCCCTCCACATGTGGACCAACATCGAAAGGAAGATTGTTTAAGTTGTCTCTAAATCGGTTTTCTTCACCTGGTGGAAAAAACAGCCACCTTTTCTGGCCACAAACATTAGCTGACCAACTAAATGAGGAAAATACATCTGAATGAAATGGTGTCCTAAAACAATGTATGTATATTTTTACTTTTTCTGAAAATAACTCGTTTAACCATGTATTTTGAGGACCCATGTAAACAAATCTATAGTCATCTTCTTGGCTGTCAACTAAGAATTCGTTTAACCAGTCGGAAGCAAAAAATACTGGCACATTATAAAAGTTATCCTCTGGGTGTTGAAGTTTTAAATGCCAATCTTTTAAGTAGTTTAAAGTCTGAGTTTCTCTATTAAACTCCTTCCAATATTTAATATAATCACTGAAGCTTGAAGGAAATGTTTTTTGGGAATTAAAATACTTTTCATTGCATTTATATACAGTAACACTACAATCGCCATATTTATTTGTTAAATATTCAAAGTCAGGTTTTCCATCCTTTACCCAATTTTTTGAGGATTCCCACCCATCTGTTATATTGCGAATTATACAAGGTTTGTTTATGTTCATAAAATTTTGGAAAAAATAATTGTAACAGGTGGTTTTTGCTTCCAAAGTTGGTAGATTAAATTTGCTTTCTGGTAAATCAATTATCAGCTCCATTTGTATGTATATATATTCCAAAACCTCATTAAAAATACCATTTGAGGACAATTTGTATGTTTTGTTTTGAGGTTATTTATTTCTTCTTCTTCTTTTGCATGAAAATTAAAAGAATATGAAAATATTTAAAACTTTATTAATAATTAAATAAAATTATTTACATTATTAGTGTTTTAGCTTTTTGGAAGGACTTTCCTCATCTTTATCATTAAAATGATTTCTAAATAAATCCAAAGCCCTATATCTGTGTGATATTTTATTCTTTTCTTCTTTTTTCATTTCAGCATAAGTCAGTTCGTAACCTTTAGGTTGAAAACAAGGATCCCAACCAAAGTCCCTGGGTCCTCTTGGTGAAACTATTTCTCCCTTAGTTTTTCCTTGAAATAAAATGACTTGGTCATCTTCTCCTCCAGGGTGGTAAGCAAAAGTGCACACAGCTTCAGCGGATTTGTCATCGTAACCAGTCAACATTTTGTGCAACCCTTCGGGTCCAAGTCGTTCCAGGAACCATTTAATGTAAGGACCAGGCAGACCTTTAAAAGCATTGAAGCACAAACAGGTATCTTCAACGAGCACCGGCCCTTTGACTAAATTATAAGCTGACAATGCTTTTTTTGTGCAAATATCGTCGATTTCACCCTGCAGCTCTGGCAAATCTATTTTCTTATTTTGTATTTTTCGGGGAAATTCTGTTCCGAGGATGGCGACAAGTTCTTCCAGTTTTTTCGCATTGCCGGTAACGAAAGTAATTGGTTTCGACATAATTTCTATAGAAAAGTAGTAAAATATTTTTACTTTTTAAAGGTTACTCTTCTTCTGCTACCGGGTTTGTAATTAATTAATTTGTCTCACTGTAGGTGATTTGAACTACTTGATTATGTATACACTCATAGATTAATAACCTACACTCATCCACAAAATCCTTTATTCCTATAGAATTGTGAGTTTGTTCCCAGAGGTACCACCTTTTTGGTACTTTGGTGGTACAGAAGTACTACGACTACTTTGGTACATTTTTAATAAAAAAAATTTATGAAATTTCTAAAATTTGTTACATTTTCAATAAAGTTGCTGCTGTGTTTCTGTTACTTTGCGGTCATTTCCTGGTTTCCGCTTCCTGTCTAAATTCGCCTATCTTTATTCGTTTTATTTTTAAATTCGTCTGTTGGCAACATCGAGCAAAAACGAATTTTGTTAATTAATGCATTTAAATGAGAGGTACATTTTAGAGAAATTTGGTCCATTATAAAAGTCAAATTTGGTACTTTATTTTGCAAATTGCAATCATGATTTATTATCTATGATTGCAATACTGGCAACACTGATTTGGACTCGGAATGCAGAATGGACGTCAGGGACATGCAGAATACCAAAGGTTTCATGTAATAAAAATACTTTTATTTACTCCTATTGCATAATACTGGTTTTGTTTGTGAATAAACATTATAAATGTGAATAAACATTATAAATGTCCTGCCTGACAACGAGAATAATGAACTCATTATTCACGTTGTTAGGCATCAGTGATTGGCTGATTTTTTATATTCACTGTGATTTGAACCTATCTGTTTTTAAATTGGGAGAAAATATCCACAAAAGTGAGGTTAACCATTTGACACATGTCAGATTTTATTTATTTATTTTTAAAAATCATTTAATTATCAGATTTTAAAAAATATTTACCAAATTGCAGTGAAATCTTTAAAAATAAACCAGGCTAAGCTTAGGTAGGGCATAAATTAAAAATTTGGATGCAATTTTCAAGCATATTTTATCCTTGGCAATTTACAAAACTATGTGTAAATAATATTTTAAATATCTAGTTAGTATTTAATTTTTCAAGTGAATTTTTTTGAAAATTATTAAAATTTATGCTTACCTTGATAAAAATATAAATAAATAAAAAACAAAGTACCTAATATAAAAACATTTTGCGTTTATTTGTAAATAATTATAGATATTTAATACAAATAAAACATTGACAAAGAAAGAGAAAAAACCTATATTGTAATGAAAGTTCTAATACTTAAAAATAGGGTACCTATCTACAATAATAATAATATTTAGATATCGTAATTGGTTGGTTAGTAGGTAATGTGAAGGTGGTTGTTATTTGCGATTGGAGGGAAGGAGGAGTTGCACGGTGGTCATGGCTTCCGGGAAGAGCGAATGGTAGTTGAGGAGGGGGACGTAGGCGGCCGTAATGACGCGGCCCGCGAACCAGCGGCCGTGCAGCGAATTGACGGAGGCCACGGCGGTGGCGATAGACGGACACTTTACGTACACGTTGCCCTGCGGCGACCCCTTGTCCACGTACACGTGCAGCACGCCCCCGTGCTTATTGCACTCCTCGATCACGTCGTCCCTGATCTCCACGTCCCACGCAGACACTGCCTCCCTACAAAATAAACAAATTACAACACGTCCTCACCTAAAAGGATAAAACTGCCATTTTTTTCCAATTTTCGCATATTTGCAGTTTTTGTATCAAATGACAATAAAATGACAAAAACCGAAAAACATTGAGTTTTTAATTAAAATTACAGATGTCAAATGTGAAGAATAGGGTTTTAAAATTTCCGGAAAAATTGAGCCGGTGAAAAAAAAACCGTTTTTCCAGGAAATAAAAGAAAAAATTACGAAATTTTCAGAAAAATTTACTTTAGCCAAACGGCCAATTCAAGCGGATGGACGGGACAAATCACAAAACTGTTTTTATAAAAAAAATTGTAGGTAATTTATTATATATTATTTTTGCATCAAAATTGTCAAATATATTCTTCTATTATTAGGTTATACATTAAATAAAAAAAATCGCAAGAAATATTTTATAAAAGTAGAGATAATTTCAATAATTGACAGGGGTGGACGGGACAAGATAAATCTTTTTTTTTGTCCCGTCCACACCTTTCAATTATTAAAATTATATCTACTTTTATAAAATATTTCTTGCGTTTTTTTTTTATTTAATTTATAACCTAATAAAAGAAGAATATTTTTGACAATTTTGATGCCAAAATATTATGTAATAAATAATCTACAATTTTTTTTATAAAAAGAGTTTTGTAATTCGTGCGTTTCGCGCGCTTGAAATGGCCGAAAAGTCAATTTTCCTGAAAATGTCCAATAATCCAATTTGTGCGATTCGGTGGGCAGGTTTAGTCAATTTCCACAATTAAGTTTGGACTCCTTGTGTAGGCTCCAGGGTTTAAATCATGATTTAAAAAAACAAAAAAATCTATTTTTATTTAAAAAAATCAAAAGAATCAACAAAAAATAATTTTTTTAATTTTTTTAAAAGTTTTTTTTAATTAAGTGTACTATTAAAAAAAATACTAAAAATAACTTGACTATAATAATATTATACTACTTTATAAGTATCGGGTTTTCGCAACGCGCGCGCCATCTGGTGCACTTTGATAGCATTGCGTGAATTTAAGAATTGTCAACAATACATTTAAAGCACAGATTATGCATAAATTTTAAATAAATAGGTAGTTTTTTCACAAAAGAGAGGAAGGCAGGTCTTACTCAACAAATTTTGTTCAATTGCACAGCTAAATCGCGCACGTTATTTGTATTTTAGGTTGCAAGGAAAAAATTAAAAAATATTTTTAGTCCTCGATTCTGATTGATTATTCCTTATATCATTGATTAAGAAACTCAACGCTTAAATGCTTATATAGTTACGTTAGTGTTATTGTGTTTTTAATTGTAAATAAAATTCAAGAACTAAATCGTTGCATTTTCATGTTTTGCCAAAGGATCCAATTCGGTAAGTATATTTGTTGATGCAGAATTAACTAATGATAAATTTACCTAATATAATTTATATTTAAGTTTGGACATTTTTAAGAAATTATTAAAAAATAATTTATGCACAAACATAACCTTAAAATCAACCATTTTTATATTTGAGTTCTCTAAAAAACGCCGACAACTGCATTTTAAACAACAAAATATACCTACGAATTCATGGCAACATAATATTATATATAATACATAATATAATCAACGCTTTTAATAATGTTAAATGCTGTTTAAATTTAGACAACTTATTTGTTTGACGATTATTACTGAATTGAAACGTTTTCACTTTTCACGATAATCATTACTAAAATGTGTATTTATTGTATCTAATAGGTACAATTTATAATTACAGAGACTGTACCTATGTAATTTATTTCTTCATTCAGATTAACACTGTTTATTGGAAAACCGGTAAAAACTCAACCCAGGATTTCCTCTTGAAATACACCAATACACAAAACAACAAATCGAGCCACGGTTTTTTTCCGATATTTTTTAACATTTTCCGGCTTTATTCTTAAAAAGACTCGTTTGTAACATAAGTGTTTGAATGCTAATTATTAAAAGTGGTACTTTTGTTACGATGATAACAGCCGAGTGGTGGCGCTACTAGCGATACTTCTTTAGAGTATAAACAAAAAAAATGAACCACCGTCATACATTTTTTTGTATATTCCTTTATTATTTTATTTAACAAAATATGCAGTTTTTAGATCTTTCTTCTTTTAGATCTTTTAAGTGTTTTTTTAGATTTTAGATTATTTTTTTAAAACTGATTTAAATCATTGATTAAAATAAAAAAATCACTTGATTTAAATTGTTGGCGAACCCTGGTAGGCTCCATGGATAAAATGGTGAAAAAGACACGTAATTTTTGACATTTGACATGCACAACAAGTAAAATCGAGTTACTCACGTGGCAGGGTCGAACATGTTGCTGAGCATGAAGCACTGCGTGGCGATGGGCGGCGTCGAGTTGGTTTGCACTTGCGAGACGACCGGCTGCCCGGTGGCGATCGAGAGCGCGTTGGCGGCCGCCTGCGGCACCTGCATGCCCGCCCCCTCCGCCAGCTTGAACATCAGCTGGAGGCGGCCGGTGGCGCCCAGGTCGATGCCCGACCGATCCAGCTCGTCCGAGTCCAGTAAGGAGGGACCCTGCGTCTGCAGGTCGAGGCGCTCGGTCACGTTGCCCACCTTCATCGGCCGGCCGGCCAGCTCGAAGCCGTTCAGCTGTTCCAGCGCCTTCTTCGCGTCGTCGCACGAGTGATAAGTTATGAAACCGTATCCTTTCGATCGGCCCGTTTCCGGATCCATGATCAGCTGGATGTTGTCGATTTTGCCGAACGGTTCGAATATTCCCCGCAGCATTTCCTCGGTTATGTTGAAGTGCAAAGAGCCCACGTACAATCGCATCGGCCCAGTCATTCCTTTTGGCATTAAATTCGGCATGGAGTTACCCATTCTGTTTTTCTCTGCCTGGGTGTGTTGCACTATTATTGGTACACCCAAAAGCTTTTGCCCAGATAAACCCAATGCCTACAATCAATCATCACAAATGTTATTACTAAGGCTGGGAATCGATTACGAATAATTCAAATATTTGTCATTTTTATTAATTAAGAGCTCTCATCATATGTTAGGCATGGGCATTATGGGCTGCAGCCCAGGGCCCCGTCCGATCGAGGGCGATGCAAAATCAGCTATTCAATAGTTGCATAGAGGTAAAATATTGAGCCTGTTAAAATTTCAGCTCTTAATAATATTATTAAGAGGCCCATCATCGCGAATATCTATTTCTCATGTAAAAAAATTAACTTGGGATTTATATATCTTTTTAACGGATTAATGGACTTAAATGAAAACAATATATATACATGTATTTTAAAAATATAATTTTAATAAATTATTTAAAGTAAACGCTCTACAAAGAGGTCTCTTATTATTTTATAATAAATCTTCTTGTTAAAAAGTTATTCAAGCTTAAAATTACATTAATGGTGAATTTCAAGTTTTTCTCACTTTTCCGCTAAAACTATCAGACTTATAGCAAAAAGTTATAGGACTTTGGTAGATTATTTTATTTTTCAAAAAATTGTGTAATTTTATAATTTTAAAACTTACAGTTCTACAGTTACTGATTTTACAAATTAATAATTCTGATTAAAATTCTAATTAATTTCAAGAAAAACATAAATTTTATTGCAAAAAATATTTGTATTTATACTGGTAAAACCAGTAAATCATAAATAAAACATTAAAAAAATGATGACATATTTTTATAGGAAATAAAATGACCTACAAAAAATGTATGATCATTGTCAACATTTTGGAACAATTCTATGAATTTGTCTTAGTCTTAAATAATTTTTAACGGATAAATTAATCATAAAATAATAAACTTTATTTAAATTCTCTAAAATTTTTATTTTTTTCTATAAAATTAAATAGCCTTTTGAGTCTGTTAAAATATCACCCATTAATATTATTGATAGCTAATCTCGATTTTACTTTATTTTAATTCTCTAAAAATTTTATTTTTTTTCTGTAAAATTTAATAGCCTTATTTGCCTGTTAAAATATCAAATATTATTGGTTGGTAATCGCGATTTTACTTTTTAATTAAGTAGGTACATGAACTTTTTTTATTTTGAAATTATATAACTAGTTAACGGATTAATGGACTAAAATGATTATAACTTTTATTTATTCTCGGGACACCCAGTATAAATGCTGGAATGTTTTATTTATATTATTTATTTTATTTATGTTATTCATTTTTTTTTTTAAATAAGAGTTATTTTTTCTTGTTTTTTTATTATTAATCATCAGAGTTTTAGCCCAGGGCCCCCAAAGTCAACGGTCCGCCCCTGGCTCTCATGAAAAATTAGGTGGCTTTCGAATTTAAAATAATATTTTTTTCGCCACAGTAAATTCTTGTACAAAAAAGTTTTAAAAAATAAATTATTAAACGTCGCTCACAAAATTTAAAAAATCGATATAGTCGCTTTGTTTTGGACAATTAATAATTACTCATTAATAGGTTTTCGTAGTCAAAATTTGCGGCAGCCCGCTGCTTTCACGTGCTATTTTAATTTAGAATTTCTAGCCAAAAAGCCCGAAATCCTAAGGTATAGGCAACTTGCCTATACAATAGTTGTATTTAATAGTTTTCTAAAAATTAGAAATATTTTTTGCCTGTGTTTAAATTTATTTAGTAACAAATTAGGTCAACAAATAATTCGTATTAATACTAAAAATCAACAAAACTTGAGACTTTTGCGGACTTTCTTGTTTTAATATAAAAATCCGATTTAAATAAAAAAGTCTGTTTTTTAAATAAATATATTAATAATAATAATAAATAAATAAAAAAACAACTCGGTTATTACTATTATTAAACTAAATGTCTATCAGAGGTTATTAATACAGGGCTCCCATGGCTAAACTACAAATTTCATTTAGGAATTAGGTTTTTTGTAAAAGTTTAGGAGTAATAAAGTATGCAAATGAATATCTGTAATTAAATAAAAACAACTCTACACTGTACTTAAAAAATAAAAATAATTTTGTTTAACAAAAATACTTCTTTTGTACAAATAAGTTACATTCACAAGTTTTTTACCCAAATCGCTCGACGAGTTTTTTTGAATAAAATTAAAAGTGAGGTATAATTACTACTTTTGTATATCTAAGGTACATATATAAACAAGTAGAAATTTCTCCAAACTTTTAATTTTATTTAAAAAAACGCGTCGATAGATTTGGCTAAAAAACTAGGGTAAAATCAAATGTTATATTTATATTTTAGGAAAAAAATGTAAACCGTTTAGTTAATAACTAAAAATAATTCTAATGTGGATCTTAATACTGAAAAATCTTATAATATAAAAAATATGAAGTTTGCAAAATACAGCAAAACATTCTTTAGATTGTTTAAAAGAAAATTAAAAATCATTTTTTTTTATATATAACACGGTATATTTTTGTCTAAAACAAACGAAATATGGCTAAAATAGACAATTTTGTAGTCTAGGAGCTATTACTTGTATTTTGTTTTTAGGTATATTTTGTTGTTTTTTAAGAAAAATGTTGGTTGTGATATTATATCATTTTAAAAAGAATTTAATAAACTAGAACCTAAAAATATATATTTATATTTAATTTTTTGGAGATTGATGGCAATTTTAGGAGTCTTCAAGATTTAAGCCAAATTTTAGGAATTTTTGAGTTTTAGGAGGTATGGGAGCCCTGTTAATAAAGCAAACAACTTACCAAGGCGACACTTTCGGGATCTTTGAATTCAATGTACGCGATACCTTTAAACCTCCTCGTTTTGTTGCACACGATCATTCTAACGTCTCTCACTTTGCCGACCGAACTGAAGAATTCCTCGAGATCGCGGGCGCGTATTCTCTGCGAGAGCTGCATGCAAAACACAGTTCTGGCATCTCTGTCTTCCGGACTGAGCTCTTCTGCGGGCGACGACGATCTCAAGCCGAGCGGCGAGCGCGCCCCCCTCCGCGGGAACGGAAGCTTCGGCACCGCAGGCGAGGGAGACCGCTTGCGATCCCGCGACTTCGACCGTTTCGTCCTGTCCCTGCTTCCCGATCTGCCGCGGTCCAACTTTTTATCGCCTCGTGCTTCTCTGTCCTTGCCGCTCGCGTACGGTAAACCTCTGACGGGCGAGCGGCTTCGTCTGTCGCGCGAGCGGGACTTGCGGTCGCGCGCCGGCGACCTGCGGCCTCTCGAACGCGATCTCCGACGGTCTCTCGACCGTTTTCTGTCGCGGCTTTTGCTGCGCCTGCCTCCCGCGTCGCCGCCCCGTCCACTCTTCTTCCTGTCGCGGCTTCGGCTTCTGCTGCTGTGCCGTCCCCTGCTACGACTCCTTCTTTTGCTAAAAGCCAATACACTTTAATTATCCGCACATGTACAGGGTGATTCCCTATAATGTCGCCCCCCTTTAACTTTTTTATTTTAAGTGTCCCAAAAAATTTAAAAGTGTGGATATGTAGGTACTAAAAAATACATTTTTTCTACGTATTAAAAAAAAATGAAAAATTGATCAATATACGGGGAAAAACAAAAAGTTTATTTATTTTCAATGGATCACCCTATATATGAATTTATTTTTCGATTCCTTGTAAAATTCTGAGCATAATTCATATAGCAAACCATATCCTAAATTCAACTGTTTCTGAAATATTCGCATTCGAAATGTTATCATTAAATGTTTTTTAAAACTGTTGGAAATCAAGAAGCCTCAGTATACCAAAATTTTAATTAAAAATAAATTATTGACATTATGTCAAGTAAAAATGGCCTACTCAGACAGAGAAAGACAAACTATTTCAACTTATTATCTTAAAAATAATTTAAATATTTCAGAAAGGGTTGAATTTAGTTATATAGTATGTTTTATGAAATATGCTTAGAATTTTACAAGGATTTGAAAAATAAATACATATATAGGGTGATCCATTGAAAAAAATATACTTTTTGTTTTTCCCTGTGTACTGATCAATTTTCCAATTTTCTTTATACGTAGAAAAAAAGTATTTTTTAGTACCTACATAACCACACTTTGAAATTTTTTCGGACACTTAAAATAAAAAAGTTAAAGGGGATCACGCTGTATTAGGAGGCCAACGTAAGATGGCCCATAATTTATCTTAAAAACTAGTGGACTCACAATAAATTTGCAAGGAAAACATTTTGGTGATCAAAAAGGTTTTTATTTAAATCAACTTTTAAAATGTTATTTTCAAGCAAATGTCTACATTTCAAAAAAACAAAATCTTGAATTTATATTTTAATTTATCGTGCCCGAACCTTATAATGTATTTAAAAAGTAAATGTAATATAAATGTGTAAAATCCAAAAATATACTGGATGTTCCACTGAAAATAAAAAAGTTGTCCCGAGGAAAACCTGACACTGTATAAACAAAAATGTAATATTTAAAAAAATCTTTTAAATTCCTTACAAATTTTACCCCAGAAGTTTTTGAGATGCATATACAGGGTGTCCTGAAATTAATGCACCATACTTTAACAGCAGATTGTACGTGCAAAAATAAGAAAAAAAGTCCCTATAAACATAGGTCAAGAAATGCATCTTAAGGGAGCTACAGCCCCCAAAAGGAAAGCCCCTGAAGATGGTTTTTATTTAATATCTCAAAAACCGTTAAAGATATATAAGTGAAATTTGGGGAATTAATTAAACTTTTTATGACCAATAAGACGTAACAATAACAATTTAAAAAATTTTATGAGGTTCGGGTCAGATTGATAGGAAGTAAGGTTAAAACCACCTTAACTTTTTTGTACGTATCTTGTACTAGAATTTGGTATTAGATTATGAAATTTTAGAGTTTTTCACATAAAAAAGGTCATCCTGTTGAACTTCGATAGCATAAACCGTTTTCGCATAAAATCGATTTGAACAATATATTTTACATGGCATAAAAATTCACAATTAATTCAGAACCATAGAAATGGACTCGCGTGGGCCTTGGAATACGGCTGCCATGTTTAGGAAAAAATAGAATAATTCAAGACAGGTGACAGTTTCATGTAGTAAGTGACAGAGTGTTTCTACTTTTTATTTTAGATAAAAACCATCTTCAGGGGCTCCCTTTTCGGGGGCTTTAGCTCCCTTAGGAGGCATTTCTCGACCTATATTTATAGGGACTTTTTTCTTATTTTTGCACGTAGAATCTGCTGTTAAAGTATGGTGCACTAATTTCGGGACACCCTGTATATTATAAAAGTGGGGCACCACTCTATAGAGTGGTGCCCCACTTTTACTCATGTAATTTTTTTTAACGCTAAAGTGGAATTGAAAAAGAAACCATAATATTTTTCAGATTGTTAAAAAAATATTTAGAGGCCGCTAAATAATTTTTTACGAGGAATAGGTTCTGTATAAAGTTTAAGCCTGTTATTATTAAAGCAGGGATGTTCAACAATTAAAAATAATATATGCTTAAAACTTACAAAGTTTGTAAGTTTTAAGCATATATTATTTTTAATTGTTGAACATCCCTGATTTAATAATACACAATTTTGTATAATACAGGGTGTCCAAAAATGGCAGGCCAACGGTATACCCAGTGTTACCAGATTCTGTCAAAAAAAGACCGTACGTTTCGTTCGAATTTACCTTAATTACAAAAATGACTCAATGGACAATATTAAATAACGTCAACTTGACATAATTGCATTTATTTGCATTGTTTCATTGTGTCATTTTGTAATTAAGGTAAATTCGAACGAAACGTACGGTCCTTTTTTGAAAGAATCTGGTAACACTGGGTATACCACATTTAAGGAGATTTAATGTTATTTTCTTTTTTAATTTTTTGAATAAAATGTATATATTTAGAATGATTAAACACAACTGTCTAATAACGTTTTAAAAATAAAAAAATAAAATTTCTTAATAAAAACAAAGTTTGGGTTTTCTGACAGGAACTGTCAGAAAAAAACATATCAACCATGTTTAATTTAAGTCGCTGAATTTCAATATTCACTGTGATTTGAACCAATCGTGTTTTAAATTAGGAGAAGGCGACTATAATAACATTTAAAATTGGTAAAAACTTAGGTTAACCCTTTAACAGAAATCAGATTTTATTTATTTAATTTTTAAAATCATTTAATTATCTACTTATTGGAGTAGATAAAGTGTAGTATTACACTCGAGATTATGCGCATTATTCGCTTGGATGATTTGAGTCTCTCGTCTAGCGACTCGAGACGCAAACCTCATCCTCGTGAGTAATAAATAGCCTGCATTATCTTTCATATAATAATAAACTAATGTATACAGACACATAAGGGGACATCCATTAATTACGTGATGTATTTTTCTGATAATTTGGACCCCCTTCCCCCTTGGTGAGATTTGGTGAGATGTGGTAGACCCCATCTATCCCTCACGTGAGATTCTAGACAAAACTTTCCTTGCGGACAACATGATAAACCCCAAAACAGTAAAAACACTTCAGCATTCCAAAAAAATATCACATGAGTAAAAGTGGGCCACGATAAAGTATATGATTCTTCTTACATGGGACTCCCTGTACATTTAAATAAACGTTGATAGTACTTACTCAGAGGAACGATGCTTGCCGTCTCCATTCTCTCTGGATTTGCCATTGACTTCGTCCTATGAACAGCAACAAAGTGAAGAGGACCGCGCAGATGGCGAAAAAAACAGACAGCATTAATATCAAACGACTATTTAAAAGCACCTACCGGTTATTTTATCTTTTTGGTTCTATAACACTTGAACGAACGAACAATGCCGACTTCAACTTGTACATGGACTGTGCAAATTGAGATCAATATTGCTGACAAATTCACCTGCTTAAAGATGCAAAATCTCAAATACGTTTTTCTAAAAAGTGCTTACCCACCTAATTTAAATTGAACTTATTAGGTGGATAAATGTGCTATGAAATGCACAAATTAATTGGCATTAAAGATTTGAATCGTTAAGGCAGGCGAATGTAGGTGGGAGAAGAGAAGATAACAATGAGACCTAAAACTAAATATTAAACGTGGTTTGTGGGTTCGTCGCAGTTTTTTGGTGGGCATTTTCTGAAACAACGAGAGCCGTCTAGCCGCAACTAGACTTACCGTTGTGTAGGAGTATACAAAGGAACTTGATGGCTATACTTGATCCACATCACATTACTTTCTGAAAAAATACACCGAATAAGACCATGTCCTTTAATGTCATATTTGTGTTTTTTATTTATTTATTAATTTTTTTTTAAACCAAGACTTACATGCAATTGCTTTATTGCAATGATGTCAATTATAGGAAATTAACTGACTGACTGGTTTTGGTACCAAAATATACATTATGGTGGTAATTCCATGTTCAATATTAAACATTAAAAATATTACATTTTATAAAAAGTTCTGATGGTAATTATTAGAATGACCACCATAAAAACGTGCTTATTAAGACATACCTAATATATAAAGAAAAATAGAACAAATTCAAACCCCAATAATTAACATGGGCATTTTTTTAAATATTAAAAAACAGCTTCCCCACTCCATTTTATTTTGAAAAGGTAATAATAAAAATAGTTATTTTTATTGAATGGGAGTTAACAATATACAGGGTGGTCCAAAAGGCAACTTTATTAATTTAAGAATAAAAAAAATTCGTAAATTAACTGCTTGTAGTATGAAAACAAATTTAATGCCCTAATTTACCTAATAAAAAACAATACATTCCAAATTTCAATAAAATATGTTTTTGTTTTGGGAAAATTAATGTGTATAAAAAAAATATGCCACTTCAACATCTTATATTTCTGAAACTGTTGAATTTCAATATAAGTTTATAATTATTATTTTAACGTTTTTAATTGATTCCCAAATTATTAAAGCTTTCTTTTGGTACAAGTTAATATGGATTATAATCTCCCAAATTTTTTTTTTAACTTAAAATGTTCTCTTTGTCAGTTTCTTTATCTGTAATTTAACATTGGCAAGTTGTTATTATTATGAATGGCTTATTTAAAAGCTTAATTTTTTAAAATTAACTATTTTGCAATAAAAAGTAAAATTAAAGCTTTCACTAACATTTTATGTTCCTTCTATTCATTTTCTTTGTAGTGCTATAAACGAGTGGCACATAGTGTCAGTGAATAATGCAAATCCCTAGATGATTGTCTATTGTTTGAAAATTTCAAAACAAAAACAATTGGTCAATTTCAAATTGAAATTAACCAATTAGGTGCTTTAGTCAAAGAAGCAGATTTTTTAAAAAATAGCTGTAAAATCTCAAAATGTATGCAAATTTTATATTGTCTTTTCCGTCCCTTGGCAAAATTTATTTTTTTGTTACTTTTTATTGTTTTGTTGTGTTTAAATAGTAAACTTATAGTGTAAGAAAAGTTTTTAAAACATCACTGAATTTTTACTACAAATTTATTAATTCATAGATTATTATTATTTTGTCAATTTAAATATGTATGAAGTCTACTTTTGAAAAAATATAATGTTCAAAATAATCTTAAGAAGTTTTGAAAGCTGCTGAGTCAACAAAAAAATCTGAAATCTAAAAACTAAAAAAATGCCCATATGAAAAAAAAATTAATTATTAAAATAATGAACCAGCCAGCCAGCCATTAGCAGTAGTAGTAAGATTGATTTTAGTAGTAAGATTGATTTTTGAATAAAATAATTTCATTTCTAGTACTTTATTTTAGTCCAAAAGTCCACCTCATGCAAAAATTGAGTAGCAGTAACCAATCGGATGATTGGTAAGTAGAAGGCAGGGATGTTGTTTCAGCTTGTTTGTTGTCCATACACACACAGCAGCCCTATGGCGAGAAATTACCGATCAGCCAACCATACATTTATGTACATTTCAAAATAATTTATAATTTTTATAGTAATACCTTGACAAGAATATCAATAAGTAGAATATTTATCACTATTAAAAATTTCATGTGAATTAATCAATTCAAGAAATTATAAACAAACATGCTACCTATGATACTTTGGAAGACGTTTATTTAATTCATCCTAATTTAAAATAAACTTAAGCTAAGGTGTTTCTGTACCTGAATTGCGTTTGTGAAGGAGCCGTTAGCCCGAAATATACCTCATAAGTCTAAAATATAAAATTAGGTTGTGATGTAAAAGAGGAATACAAATCAATTGTTAATGTTTTTTTGCTATAGCACTTGTAATAATGTGAATGGCGATCTAAATTAGTCGCAACAAAATTTATTGTTTCCAACAAAAATAACTCAATTGAATACATCGCCATTGGCATTATTCGTTATAGACTTTATTACAACTAAATACGATTAAGGTATGATAATTGAGGCCTTACGATAAATAGGTAGGTATACTTACATCTTTTCTGTATGGGGCTTCCAGCATAGCTTCTACGTCTAGATCTTCTGCCATTTTGCTGCAAATAAATGTACTCTGGATTAAAGACCTGCTTTACTTCACTATCACCAAATCCGTACCATATATTTTTTGCGAACAATTCAAAACTTCTTGGGTAATAATTCTAAAGAAAACCCTATCGATTGAACAATAAAAATGGCTGACAACACTATGACAGTGTTACCAATAGTGTTCATTGTTGCCAACCAAAAAACAAACATAACTAATTGTAAACAAAATTTTAATTAGACCTTATTTTTAAATTGGTATTAGATCAATGTTTATTTAATTAATATTTATAAACAATCTTTGGTCGTTGAGTCTCAATTTAGAACATTATAATCCCCTCAACGCTTAATAAGAAAAAAGGTTGGAGGTTGTCAAGCGTGTGCAAAACCAGTAAGCGCGGGACGTTTGAATTTGAAAATGTATAATTTAAATTGCAAAGTTAAAGATATCAAAACGGCAAAATCAAACTGTTGATAAAGTTGTTGTTTCAGATATTTGATTTTCCTGAAAGGCCCGTTAAAGATGTAAGGCTTGGTTTGTATGCAAAAAAAACGTATTCGCCTCCAGTTAAGGTTCACGATTGGCAAGTGCTTGCAAGTAAATTGGAGGACACTGTTTCTAGCCACCAGGATGTAGATTATTCCACCGAAACTAAATCTAAATACGTTTGGAGCAACACCAAGCGTTGGATTAATTTCAACAAAAAAATGACAAATATCTGTTCATACAAAGAGTAAGTTTATTATTTTATAAAATTAAAATTTATCCTCAATATTTCAAAGCGACACCGAACTGGACCAGGCTCAGGAAAATTTCATTCCTGAACACTGCGAAGATTATGTAACGAGCATGCAGGCTGGCTACAGCCCTCCTTATCCATATGCTATGCAAAGGGTAAATATACATTCCTAGAGGCATTTTTTTTTAATTAAAAAAATGCTTTTCCACTTTTTTTTGAAAAGGTAAATAATATTACATAATTTTCTTATTTTATGGTAGGTATACCGTAGATACGTTACGTACCTACGGTTTTTTTTCGTAAAAAGTACGAATTGGAATTTTTTTCAATTTTCCGATTTTCAAAAAAATTGACTTTTGCATTTATTCTCGTATTATTAGTGCTACGGATAATATAGAAAAAATTCAAGTGTTTTGAAGGCTAGATGTGCAAAAAATTTATTTAAAAAAAAATGATTTTTAAAAAGTTAATTATGGCCTTTCTATAAGTAAAAATAAAGCATTTATTTATAAATAATATGAAAAATGCTTATTTTATAAAAATTTGTAATTTAAAATTTTTCAAAAACATTCAATTTTTCCCAAAATAGACAATCTTTTCAAGGCCCGAGGAAAAACGAAAAAAACCTTGTTATTATTATATTATTTTAGGATATCTTTAATAATTTTTTGTCTCTTCTGTTCCGTTTCTTTGTAGTGGTATGAATAAGTGGTAGTAAAGAATGCAGGTTTTTAATATATTACATATAGTCCTATTCCTCCCAAAAGTCACTAACTAACTTATTGTAAAAATGTTAACAAATTGTGCCTAACTATACAAATTTACCATATCTTTAATATTTAAAAGCCACTTGCTTAAAATATTATGTCGTTTTTGCATGATTAAAAATCACTATAGTTTATAAACTGATGTAAAAGATATATTTATTTGCTTATTTATTTTATCTTGAAGCTCAATAATAAAATGTTAGTTAGGGACTTCTTGCAGGGATATATAAACTACAAATTTATTAGTTCATGTTTTTTGACAAAAGTAACAAGGGACAGAACAAAATAATTTATTATTAATTTTGCTAATATGAAATAGGCAACAAATCAATTAAAAAAATTTCTGTCCCAAAAGGGCAGAAATTAAAAAAAGATAACCATATACATATTTGTGTAAAAATGTGTTTTCAGATATCGATGCCGAGTACGCCGTACTTTTTAAACCGTTTTCTGAACAAGCCAACAACTATGAGCACTTTAAAATTTTTCGACGACGAAAACAGTTCGCACACGTGCCGCTTGCAAAAGTACCGACAAGTCCGTCATAAATCGTGGAATCCATGGTTGGGGGTGTACAACGACGGTAGCAAATAAATAAAACGAGAACAAGGTTAAGAAAAAAATATATATTAAAAATTTATGTCTACAAATAATGTATAATGAAACTGATTAAAGCCATAAAACTTTTGAGCTTAATTTTTGTTACTTCAGTAGCATACCTAAATCATCTACCAAATACAATATACACCAACGGACAAAGCTACTGAATACATTTTATTTTTTAGTCTAGTTTATAGGTCACTACCAACTAAAATCAATCAATGGAAAATCATCATTTTTAAACAAATTAAAGCAACATAAACAAAATAATAATAATAAAAAATCGTGAGCAAATTTTTAATAAAAGCTGATTAAAGTCTCGATAAAGTCTAAATAAAAATTTGCTCGTTTGTTAAGAAATATAATAATAGGTAAAATAACAAGTAAATTTAACACGAACGAAATAATGAAAACCCAAACAAATAACACTGGTCGACAAAATGAAATTTTTTGTTTGCCTCAGGGGAGCCAACATTTTTTAGGGTAATTTCAAATTCCAAAAAATGACCATCATTTTGGATAATTTTGGTAAATTAGCCTTTGTTTTCAAGATATTGCGAAAAAAACCGTTTTTTATATGCAAACATTCAAACTCGCATAGGTATATATCTTTTTAATCAAATACTTTAACCAAGGATTATTGGTCATGTAGCTGAGTCCCAATATAACTGAAAAAAATTATTATGCACATTCATAAAGTCCCTGAAAAAAAACATTTTTAACGAAATAAAATCGCTTCTTTGGCAAAATTGATCTTTGGTAAAAGTATTTGATTAAAAAAATATATATACGAATTTGTCCATCCACCCACAGACATGTGAATTTTCCAAACTTGAATCATCCACTAATTCTTGTGTACAAATCACAAAATAACTCGCTAAAAGATCAAAGATTGCGATATTGTCCAAAGATACAGGTATATTTCTATTCCCGGAATCCAATTTTGTCCCTCCTGGGTCAAAGTCAGCTATTTTCACACTTTTTCATCGAGCGATACACACGAAAGACAAAATTAAACTGACGAATTCGTCAAAATTCTTAATTCTGATCACAATTCTGTGTTCAGAGGAATGACCTTTAGCTTAATTTAAAAGCTATTTGGCCAGCACATTATATTTTTAAATTTTTTTTTATTATGATCATGGGTCTTATTTAAAAGAATCTAAGATTAACTCATCATTTATATATTCTTTATTATTTATAAATTTTTATAGAACCATGTCATCTTTTCGCATTACTATGTACACATGGCTTCATTAGACTGGGCCAAAAAAATCAACAATTTTTTTTTTGAAAAGTATATCGAAAATATGGTTTGGGGTGACAAAAAAAAATTATGGTGAAAGTTTGAGTCCATAATATTAATATTATGAGGTCATCATCATCGCAATTTTAGATTTTATTTCCCTGAGCGAGTTTTTGTCTCAGAACTCCCAAACCATTGAATTTAACAAAATTGACTTGGAAATATATTTTGAAGAAAATTGAATGCTCTACAAAAAGGTTTGATTGAAATTTTCCGTCAGATGAACAGTTTTCTCACAATCATGCCTTAAAAATTGGTATAGTTTTACAATTGAAGGGGTTAGAATAAAAAGGGTATAAGTAACATTTTCATTTTTTGGAGATATTTGAAGTTAAAGTTATGTTACCATAAAAAAGTGAAGAATTTTGTTTAGTAATGTTTTTCTACTGGATAATAGAGGTCCCTAGAAGTATGAAAATTACTTAAATCCTTTTCATTTCGATACGTCGGAATCTTATCTTTCACAAAACGAACTTATCTCCTAAATTAAAGAAATTGCACTTATACCCTTTCTATTCTAACCCCTTCAATTTGATCTTTTAACTTTGGAATTTTGTAATTCATGTAAAAATTAGAACCTGATAGATATTCTTATGGGAAATCAAATGCTCTACAAAAAACTCTCCTTACATTTTTGGCTAAATTCACTCCATCAAGTTATTCAAGGTTAAATTTGAAGTCAAAACGAAATTCTTGTTTTTCCGCTCTAGATTTTTTTGGGTTAGTTAAAAACTTGAATACTTTTATCGATGATAATCTTTATGTTATTGATAAAATTACTGAAAATTTAAAAAAAATAACACATTAGAATTTTTTCGCTTTAAGAAGCTATTTTCTTTAGAAAATATTTTTACTGTTAACTATTTAATCGTTTAAATAATCATGTTGTTTTTTTATTGGACATCGTTAATTAGTTATATAATACACAATTATAAAGAAAAACATCAAATTATCATCCATACAAAAATAAATCTACAGAGGAAAAAACAAGAATTTAGTTTTGACTTTAACCTTAAATAACTTTTGATTGAGTGAATTTAGCCAAAAATGTTAAGAGAATTTTTTTGTAAAGCATTTCATTTTCCATGAGAATATTCATCGATTTTTTTCGGGGTACTGATTTTTACATGAATTACAAAATTCCAAAGTTAAAAGATCAAAATGTAGAACTATACCAATTTTTTAGGTATGATTTTAAGGAAACGGTTCATGTGACATCTTCATTTCTACACTGGAAGTCCGATTTTGCCTCTCCTGGGTCGAGAAGTCCCTTATATTTCAAATACTCTTTCATAGAGCTACCGAACAACACGAGACGCAAAACTGAACTGAAAAACAGTTTTTTACAATACCTTGAAAACATAGGCTAATTGAGGTTATTTTTTAAATCAGCGCACCCAAATAACCCTGGAAAAGTTGTTGGCCACCCTGTCGGAAAATGGCTGTTGACCAGTGCAATTGGATAAACAACCAATAATGATTCAGTCAGAAAATTATCTGTTTAAACATTAACAAATGTATATGAATACTCAAGGCATACAAGGCTTCTTCTTTTTCATCTGCTTCATTCCTCATTTATGGTTTTTATTCAAATTCAAGACTATTACATTTGGGTATTTTGGTAACGGTTAACTTTGAAGCAAATTGCAAAATATAATGGGCTGCGGTTTGTTTGTATTCATTGGAAAATACAGAAGCACCAATATCTGATCTGGTTTAAAAACTAATTATTTTTAAAATAAATGATAAACCAATACAACATTATTTAATGATAACTTACTTAACTAGAATCTGTCATTTTTTAATTGGGAGCATTTATTAGATTTAGATTTTTAAAGCTAAACAAATACATTCAATGCAATAGTGTTAATGTAGTAAAATATCGTTTTCATATAAAACATTAACAACAGTTAAGAAAAAGTAACAGTAGTTAATAACATTATGTAAAAATATTTTCAGTCTATTTATGATGTCTATTAGATGAAAATTAAAAGTTAATTAAATTATAATCAAAATACATCCAAAAGTGCATGCCGAAAGTCTATCTAAACCAATTTAATTAATACAAAGAACACAATTTTTTTTATTAACTAACACTATGAAAATTATTTCTAGGCAATTTTGAAATTTTTTGGAGAATTTTAAACGAATTTATAAGGTCACCGTAGGCAACTGGGGTTTCAAGCTCTTATTCTTCAGTAGCAACATTATTGCTGTGCAAGTATACATTAGAGTATTTACTCCCTTTGAAACGAACATGTTTTTTCAATCCCCATTGAAAATCTTGTTCTACAAAAGAAAAGCAAGATTTACATGCGGAAAAACTTTTACGGCGTGATACCAGTTCGTTATAATGGGGAATGAAAAATAAATGTTCGCTTTAAACGAATTTTACAATTTATATTATACAATATACAATCTTTATCAATCTCCATTAACATTGTAACAAATAATTGCATTTTGTAATAATAATCTTTTGTACTATTAATTTCCAGCGCATTAAACCTTTTGCACAACATAATGGACATCTGCTACCATTAGAAACAATTATTATTATATGAATAAGTAAAACCTAAGTCGATTGTTAGTGGAACTTTGCTTTCTTTTTGAAACTTTTACCTTTTGATTTAGCGTGTTTTTGTTTTCGTTTGCGACCGCCGCCGCCTTGTTTCGAAGATCCGAAATCAGTTATTTCGTCGCCCAGAGATCCCAGAGTGGTCAGGTGACGTCCCTTGTGTTTCTCAGACTTGCTCACAGGCAGGCGGGTCATGTACTCCTCCTCGTACTCCTGCCTTTCCTGTTGCTGCTTCGAAATCACCTGCTGGGCCCTGCTGGCCCCCTTCACTTCCACGGGGCTGTCCAGGTACTCCTCGCGCAGATCCTGCATGATACTCGAAGAGAGCGCGTGTTTTTTGCTTTTCTCTTCGAGCCGCTTGTTTCTCTCCTTCGACGTTTCATCTCCTTTTAAACAAAAATTTAAATTTTTCCAAATTTACCTTTTTATCTTGTCAGGGAACTAAGTCAAAATAGGTAAATCACTATATTTCAAAATTTAAATCAAAGACAAAAACAAATTTTAGAATTTTAAAAACAAGTTTAAGTCAAAACCCGTTCTATAAAGTAAAAACTATCAGAAAAGGCACACAACAAGGTCTGTTCTATCTCATGCTAAAAATACTAAAAATCACTGCAACACTGCACAGATTAACGGCGGCCATTTTTGTTGTTTACAATTCTTGTGCTTTGGGTTTGTGCTGTTTAATAATTGTTTTAAACGGTGTGTTTCTTACAGAGGCACTTTTAAACCTCAAATAAGGCGTTTCAGTGCTAAGGACAACCATTTTACTCCTCTTTTATAATAAATATACTTTATTCTATCAGGGCTGTCAAATGACAATTTGAAGGTTAATTTGTGGGTTATAATTTAACCTTAAAATTTACATTTGACAGTTTTATGACAGCCCTGATAGAATAAAGTTTATTTTTTACAATAGAGGAGTAAAATGGTTGTTCTTAGCACTTTAAGGACTCTTTTAAGGCTTACTATGAGAAACACAACGTTTAAAACGATTATTAATCTGTATAAACAGAGCACAAACCCAAAGCACAAAAATTTTAAACAACAAAAATGGCCGCCGTTAAACTGTGCAGTGTTGCTGTGATTTTTTGTATTTTTAGTACAAGATAGAACAGACCTTGTTGTGTGGATTGTGGTCGCGGCCAAATCTGTATGGGTGCAGATCACCAATGCTATATAATGACCATTACCAACTTTGTATAGTTTATAAACAGTCAATAATACACGAGCGTTAGATTGTGTCTGGGCACGTATGAATAGACCTTAACGCTGATGTCATATGCTGTTGCAACAGCATATGACATCATGATGACGTGCAGCCAACGCAGATTTGGCCGCGACTGTAATAGACTTTTCTAGGCTTTTTTATATACAATATTTCGAAGATCCGAAATCTATTGCATATTATTGACATTATTTGTTTTTTTGCTATATGGGCATTTCTTTTGTTGGTTATAGTTGTCGCGGCGAATGTTTCAAATTGCGTCATCAAATTCTGAACCAAGCACAGACATTACAATTGAGGAGCATCCGTGCAAAATCGGCTATATCCATTTTAATAAAACGTTGGGAAAATGGCAAAAACTCCCCGTTTCCTGGCCTTTACAGATAAAAAATGCATCTTGAGTTTTGTGCCAAAAAAAAATGCATCTTGAGTTTTGTGCCCACCGATTTTTCGACATACGGTTAACCTAGCGGTTCCTTGGATTATATACGTAAAAGAAAACAACAATAATTGTAATGTCTGTGCTTGGTTCAGAATTTGATGACGCAATTTGAAACATTCGCCGCGACAACTATAGACAGCTAACTGTTAAAGTTACAATTGTTGACATAATTGTAACTATTACAATTAAGCATTAGGTAAATTTTGTAAAGTGAATATACTGACCCTTAATTTCTATTTGTCACCTAATCAATCCGTTAAACGCATAGATAATAAATAAAACGGATGCATAAATATTAGAACATTTCTTATCGGACGATTTTATTGAAAAATGGACAAACGGATACATGAAAATTAAGCTTTAAGCTTTCTAAACCCTAATGATTGCAAAAAATGTTTTCTTTCCCATGAATTGCAATAATACTCATAAAAATTGCTAAATTTAGTGGACAAAAATAACTCTATAACTTCTATAAGATCAAGCATATTTTAGACTTTCAAACAAAAACATTAGAATGTCAAACTATGATCTATGATCAAATATATTTAATACAAATGCCAAAAACACATTTAAAAAAATATATTGAGAATGTCAACTTGAAATGTCAAAAACAATTTTTAAAACATTAAACATATTTAGTAATGTCAAAACATTTAGGTATATTTTTTTAAATATATTGTATGATAATTACAGAAATTATAAAATTATAAATATAAGAAAATAATCAAAAACATACTTCTAAGGAATATACAAGTCTTCAAATATTTACCTGTGTAGTGTACTGCTGATAGTTTGGGAGGCACATAAATTCCATGTTTGCTTTTTTGGTCCTTCTTTTCTGAATCTTCTTCTTCATCCGAATCTTCAGAGCCTTCTACCCCCAATTGACCAGTTCCCATCAAATTGTCAGGATTGGCCTTAAAGGCTGTGAGGTCACCTGCATTTGTTCCAGTCACAGCACTCTTGACCAGTTTGTCAATTTGATATTTTAATTTGTGATCTATCGGTCGGATTTTCTCCAGAACAGTTCGAATTTCTATAAGTCTGTCAATGCAAGGGTCTCCTTCAATCTTTTCCCCTGAACACTTTCTTAGCACCACATAGGTTAAATTGATTAAATAGCTCAGCAACATGTTGTATTTCATTTCCAAAAAACTTAACCCTTGATCCGTGGACAGTTCGCCGTTTCTGACTTTTTCAATCATATTATCAACTAAAGAAGCCACATGTTGTGCACTAACATTCATTTCATTTAATAAAACTAGAGCTTCTGGAAGATCTCTGTGACCCATCTCTATGTCTGGAGCCTGAAACAATTTTTTATTTGTAAATTTATTTATTTTACTTTTGTGCAAAACAAAATAATTTATTTACAAAACAAAATTTAAGGTTAGATAAAATATGGGAAAAGCAATATTTTAAATAGGGATGAAAAATGGGGTCCATTTGCATAAAAATCTGTTCGCCATCTTTTATATGAAAAGCTTGACAGAAAAAAAATAAGGGTAGTTTTTACGAGTGTAAATAAGGCGATTTTTGCAGTTTTGGATAGGTTTGTTAAATCTAAAGCGACGTAAACATACCTGCACCATTTTAATAAATATATTTGATATCTTAAAAATACATAACAACTGGTAATTTAATAAATGTTAGCAATACACGTGGAGAACTTTTATATTGAAGCGAGCTTTTTTGATCAACGATATCGGAGGCAGGGTGGTGGGGGAACTGCTACGTCACAACGAGCGGGGGAACAAAATAAAAAACCCGCCTGATTTGAAATACATATCCTTTGCTAATCAATAAATACGGGGTTTCTTTTTAAAACGCCCGTTTCATCTGAGACAAAGTACGAAAACTATTTACACCTTGAAGGTAAATAAAAAAATATATTAATTATAACATTTTTATTTATTTATTTAAATCACAAGAACAAAAAAATAAACCCAACAAGTTATAGGAAAAACAAATTTTTAAATAAAATCCAACAAATAGTACTAATTAGAAGAAAAAGAATGTTCTTTTAAATACAAAAGTACTAAAAAACTATACATTGTGGTGGTATACATAACAATTGTATGTATACCACCCCAAACACTTTGGTAGATTTAGAATTAGTAATTTAAAAGATGGTTATTAAAATTAATGACAAAATTGTGTAGATAGGCCACAGCATATTAATGCTGTGACTACACACCTGCAAATCTAAATTCCTTATCTACAATATTGAGTAATAATTATTATTAATAAAATTGGACTTCTGTCCTTCTTTACTTAATATTGTAGTTTGGGATTTTTGCTTAGCAGGGCAGAACAGCCATTAGCTGCAGGGTAGGCATTAACTTTTTTAGGGTAATTTGCATGCGCGGATTTCAAAAATGTTCAATTAGCTCAAGATCTTGTTTTCCGATATTGTGAAAAATGATTTTTATATGTAAAATAAATACCCGAGTGCGGAAAAGACACTTTCCGCGCGTGATATGTTCTACAATCAAGGGAATCTCGCAATTATCCATTTGTAGAAAAAAAAAATTTCCACAAGCAGGCGGAAAGTTGCTACTTTCCACATGCATAACGCTCTACAGTAAGGAAAGTAATGCGTGAGGAAAGTAGAAATTTTCCGCACGCTTGTAGAAAAAATATTTTTTTTCCACAAATGGAAACTTCCCTTGCTTGTAGAAAAAATATTGTTCAACGGAAGCGCGTGAAGAAGGCTAGCACTTTCCGCACTAGTTAGGTAAATAACTATTAAAACCCATTTAGATAGAATTTTAATTATACCTACTTATTTTATAACAAGTATAAAAAATCCAACTCTAAAATGCCTTTACCAATCTTTATAAAATTTTGTACAAAAATACTTCAAATTATATCTCAGTTTACGTGTTCAAGGGTTTTTCGAGAAAATATCCTTAAAGCCCTTTTATTTAATGATAAAAAATGCTTGAAAAAAAATGTTATAGGGAAATTTATTTTTAAGTAAATAAAAATATGCTTGAAAGACCGTAATTTTTGTTAGTATACCCTGAAAATTTTGTACAAATCAAACGAACAGTAACGAAGATACAGCGCTTCAAAGTCGGTAAAAATTACCCCTTTTATTATTTTGCTGAAAAGTGGTAATTTAAACCGACTTTGAAGCGCAGTATCTTCGTTACTACTGTTCGTTTGATTTGTACAAAATTTTTAGGGTATACTAACAAAAAATAAGGTCTTTAACAGCATATTTTTTATTTAATTAAAAAAAATTCGAACGTTTTTTTAATTATTAAATAAAATAGATTTAAAAATATTTTTTCGAAAAACCCTCGAACACGTAAACTGAGATATAGGTTGAAGTATTTTTATACAAAATTTCATAAAGATTGGTAAAGGCGTTTTAGAGTTGGATTTTTTATACTTGTTATAAAATAAGTATAATTAAAATTCTATCTAAATGGGTTTTAATAGTTATTTACCTAACTAGTGCGGAAAGTGCTAGCTAGAATTTTTTTACTTATTATGCGGTAATTTTGACGGGCAGCCCAGGTAGCACGAAACCGTAACGATTTGTGTCCAATTGGACACAATGAACACAAATCGTCACGGTTTTGTCACATTGTGCTACCTAGGAGTGTATTATAATTTTACTATCTCAATGACAAAACCTTTACAAAACCATGCAAGAATATTGCTGTTAATTCTGCACGTTTTTTAAAACAAAACAACGTCAGGATTTATTATCTTATAAAAACCACTAATTTTGAAAATTTTCTACAATTTACAACCAGTTTTTAAGGCCATTAATTTTGTGACGCTAAAAATGCTCAAAATTGACCATAATGTAACGATTTAAATCCTCCCCCAAAGGGCCGTGTGACAAATTATCAAACGCCCCTACCCTCTTAAAAATACTTGTTTTCGATTATTTTTATGCAATAGGTAATCTGTCTAAAAATGGAACAAATAAGCAATGTCATTTGATTTACTTTGTCATGTGACGTTTTACAAAAACCCTCCTCCTCAGGCGTGAGAAATCACAACGGTTCTCACACCAGTGGCGGCTGGTGGATTTTGGGTATACCAATATTTCAATTATTAGACATGGGACCCAAACCAAATTTATAATAGTTTATAATGACATTAAATAGACAAGTTCGGCGCAAACAGAATTTAAATTGAAGTTTGCGAAAAAAAGTTAGTTTTTCCTGTCGCCTCACCCGCCTCCATATGAGATAATTCAAATTAAAGTGGTGCAATTTATTATCTACTATAATTTATCAACAAATTTAAAATTTTATATAAAAAATCCAAATATAACATGTTTTATACCATTTTAAATATTTTTTTATTTTAAATTTGTCGATAAATTATAGTAGATAATAAAAAAATAACTTTAATTTGAATTATCTCAAATAGGGGGGGGGGGGGCTGGAGGCGGGTGAGGCGACAGGAAAAACTAACTTTTTTTCGCAATCTTCAATTTAAATTCTGTTTGCGCCGAACTTGTTTATTTAATGTCATTATAAGCTATTATAAATTTGGTGTGGGTCCCATGTCTAATAACTGAGATATTGGTATACATAAAAAAACAACCAGCCGCCACAAATTGACAGAGGCAGTAAAAATAAGCTTTTTTGAAAATAAATTAATGTAGGCTAAAGAACGATTTTATTTAGTTAAAAATATAATTTTTTAATGAATGTGTGTAATTTGATTAGAAAAAATATTAATTTGAATGCGTAGTAAAGTTATTTGCCACCCTGCAGAAAACTTTATTTTAAAATATTAAACAATACAATGTAATGGCAAGTAATTAAAGGATTCAGGATTCGTAGAGTAAGCGCTGATAGTGCGGGTAGACTTCCCAGTGCGGCACGTGAAGGGCGAACTCGAGGGCGACCAGAACTGCGAATTCGGCCGAGATGAGCTCCTTCCTGTTCAAACGGAACATCGCCTCGGACTTTTCCAGCAGGATGCGGAGCGCGTCGCCCTTCACGTCGTTCAACTTTGCGCTAAGCAACAAGCTGGCTGCGGCGCACAGCTTGCGGTTCTGCTTGTTGATCAGCCCGCGCAAGATCAGCTTTTCGAAGTAGACGTACGCCTGAGCCACCGTCACCAAGTCGATCTGGCACTCGGTCTTCGCGATTTTGCGCATCTCTCTTTTCAAGCTGAAACAAACGTTAATGTTCTAAATAATAACAACCATATTTTTATCCAACTACCAAACCGTAGTTTCTAGAAAAAAGTGTTAATAAAAAGTAGCGTTAAACACTAACACTAACGATAAAAATGGCTATCATTATTTTTTGCCGAAATGTTGATAACAGTTTTCTATTCAGTCACGTTAGAACTCTTGAAGAGGTAAGATATAGTAACTGATACCTCGATAAAACCAAAATTTTACATCCCACAATAAACTACTCCTACAGTGCAAATAAACTATAATACATTGTATCTACAGAGAATTAAAGGCTACCTTACGGTCACGAAAGTAATAGAGTGTGAAGTGATAAGTGACAGCATACCTGGCGAATGAACCACCTGACAATAGAAAGCACTCTATGTGAAGAAGAAACGAGGCTAACCAAGAGTGGAAAGGGCCATCATCTACAAACATTTAATAAGACCTCTTAACTAAATGCATCACCTAATACGTACATTGGCAACATTAACCACGTTCAGATACCTACACAACCCTAAAATCTTAATATTATTGCTGGCATTCACGGGATTATTGATAAGCAATACAAATAAATCAATCACCAAAATCCATAAACTTAAAAGACTTTTTCCAATAAACAAAAGTGTGTAAACTAACTGAGACATAAATAAACAACTAAGAAACTAGACCCTACGAGAAAAATGCTATAATCGCACTCAGCAGTGAAAACTTAAAAGACAAAGACGGTAATTGTGGTCATATTAAAAATCACCAAACTTGTTTTAAAAAATCCTTAGAATTTCTTAGTTTTAAACATAAATTATACAAAAGAGTATAAATAAAATTTATGAAATATTTTTGACAGCTCTGACATTTCTCTACCAAATATGAATTGACAAAGTCAAAGCCATCTAAATTTTAAATTATAAATAAAACTAACAATATCGCTCCTAAACGGGCATTAAAAAAATTAATATATCTTTTAAAGGAATAAAAATAACAAAACAAGACTAACTGGACTGAAAAGATGAAGGTGGGGACTAAATTTCCTGAAAGTTTCAGATTTTTATTTTTTCCTCAACATAATGATTTCTGAGGGCAAAATTGGCTAATTTTGAGAATTATCAATTTTCAATAATTTTTTTAATAAAGAAATTGATAGTCTAGAAACTTAAAATAATAGTTACGTTTTCTATTGTATAAGTACTTGATACCTGAAAATAATGAACCTTCTAAATTCAGTAGAATAGGCACAGGAGCCAGACAAAAATCACAAAAATTGGCAAATTATCATGAATCTTTAGTGGTTTACCATTCTTTTATGGGATTATCTAATTGGATAATAATAATTTATATCGAAAACACACTTACTGAACAGTAAAACAAAATTAAAATTATTTCAATATTTGTCACAGAAAAAAAGTTCTGGCCCACTATAAGAGAGTAAGAAATTGACACTATTTCAGACTTCTAAGGGGTGCCAAATAAAAGTAAAGCAACAAAAAATTAAAACGGCAACGGATTTTCATATTTGACACCTAAAAGATCATCCTCAAATTTTTTCATTACAATAAAAAATCACGCAGCGCACCCCATTTGGTGTTTTTATTTGGAATGACTCAAAAATAAAAGACAACACAAATGAAACAAAATCTTAAAATGAGAGTTTTAAAAATATCCACAGATGTAAAAAAATCCCTAGAACTAGAGGAAAAATCACCAAGTTGGCAACACTGTGTATGCTAGTATAGGGGTGAGGGTAAGATAAAATGGGGGAGGGGTCTAGCAAAATCTCACCAAATCTCATTTTAAGGGAGGGGGTTCATTTAAAATCTCACGTTAACTTTTAAGTTTAAAGAATATGTATTATACCTAATTCAAATAAAAAAAATAATTTTTTTTTACTTTTTTGGGATTTATCATGTTGTCCGCAAAAAAAGTTTAATGGCTAGAATCTCATGTGAGGGACCAAATTATCAAAAAAATACCTCATGTAATTAATGGATGTCCCCTTACACTTCAAACCACATTTCTGACAAAAAAATTAAATATGAACTGAATATTAAGTGAGTTTAACCAAAGAAAGAGTAAAAAGGCAATTTGTTGAACACTTGACCCTGACTTTTACAAACTCAGCGAGGGTTTTACTATTAAAACGGTACCTATACTTTCAGGAAAAAACAATTAAATCTATAATATTTTTTTTCTTCTCCTGGACCTTTTAAAAATCTAAAAAAAATGTCGCTTCGCAACAAAACTAAATCTAAATCCGACGAGAAACATTTTGAGCAGTAATTACTTAGTGTATGTTATTATGATTGAAATAAAGCTGAGCAGGGTGGTATACCAGCGCGCAGGTTTTCCAAAAGCGCATTTATTACGACCCTTTTAATTAAAGTAATTTAGGCATAATTTAATGCAATTTTTTTTTCATAAAAAAGTTGGGTTTAATAATTTTGCTTCTCAAGTTCTCAATGATGTTTAACAAGTAAACAGCAACCATTCACTAAAAATCAAATGGTTAAAAACTTAACAATGTTTTTAGTAATTTAAAAAAAAAAAATAAGCATGATACAGTCGCAATTCACTTGTTTTAGATAATAAATGATTTAAAACCACAGACCTACAAACAAAAATGTAAATGTAAAGTTTTTTTTAATCAATCCTTGATTAGGTAATAAATCATAAAAATGCCACGTTGCATTATTTTAATCATAGCTGCTTAGATTTTTTTGACTGACTTAAATTCTTTTTGTTTTGCTGTATGGTGACATTTTTTCACAAAAAGTCCAGAACACGAAAAAAAATCCATGGTTTATAAAAAAAATGTATAAATTATCATAAAATAATGAATTTCAGAACAATTTTCCATAGTCAATTTCATTACCTTAGATATGCCAAAGTATCATCAAAATCAATTTATTGGTTTAAGAATAACTAGATTTTGTTTGGAAAATTGGGACCAAAAAATTCATTTGACAAAAACATTGCTAAAAAAAGGTTTGGTCGAATAATTTTTATCAACATTTCAACAAAAAATAATTACACGAATTCTGACTCAGACAAAAATGGCAGAAAACAGATGCGACAGAAGCAGAAAACAAACGTAAAAAATGACAGGTGTATACAATTAATTGGATTGTACCTACCTTCTCAGTTTGCTCAGCGTGAGCTGGATGTGGGGAAATTTGGCCCTAAATTTGTCGTTGATCTCCTTCTTCAAGTCCGACGGCCTCACGTAGTCGATCACCGACGTCATGTAGGACGTGAACGTCAGCAGGGTCCGGTGTTTTCCGGCGATCAGTTCCGGATCGTCCAGCAAATGCGGATGGTAGTGAAACGGAGCCAAGGGCTCGTCCTTTGAATCCGGTGGGGGGGAATGGCCGGCCACCACGTGCGCGCTCGCTCTTTGCGCAGCTTGGTCGTACGAAAAACACCTTCGGGATAAACACATACATATTATTTTTACTTGGAGAAATATTTGTGTTTTTATTTGTTTTGACCTTCTATTAACCTATCTAATAAACTCATTGCTATTATTAACAGTGTCCCCCAGTATGGTGCAGGTCAAACAAGAATGACACAAAAATAAATTTTCATATTTAGATGGTAGTGAAAAACAAGTGAAAAATTGTTAAAATTAAAATCGTACCAGATTCTTCACGACCCATTTTGACAATTTTTAAAAGAAAAGTATTATGAAGCAAACAAACAGAATGTGATTAGACTTATATTTTCACAATTTTTAAAAACACAAAATACCAGATTTGATTTATAAATAAGCAATATTGTTTATTATTAAATAACGAAGTTTCAACTCATGTAATTAAATTATAATTTACAAAGGCTTTGACAAAAAGTGCCTTTAAAAGAGAAGATTTTTGATGTTAAAAGAAAAATTAAAATTTAGGATTGAAAAAATAATGTAATCATTAATAATTAATGTGTGATTACAAGCCCTGTATAAAAAGTTCATGAAAATTTTTGAGGATGTTATTTATAAATTAATTTATCATCAAATGTTTATTAAAAAATATATAAATTAGCAACAATGAACCATAACCTTCTCATTATCATGCTATTTGTCATTGTTGCTAATTTATATCATTTTTTTAATAAACAAATGCCGATTTAGCCCTATTCCACAAGCGGAATTCAAAATGACAAAAAAGTGTCCAAAATTCATTAAAAAAACTGGAGAACATTAATTAAAAAACCAAGATATAATTATAAAAATTTAACACCATATTTTTATGATAATTGGATCAGTATACTGTTATTGCTTTAATTTTATACTCGTTTAAATATAAAAATCTAAAAGTAGATTAAATATTACATTATGTTACTTTTCAATTTATCTTATTATCCTAATTTTAAAATAAGTTTTTTAAGGGGTTACATACATATGAGCTACTAAAAATTAACGGTTTTTGGTGATATTTTTTGCTATATAATAATAATTATATTGAAACGAACTATAAAGGATCAAATAGGGTATGTTTCGAAGTATTTGTAAAAAAAATATGCGAAAATATGGTCCTTGCCCTGAAACGCCTTTTTTTTCAAGCCTTTGCGGTGAGCATGAAGTATCGAAAACCGCCCAACAAACCTTAATGAAAAAAAAAACAAATTAAAAAAAATGTTTACGCAAATTTTCAAGGGTAAAAAAATTGAGTTTTCCGGCCCAAAAAAAATAGAAATCCCTTCGTTCACGAAGGAGCTATTATAATAACACTTGCAAATTTCAAATCGATCGGTACATTGGTTTTCGAGAAATCGTGCTCGCGGCAACGGCACTTTTAAAAAAATAAGATTTCGAGATTACGCGTACAAAGTTCGTTAAATTTTCGCCAGGTAGCGCGCTATAAATTGCTACAACATAAGTTCTTGTACACCGATGTTGATGAAATTTTAAGTACATATTCTTAAAAGTATATGTTGTAAGAATGTTTAATAAAAAAAAAATCGATTTTTTGACCCAACACAATTGTATGAGGCGCCGTTTGTCCGTAAATTATTTTTGCTGTATATAAGAATATTTTTTATATATAAACATTAAATTTCCTATATATATATATATATAGAAACTTTTTAGTTCAGATAATTCCGCTTGAGAATGAGGGCGCTTTGTGGTAATCAACTAAAAAGCACTGTTGCCAGAGTGTGCCAATGCAAAGTTTTGGTCAGTGTTTCCAACATACCGTTTCGCCAGATCTGGCAGATTTTAATAAAGGCCGAGGGAAAAAAGATACTCTTACGGCTGACGGATTTTTTAACGGAAACTTGAACATAATATCGAATGGTATATAAGATTTGTACCTATATAATTTAATTTGTAAGAGTCCAAGTTTAAAAAAAAGGATTCTTTGTTTTTTTATAAATTGAGAAGAAGAAAAACTTAAGAAATTTTAGTTTTTTTAAATGCCTATTAGTAAAAACGAAGCCGTGTTTATTTAGAGAAATAGAAGATCCGTTATGTTGGAAACTGTCCAAAACTTTGCATTGGCACACTCTGGCAACAGTGCTTTTTAGTTGAATACCACAAAACGCACTCATTCTCAAGCGGCATTATCTGAACTAAAAAGTTTCTATATATATAGAAATTTAAAGTTTATATAATATATATTATAAAAAATATTCTTATATATAGCAAAAATAATTTACGGACAAACGGCGCCTCATACAAATGTATATAACCACTTAAGTTGATAAATTTGGATATAGTATAGTATATTTTAAATTCTTAAATATATTTATTAAAAGTAAAGTAAAATATTAAGATCCCAGGGTATTAATTCTTATCAAATACGTGTTTTAGTGCTTAAACCAGTTTATTTTCGCCGATACTGATTCAATTATATTAAATTTACTATTTACATAAACAAGGTTATTAACAGATATAACTTCCGTTAAAATTTTATAAAGATAAATTGAATAGTTTACAAAATAATGTAATATTTAATATACTTTTAAAAAATAAATATTAAATAATAAGAATGATAATAAAAAGAATCAACGACGATTTTATTTTAATTAAAATTAATATTAATACTGCTGGAATCCAAAGAGTTTTTGTCTTGTAAAATTATTTTGCTCTATTTTATACTGGGGGACACTGTGTATGAATTTCCAACCATTTCATTATTTTTTTCTATAATAATTAAAATACATATTCTAATATTTATTTCTAATGTATTTATATTTAATTTGTACTAACTCTACATCCAAAATAGATATAACATGCAATTCAGCCAATAACTATAATTGAAATGTATTGGTGGGTACTAAATACAGGGTTCCAAAAGTTTGTAGGTTATTTTAAAATTAATAACTAAATTTATTTGTAATAAAACTTCCATGTTATATATTTTTTTAAATCACCTAGGGGCGATTCCATGATTACTAACGGGACAAGAAAAAAAACCAAAATGTTTTATGAACATTCTTGAAGATGTGTTTTTCCTATAATAATAATTTTATGCCAGTCCTCAGCAATGAAATTAAGTGATAATAACTATTATAAAATTATTATTATATGAACACCACATCTTTAAAATTTTCATAAACCATTTTGTCGTTTTTATTTGTCCTGTTAGTAATCATGGAATCGGCCCTAGGTCGTTTAAAGACACCCTGTATTATTATAACTAATTATATAATTGTTTTATAAAGTCTGTAGTTAGTATGTTAGTATTTTTGTTATCTAAAAAGCTGCAACTAACTCCACAGTACACATAAATGCAATTTAAACAAAATATTTGGACAGCACATTTTGTCTAATCTTGTTTTTGCATTGCTAATATTGGATAAACTACATTGGTACTGTTATTTAAGTGGTATTTTATCTTAATATTACCATTTATATTCTGGTTGCCAAGTTATAACTTTTGTCCTGCAATAAATAGTAAAAAATCCTTTATTTTCCATAATTATTCAACAGTTGAGTTATTTCAGAATATTTAAAATTATAAATGGAACAAATAAATGAATGCAGTTTTTTAAGTGGGTACCTTGCAATTAAATGATGACGTTGATTTGTTTGGTTGATTTGCGAGGCATCCGTGGGGTCGTCGATTGTGTGAATGCGACGTTCTCTGAACTCCTTGGCATTCTTTGTCGGAATCAAAAGATATGCGTACGATACTTCCTGTCCATCAGCTCCGCGTTCAATGCCCAATGAATCAAATGCATCCAGACCGTCGCCGATAGTCGAAAGCGGTCTGTTGCCGGAAGTTGTTCTTTTTCTTGTTCCTTCCTTTTTCCATTCAATTCTACAATAAATAAAAAATTCAGTAAGAGGATCGCGATTGTGGCGCTACTCAGTCTAAGGATTTTGATTACACAGTAGTAACATCAAAAAGACACAAAAAATCGCCGGCACACGTAAACTTAATTATTGGGCGTAGAATCTAGTGGTGTAATCAGTTTTTTAAAGTTAGCTCGTTTTCTTAAGATATTTAATATTTAAGTTTTTGTAACTTTTTGGTTTGTTTAAATATTTTTTTATTTGTTATTTTGCTATGTATGTATATATATTTATTTACACCATAATCCCTCTTAAAATATCTTTATTTGTTTTATTTATTAATAATTAACATTTTTGGCCAATTCCAATTTTAAAATCTATTAAATTATTAAAATTTATTTATTTCTAAAATTATTATTTATCAATAATAAACTTTTTTTGTCAGTTAGTTGTATAAAATATTAAAATTAATTTATATTTAAAAAAATAAAAAACTACTTAAATAACAAGTTGTAAAGAATGTAAAAAATGTTTAATTTTATGCCTCTTTGAAGATTGACCAACAAAAATCAGCAAGCATCGAGTCGAATTTTTTGCCACAAAACCGATCTTCAAATGTCATAATGGTTTGATGAAATCGTTCACCAGCTTCATCGGATTCGGGTGAAAGTTGTTTTTCATAAAAATTAAAATGAGCATGCAAAATTTTTAGCTACATATTTATACTTACTTAACCACAAAATTATGTAGCAAAGAATTATTTCAATTGTAAAAACTAAAAACAACATTTATACAGGCTCTACTTAGTCTATTTACTAGTAAATGAAATTCTCAAATTTTATTAAATTCGAATATTTCCCACTAATACCAGACAATAAAATTTACCAAAACAAATTTAATTACAAAAAAAAGAAATATGCGAAAAATCTAATAAAATTAAAAAAATATGAATATTATCGGCTTAAACACGAATGTTATTAATTTAACAGACAACAATTTATGAATTAAAAATAGAGACATTTTAAAACGGCTTAAAAAGATAGCAAAATGGTGAAACAAAAAACTTAAATAATTAATATCTTGAGAAAACGAGCTAACTTTAAAAAACTGATTACACCACTAAATTCTACACCCAAAAATTAGATTTACGTGTCCCGGCGTTTTTATGTGCCTTTTTAAAAGTTTGAAATTTACCTACAGTGTTATTTAGAGCACATCAGTGCCGGTTTAACAGGAGTTTTTTGGGGACTATAGCACCGGGCGGTAAATATTTATATACTTAATCGTTAGAATTTAGAAAAAAAAAATATTGCGACACTGCGTCGGCGGATACAACGGATACAAATGAGAAAAATGTTGTTAGAGTTGAAGCAGCTTCTCCATCAGAAAAACTTGATTTATTGCATGGAAACGGAATAATTTTAACTTTTTGGATAGACGTTTTGCAAAGGGTTAATGAAACCAATAAAGCAGTCCAAAAACAAAATATGGATTTAAGCACAAATGCTCGTTTTTTGTCATTTTTAGTTGAGAACTTTGATTTTTTACGTGATCATTTTGATCATTACGAGGAAATAAACAGGAAACGATAATTATGCTCTGAAGCGGATAATCATAAGAAAATTACAATTTGAAGAAAATAATTCAGAGGCAAATTTAAGCAAAAAAGAAACAATGCGAACAATATGTTTTATTTTAATAATTGACAAATCTATAATCCGAAATCATTTGTCGATATGATAGCTAGAAATCTGGCACAAACAAATTTGAATTTTTGTTTAATCTAAAAGCATAAATCTTCGTGGAGGATTTGGATGAGTTTTTTCCTCAAAAATGTGTCCAACTCAAGAAACTGGTAACTTCCCTTTCGGAAATAAAAATAGAAACTTCATTGGAATTAGTATAAGTTTTATGCGAAAATAAATTAATATCTTCATTTCCGAATATTAATATTTGTCTGCGAATTTTTTTTATAATGGTTTCAAATGCAAGTGGTGAACGATCTTTCTCTACTCTAAAAAGGGTAAAGAACTACCTAAGAAATACAATTACCCAAGAAAGATTTAACTCCTTAGCAATTTTGTCCATTTATCAAGACCTGCTAGATGAAATAAATGTGAAGTGTTATAAAACAATTTGCTACTATAAAGACTTCCCTGTTAAAAATCACCCATAGACACCAATAGAAACCAATAAAAAATCAGAATGGAATGAATTGGTCTCTATTGGGCCTATTGGTTTCTCAACAGAATGAGCATTGGTTTCTATTGGTAATTTCCGTACTGGAAAATGCCAATAGATTACCTAATGGTCTGAATTGGTTTTTATAAGAAGTTACAAGTACAGGAAATTCCCAATTGAAATTCAATTGGTAAATACCACTTAAATGTTCAGCGCCTGCGCAATTTAATACAAATGACCACTTGTTTCTATTGGCAATTTTCTTACTGGAAAATACCAATAGATAAACTAATGGTCTGAATTGGTATTTTATCGGTGTGTAGGTACAAGGAACCCTATTGGTATATACCACTTTAATATTTATTTTCAAAATTCGCCAATAGGTAGGCAACCCATGCATACCTCTCGCCTCTGTAGCACAATACATAGGCCTATAAAGGTGGAATGCCTTGAGCTGCTAAGTAAGGATTCCTTACTAAGGCAAAATTACTGGCCATGGAAACGCCTGGCGTTTTGGAATTTTTAAAGGGGCACAGGTCGTCCTTTGGCCCACTCTGCAAAAAGTAAGCAGTGGGCCCCACTACTTACTTTTAGCAGAAGCTATTTATAAAATTTAAATTAAATGTTAAACAGCACTATTTTTGAGAAATTATTTAACCATCAAAACACGTAATTTTTTACCTTAAAGACGTCTAAAATGGATAGTGGGGACCAATTCAAACCAATAGCGGTACCTCTGGAAAATCCAAATAGCTCTATTGGGAATTACCAATAAAATATATCTATAATATATCTATTGGGAATTACCAATAAAATACGATTAGTCTCTATCGGTCTGTATTGGGATTTTCCAGAGGTGTCGCTATTGGTTTGAATTGGTAATTCATGGTACAGATACCACTATTGAGACCAATTCAAACCAATAGAGCTGCCGTTGGAAAATCCCAATAGCTTTTCTATTGGTCTTTATGGGTGATTTTTAACAGGGTTGAAAACAACCTTTTAATTATTAGTATTAGGATTTCTCAATATTTATTTAAACCAAAGAATAATGTTTTATTTATTTATAACTTTTGATTAGTTTTTATTAGTTTAATGAAACAAAATATTAAACTTTTATTTTTTAATTAGTTTTTCTTAGTACTTAGTATTGTTTATATAAACCAAAGAATGTTTTAATTTTTAGTTAGTGCTTTTGAATAGTTTTTATAATTTGTTTATAAAGGCTCATTTTATATTTTATAGGATACTAAGTTTACTGTTAGATACCAGCCTACAGCGCCGGATTTAGGGGGGGTCTTTGGGGGTCTATAGACCCGGGGCGCAAGCTTACAGGGGGCGCAAAATTTTTGACTGGTAATTTTTGTTTTTTACTACAACCTAAAGGGTTTTCCCCTTTTTTTATTTTTCGTGTATTAATCAGTTTTAATAAAAAAATTATTTAAATTATAACCGTGATTGTTGCCATAGTATTATTATCTATGCATAGTATACGAAATATGTCATGTCACGTATTACGTAGGGCGCCCGACAAGTTGTTGGGCGACAAGAACTTTAGTTTGCAGAAATTGATTATTTCCACCAATGCGATGCGTATGGGCGTAAAGGTTTTTTAATATTTTATTACACTACGAACAACTATTAATTTAAATTAGTTTAAAACTATAGTTATATACAGTACCAGTCATATATATATGTATGTATGTATATATACAGTATAGGTATTAGCCTATTGAAAGATGACGTCAATATTGCGATAAACAAATTTGCACGCAAAGTTAAGTTGGCAAAATTTTAATTTTCTTATTTAGGTATTCGTTTTTTATATAGTTTTTGTTTATGTTTTTAGGGTGGCAATATTTTTTCGACATTTTTTTTTTATTTCGGAGCTCACATGAAACAATTTAAGTTTAAAGTATTCAAGTTTCAACTCAAAAAAAAAAAAAACTAAATTGGAAAAATAGTAGTGGTTACAAGATCAAAATTATTAAAAATATCAAGAAATGTATTTCAAAAATATTGAGCGACCAATAATATTTTGACTTAAAAATGTATTATGTTCCTATACGACCTACAAAAAAAATAGTGAGAAGCCAAAGATTTTGAGAAAAAAGGTTGGTTTAAAAAAGTTTTGAGCGACGTCTAAAATTTGAAAAATCTGTTGAAACTCAAATACTTTAGACTTATTTTTTTTATTTGATCTCCAAAATCAAAAAAATTTCGAAAAAATACTACAACCCTAATGTTTATGGTTAAATAAAATCCTTTTGTTAAGAAGTGACATTTCTTTGAATTTATTATAGGTAGGGGCGGAAAAATTTTATTAGACCCGGGGCGCAAATTTTTATAATCCGGCGCTGCCAGCCTAACCAACCTAATCTTCCACTTGACGTGAGAAAGTAAGACTTAAAAATTTAAAAATGTTTTTAAAAAAGTAATATTTTAAAGCATTGGGCGTTGTGTTTGTGCCAGAACCGGGCGGCGAACTATCTTAAACCGGCACTGGAGCACATTAACTTACGAAAAAGTACCTCTGTAGAATTTTTACTCAGTTAATTATAAACAATCAAAAATGAGGACTTCTTACCTGTGGTTTTTCTTGTAAGGAATGACGGAACAAACCATGAAGGGAATGTTTCTGGAGGTGACCATGACGATCCTCTCGTCGCCGAACTTGTGTTTGGCGGTGGGCTTGAAATGCTTGATTTCCCGTTTGGTCTTTTCCGGGATGGTGGCCGGCGGGCCGGAGCCGGGCGCGGGGCTTTTGCCGCATCTTGCCGCCACGATGGGGCCCAGGCTCTCGCAGCTGCTGCCGTAGCCGCCGTGCCTTTCGTTCGTGTCGCTGCTCACAGAGTTTTGACGAGTGTGCCCGCCCCCGCCCCTTTTCCCCACCAATTTTCCAACGATTTTCTTGCGATCCGGCTCCGACTGACTGCCGATGGTGCCGGTTCTGCAAATATATTTATTAGAATAAACTGAATGTTCGGGTTTAGAGTCCAAACTTTATTGATGCATCTTCAAGAATTAAACTGAAACTAAATTAAACTCCTTCAGTTTCAGTTTAATCCCGAAAGTGTAGTTTTCCCTAGATCAAATAATAGTAAATAAAATGAATAAATAAAAAGGACTTTTATTATTAATAGTTATTTATGTCTAGTGATGTAAAATTCTCGAGCACGTATTTTAGAAGAACGTTCCCCGAGCACAAACGAGCATGAACGAGAATAAACGAGCATAAACGAAAAAAAACCCGTGAATTTATGTTTGGGGTGTGATAAAGTATTCAAAAACTTACTTTTCCTGTTTTTTCCGAAAATGCTCAAAATTCTCCTAACGCTTCTTAAGAAAAATGACACTGTATTAATTTACACATTTTGTTAAATGATTTGCCATTCGTGTGGCCAGTGGCGTATTTAGGATTTAGCTCCGGGGGGGGTCCAAAAAAACTAACTAAATATGTACTATGCTATGCTTTAATAACAAAAAAATCACAAATTAGGAACTCTTCTGATCCGATAAAATAGAAACTAAAAGGAACATTTTTGTTTTGATTAAATTAAAAATCATAACGACACGAGAAAGAGGTAGGAACGATATACCTACAGGGTTGCCAAACCACCTCTTTCTCTTTAATACGTAAGTAGTTGATTTTTTATTTTAATGATTTTATATTTAAATATAATTAATAAATAATAAAGTACGTTGACAGTCTTGAGGTTTTTATTTTTTTTTAACTTTTTTTGTAATAAAAATAAAATATGTGCGCCCGGGGGGGGTCCGGACCCGGCGGACCCCCCCCTAAATACGCCACTGCGTGTGGCATTCCGGCTGTATTCACAATTACAAAATTTTCAAGAATAAACGTCTTAACCATCTCTTTTTTAATGAAAAAAAAAATCAAATGTCTCGCATTTTCTTCTGGGCATATTTATTAAATCAAATATTTAAGTTTCCCGCGGAAAACAAAAAAAAATAACACTACCCAATCTCTGTAATCACACACACTGACCCGAGCACTGACCTTTACGCAACGAATCGAACGTGTTAACTGAATCAAAATCAAAATAGTCAAAATATTTTTAAAACGCAACAGCCGCATAGAAATACATGCAAAAACTACGGTTGGCATCGCCACAAAAGAGACCGACGGTAATATACGGAAAACCGACGCCGCTTTGTCTTTGTGATACCGTTGCCGACAGTAGTTTTTGCATGTTTGTTAACTATTTGAAGATATTACCAGGGCTGTATTATGTGCAATACACGCGGTCACGCGGATGAAACGCGCCGATTGGCCAGAATCGTGCTCAAAATTCTCTAGAGAACGTTCGCGCACAATAAATCGTTTGGACACGAAAGAACGATCTATCATGCGCGCACGAACGATTTAATTGTGCGCGAACGTTCGCGAATATTCGCCACAGCACGAAGGGAACGTTCCCCACTCTACATCACTATTTATGTCATTAGGTTAAGAAGTTAGGCTTTTTGTGCTAAGCTCAAGGTTTGAAGGCCGACGCGTAGCGGAGGCCTACAATTGAGCGAAGCACAAAAAGGCACTTCTTGGCCGAATGGCATACAACATTTTATCTTCAAAGCACTTTAATTCAACATCAAAGCGGCCTAACCTCACTTTTTTAGAATCTCGCGTTTATTTATTAGCTAAAGATTACATTAAATGTACAAAAATTATTATTGCTTTTAGAAGCAGTAATAGTTTGATTTTTGCTATTACATTGAATTCAATTAATTGTTTAATAAATAGGTAGGTAGGTATTTAATTTCAATTTGTTTGGATTTTTATTTAAAAAATAGGTAGTTTGGAATGTTTAAGCTGTGTTTAACATTTAATTTCACTGAAAACTTAAAGAAAATTAAAACTTAAAGATAATTTAAATCGTAGAAAAAGAATCGTGCGTTTTCTTGGTTGCCTAACCTCACTTTTTGTTTTATTATTCATATTTAATTTTACAATAATTTAATGAAAAATATTAAACATTAACAGTAAAACAAACAAATTAGTGCTTATTATAAATAAATTAAACCAGTTTAGTACGTTAATTTCATAGAAAAAAATCGAACTAATTACTTGCCTCATAAAAATTTTTATCGGCCTAGGCCATAACAAGGTATTTCTTCATCGAATGTTGACAACAATAAAGTTTAAATTATAGACCGCGTGGAGATAAATAGTATTATTCATAAATTAAAATCAAAAAATACAAGTAGGCGCAAAATTAATTATTTAGTAAAAAAACACACCATACTTTATCTACTACCAATGCAAAGTAATATTTTTCAGAATTTAAAGCCAATTTTATTCGACATTTTAACAGGGTCGGAAAAAACCGGTTTTTTTTAATAAAACCCAAACCATTAGGGCTTTTTGGGTTTTATAAGTGGGGTTTATTGTTTTCTTTTAATTCTATACAGATTTTAGTAAAAAACATTTAAAAAGAAATAGGTACTTTCGATAACTTCACAACTTATTTTCGCAGTCGTTCTTCAACTATAAAATGCAGTGTATAGATCGGCAGGGGAACCCCCGTACTTTAAAATTACGTTTTGTTTGCTCAATGGTTTGATCGTTTCTCAGTTTTGCTTTTGATTTAATACTAGTTTTTTACATACATAAAAATGTAATGTTTTATCAAAATAAAAAATATACAAAAATATCAAAGAGTTAAAGTTTAAGAAAAAAAAACACTTTTAAAAACCCTGCGGGCTTTTTTAGCCCACTGGGTTTTTTTGGGTTACCCACTGGGCAGCCAACCCTGCATTTTAACGTCACTTTTTAACAATCTGACATCTCTCAGGTGGTTTTAACCTAACTTTCTTCCAATTTTGACTAGGGATCGACCATACCGGTATCAAAAGCCGATAGACCGATATGTCGGTCTTTAAAATATCGGTATCGGCTAAAATTTCTATATCGGTTCATGGGCGCCGGCAGAAGATAATCCAGGGGGGGGGAAACAAATCCCTGTTATAAAAGCCTGATATAAACTTGATCAGATTCGATCAGTTTTTGAAATTACCGATTAAATCCAATCATGCTTTGATCAGGTTTCGAAATTCTCGATCATGTTTTGAAATTCACGATCAAATCCGATTAGTGGTCAAGTTACTTAACTTAAGTATCTAGTTTTGCTAACAATATTAGGGTTACCATCCTTTCTCTATGGTTAGCATATAAATAATGTGACATAAGTTACAAAAATCAAAAAATGTATAAACTTTTAAATGGAAAAACCTCGGGAAAAACCATAGTTCAGATGTACTTATTGCCCCAAATTGCACAAATATTTATTATTTACCAATTTACCGAAATGGCTACCAAAATAAAAGTTAAAAAAAAAACGATGAACCAAAATGGTTTAGCCAAAAATTTAATTTGTTTGTATTATATTGTTAATATAAATCACACATATTCTTTTTGTTTTATTTATTTGCTTGGATTCAAAAATTGTATTACCTTTTTAGGTAATATCGATTTTTGAATCTGTTTCCTATATGTGAGGTTGTTTACCCAGTTATGTATGCGGCGCTTTAAACACTACTTGCTACCCCCACCCACCCAACCTATGCCATTGTCTATGTTTGACTACTCTCTTTTACTTTTTCTATGGTATGCATCAAATAATAGTATATTCTGTAACAAGTTTGGAATACAGCATGCTGTATTCCAAACTTGTTACAGAATATACTATTATTGTAAGTGACATTTATATGCATTGGATTCTGCAGCTTACAATTGATGGAATAAATATTTCTTGGATTGTATTTGACCAAATATGCAGTGAGCAAATCTTAATTGAGTACCCTAGAAGCCAAGGGATTCTAGTGATATTAAATGTACCATTTACCACCTTTTTTATTTTGTTTTTCAAGATGTCTAAGCTTAAAATTCAGTTATACTTGGTATCCAAGGGATATAACTGAATTCTAAGCTTAAACATCTTGAAAAACAAAGTCATAAAACAACAAACAATTTTGACTCCAAATTCCAGGTGGTTTTTTACTTCAAAAATGTCTTCTTTATAATCTGTGAATGATTATCTTAAAACTAAACAAAATGTACTGTAAGGTTATTGACATTCTAAATTGAAGACCCAATGTAAAACATTGAAAAAATAGACTATAGTTGAGGACCCTTGAAGCCAAGTGGTACCCTTAATTGGCTTCTAGGGTCCTCAATTATAGTCTATTTTTTCAATGTAAAACTTTTACATTGCATCATCAATTTAGAATGTCAATAACCTGTTTTTTGTCATACATCCAGCATACATCTCACATAAGTTAACAAAGAAAACAGCAAATTGTAATGTCTGTACTTGGTTTATAAATTGATGAAAAAATGTAAAACATTCAAAAAATAGACTAAACCATTGTAGTGGCTTAAAAATTTAAAATGTGTCAGTGTCATTTTCTAAAAGAAAAGAAAAAACTTGTTGCTTTTTTCTTAATTTTCGTTTTACAAATGGTAGGTATACCTATTTATACACCTACTAATAAGTACATTTTATAAATAATTTCAATAGGAAAATTAAAATTTTTAGCCTAAGAATGATGTTAACCACATTATTAATGAAATTACCTTTCTCTGAGAATTTTACTTCTTTGTGCATTTTCTTCAATATTGGCTTTTATTGGTGTAATAACACTTTCAGAGTCCGAACTTAAAGAATGCACATCAGTATTATATGCTTTATATTTGGGGATATGTTTTTTGGGATTTGATTTGAATAATACATCCATTCCCCCATCGGATTCTTCTTGAATTTCATCTGTGCAAACAAAAGCAGCCAGGTGGGTTTTGTTAATGGCCCCATTGCGAGGCAGCAAAGCTAATCGAGTGTCTCTATAACTACCATCTAGAGAAATGTTAGACAAAAAAGTAAGAGCAGCAATACGTCGTCGTGATCGCGATCTTTTCAAACAAGTTGCCATTAGAATTAAATTAATTGATATTGCTTTAAAATTTAAATTATGAATATTATATCACTGTTATGTCACTGAAAGTTTATTTTACACATAGTTCTTTTATTACGCATCTTTGAACAGTCAATATTTAATATATAGAATTCGATACTGTTTAACAAAAATAGCACAAGCGATTTGCACATTGTCAATTAAAACTTTTCCGCACAGAACATAAGATTTTCCGTTTAAAATGGTCTATTTTTTTCACGAAAGAAACACCAACAATTATTTCACGAAAGCACCACTAGGAAATAGACCAAAGTTACTAGAATTTCCGATAAATAACCAGATTATTGTTGGTGGCAATGAAATTTGACAGTTTGGTAATTTTCCACGCGGCGTTGCCAGGTCCAAAAGTTCTTGTTTGTAGTGTAATATTTTTACTCGTTTATATTTTATTCCACTCTGTGTTCTATTCATTTTATAAAATAGATTGCATGTTTATGGACTTTTTTAAATTTTAAGTATTTGTTTACCAATTGCGGTGCAAAATCCGCAAAATTTAATGAACAGAAGTTTTTTTCTGTGAATCAATGTGTTATTTAAAGTTTGGCAACGTAGGTTAAGGTATATTTGACTTTTGGCTCCTTTTTAATCTAAAAAAATAAGTGCAATATAATCTTATCATTACACACCTTTTAAAATAATAATTTATTTGGTCAATGGTCTTCTTTTGTAAGGTTTTTTTATATAAAATTAATGTCTATTTAGTGAAAATTATTTTTAGGTTGTCGCCAAAAAAATGCCTTCAAGATCAACGACGAATCTGCTGAAGCAACTACGAAGTTTTATGCAAAATGCGAGCTATGTAAATGAAACGATCCAAGCTTACATTGTCCCTTCGAGCGATCCTCACGGAAGTGAATATTTGGCAGGTTGTGATGAACATCGAGCCTACATAAGCGGTTTCACCGGCTCGGCCGGAACGGCCGTCGTCACCGAAAAGCAGGCTCTTCTTTGGACTGATGGCAGGTATTTTCTGCAGGCCTCGCAACAGCTTGATGAAAATTGGACTTTGATGAAAGAGGGCCTTCCACAAACACCTTCACAAGGTAAAAAAAACACTTAACCATATTAATTAAATATCCAATAACATTTAGGACTACTTAATTATGAAAATTTATTTAAAAAAAAATGTACCTATTAACCCTTCTGCTTATGGCATACTACATAAATTTAGTACATCGTTTTCTACAATTTTTTGTCTCTACTTGACTGAATTTGTATCCATTTTTTCACGTTCTCATGTCCTAATTTTAGCACACCTTGTAAAAAAAACTAGCAGAGAAAAAAAAAATTGTAAGGTACCAAAAAATAGCAAATAATTATTTTGTTTTATGTGTCATAAATAATTCGTGATCGAAAATATAATAAAAAAGATGTCTTTATTAAAATTCTAACTGCTATTGGTAAAAAAAGGGAAAAATGTGGGCTCCTGCTTCTCAAAAACCTATATAAATACTATAATTAAATTGAGAAAATACTATAATCTGCATCTCAAGAGTTGGCAACCCAGACAGCATCCAATTCAGTAATATTTCTGTACAAAGTCTGTTGAGGTTACAATATGACATCTTAGAGAAATCATTTTTAGGAGCTCAAGAGTTCTTAATGAATTCATAAATGAGAAGTCAATTTTTTAACATCTTAAAGTATCTTTTTTTCTGCAGAGGTCATGACCTCTTATTGGAATCAAAATTAGAAGCGACTAAGTGTATCATAAATAAGACTTCAGTTATATGATATCTTACAGTATTCTCTTTTCTTACTTCTTACTGCTCCAAAAGAGCTAGACAGTCCGTCTATCGGTGCCGGTGAAGAGCACGCTTGAATTTAAACAAAAGTGAGACGAAGTAATCGCAATTTCTAAAATAGACGAATACGAGCAAATTATTAAAATGATTTTAATAAAATCAATTTAACAAATTAATAAAATTAATAAAATAAACTTGACATGTCAAAATAAGCAATGATCCAGTATGTAATTTTATCATGAGTACCCTAGTAGTACTTCTATATCCAAAACGGAAAATTCTGAAGAAGTCTTTTTATAAGTTTATACAGTAGGACTCTTTAATATGCTTAACTGCAAAGTCAAAGAAAAGGGTTCCTCAAGAGTTCTTTTTTGAGAAGTCTTGATTAGTTTAATAGGTGGTGAAGTCCAAATCATAAAATAGAGCTTATGCAGACTTAATTAAGGCGTCATATATGTACTTTATAGTATTAAGTTCATACCAAAAAAAATGATCTTTAAAATATGAAAACGTTCAATTTCCTACCTAATGAAGGTGCTAAATAGGCAGTCTATACTAAAAAGAAATAAAAGAACTGATCTTTAAAAAAGAAAAAGTTCCAACCTGACAAAAACCACCTAAAATCCATCTACAACCTAAACAAGATTTGACCCGACGAAAACAATCTAAAAAAATAGAAAAGAGTGAGGGCCCTCCTCCTTTATCCGGGCTTGGGACCGGCAGGTTAAAAATACCTGGCGGAGTTACCCTCCACCCTCCTTATCATATTATATAGGTACCTAAAATTTCCTAAAACAGATAAAGTATTTAATTAAACAAAAACACGCAAAAAACAAATATACTGGTTGTATACATACCCGCATATAAGATTCACTCGCACCCTGAAGTTCCAAGAAGTCCAAGATGTCCATGTCAGATCCAAATGAAGGAATTACCCAAGTAACATTTTTAGTTTCATTATGGTCTTCAAGAACGCTTTAAAACAAAATTTTGTTTTAAAGCGTTCTTGAAGACCATAATAAAACTAAAAATGTTAATTGGGTAGGGTAATAGGAAGGGTAGAAAAGGAAAACGATAGATAATTAAGTTACAAATAGATTAGCGCCGGTGCGCAACAACATGCTCCACGTTAAAAACGGGTTAGCACGGATTACCGATGTTCCGAGACAAAATCCAGAAAGTACTTTCAAGATCCATCTACCATTTTAGTTTAATTAAACAATCTGAAGATTGTGAAATTGAACTAAAATGGGTCTAAATGGAAGGAATAAAAAGGAGGGTTTTATAGGAAACTCCTGGGCGCCTGGTTCCATAGGATAATCACTATCTAAAACAGACTACTACAACAAAAAGAATTTAAAAAATATGTCCACCTTCCCAAAAGCGAACAAATAAAGAATTAGTTTCATCTCAAACTTGAAATTTGACCTGACGAAAAGGATTTAAACAAAATGTTGACCTATGATCCCTACAAAAACGAAGTAAAAGAACTGATCTTTAAAAAAAGAATAAGTTCCATATCAAACTTAAAGAATCTAATAAAAATTTGCCTTACGACCCCTAACAAAAACGAACTAAAAGAACTGATCTTTAAATAAAGAATTAGTTCCATATTTACCCTAACGAAAAGAATCGTAAACAAAATTTTGATCTACAATCCCTACAAAAACAAAGTATAACAACATATCTTTAAAAAAAGAGTAGGTTTCATATCCAACTCAAAAAAAACTAATGAAAATTTGACTTACGACCCCTAACAAAAACGAACTAAAAGAACTTAACTTTAAATAAAGAATTAGTTCCATCTCCAACTTAAACAAGATTTGCGCTGACAAAAAGAATATAAAAAGAAATTTGATTTACGACCCCTAAAAAAAAAGAACTGATCTTTAAAAAAGAATAAGTTCCATATTTAACGACCCCTAACAAAAAAATAACTCATCTTTAAAAAAGAATAAGTTCCATATCCAACTTAAAAAAACTAATGACAATTTGACTTACGACCCCTAACAAAAACAAACTAAAAGAACTTTAAATAAAGAATTAGTTTAATCTCCAACTTAAACAAGATTTGCCCTAACAAATAGAATCTAAAAAAGTTTTGATTTACGAACCCTAACAAAAAAATAACTGATCTTTAAAAAAGAATAAGTTCCATATACAACTTAAAAAAAAATTAATGACAATTTCACTTTCGACCCCTAACAAAAACGAACTAAAAGAACTTAACTTTAAATAAAGAATTAGTTCCATCTCCAACTTAAACAAGATTTGCGCTGACAAAAAGAATCTAAAAAGAAATTTGATTTACGACCCCTAAAAAAAAGAACTGATCTTTAAAAAAGAATAAGTTCCATATTTAACGACCCCTAACAAAAAAATAACTCATCTTTAAAAAAGAATATGTTCCATTTTTAACTTAAAAAAAAACTAATGACAATTTGACTTACAACCCCTAACAAAAACGAACTAAAAGAACTTATCTTTAAATAAAGAATTAGTTCCATCTTCAACTTTAACAAGATTTGCGCTGACAAAAAGAATCTAAAAAAATTTTGATTTACGACCCCTAAGAAAAAAAAGAACTGATCTTTAAAAAAGAATATGTTCCATTTTTAACTTAAAAAAAACTAATGACAATTTGACTTACGACCCTAACAAAAACGAACTAAAAGAACTTAACTTTAAAGAAAGAATTAGTTTCATATCCAACTTAAACAAGATTTGCGCTGACCAAAAGAATTTAAAAAAGTTTTGATTTACGACCCCTAACAAAAAAAAGAACTGATCTTTAAAAAAGAATAAGTTCCATATTTAACGACCCCTAACAAAAAAATAACTCATCTTTAAAAAAGAATAAGTTCCATATCCAAGTTAAAAAAAATTAATGTCAATTTGACTTACAACCCCTAACAAAAATGAACTAAAAGAACTTATCTTTAAATAAAGAATTAGTTCCATCTTCAACTTTAAATAGATTTGCGCTGACAAAAAGAATCTAAAAAAATTTTGATTTACGACCCCTAAGAAAAAAAAGAACTGATCTTTAAAAAAGAATATGTTCCATTTTTAACTTAAAAAAACTAATGACAATTTGACTTACAACCCCTAACAAAAACGAACTAAAAGAATTTATCTTTAAATAAAGAATTAGTTCCATCTTCAACTTTAACAAGATTTGCGCTGACAAAAAGAATCTAAAAAAATTTTGATTTACGACCCCTAAGCAAAAAAAGAACTGATCTTTAAAAAAGAATATGTTCCATTTTTAACTTAAAAAAAAACTAATGACAATTTGACTTACGACCCTAACAAAAACGAACTAAAAGAACTTAACTTTAAAGAAAGAATTAGTTCCATATCCAACTTAAACAAGATTTGCGCTGACAAAAAGAATTTAAAAAAGTTTTGATTTACGACCCCTAACAAAAAAAATAACTGATCTTTAAAAAAGAATATGTTCCATTTTTAACTTAAAAAAACTAATGACAATTTGACTTACAACCCCTAACAAAAACGAACTAAAAGAATAAGTTCCATATCCAATTTAAAAAACTAATGACAATTTGACTTACGACCCCTAACAAAAACGAACTAAAAGAACTTAACTTTAAATAAAGAATTAGTTCCATATCCAACTTAAACAAGATGATCTTTAAAAAAGAATAAGTTCCATATATAACAAGATTTGCCCTAACAAAAAGAATCTAAAAAAGTTTTGATTCACGACCCCTAACAAAAAAAAGAACTTATCTTTAAAAAAGAATAAGTTCCATATCCAATTTAAAAAACTAAAGACAATTTGACTTACGACCCCTAACAAAAACGAACTAAAAGAACTTAACTTTAAATAAAGAATTAGTTCCATATCCAACTTAAACAAGATTTGCCCTAACAAAAAGAATCTAAAAAAGATTTGATTTACGACCCCTAACAAAAAAAAAGAACTGATCTTTAAAAAAGACATATCCAACTTAAAAAAACTAATGACAATTTGACTTACGACCCATAACAAAAACAAACTAAAAGAACTTATCTTTAAATAAAGAATTAGTTCCATCTCTAACTTAAACAGGATTTGCCCTAACAAAAAGAATATAAAAAAGTTTTGACTTACGACCCCTAACAAAAAAAAAGAACTGATCTTTAAAAAAGAATACGTTCCATATCCAAATTAAAAAAACTAATGACAATTTGACTTACGACCCCTAACAAAAAAGAAGAAGTTGGCATCTTCAGAAGCGAAGTGTAACTAAATCTTAATGCTAAATCTACCATATTTATACTAATTATAAGTA